TCCATTGATTCTCTAAAATCTAGGCTTTCTAGATATATTCCTCAGTGATGTTCTAAAGAGATAAGTCAGCTTCAACCTTTTCTTCACCTTACAGACAGTATCAACAGAAATTATTTAATAATTGTCCCACTCAGTAACTCATTCAGGCAAATAATCACCCTCCTTCTCCCCCCGAACCAGGCAAATGCCTCTCTCTTCACACACACACACACACACACACACACACACACACACACACCCCTTAGATCATAAATCCAACATCTCAACTTAGTCACCTTTGTGTTATCTGTTTTAAAAGCTTATATTTTAGGGTCAAATTAGCAATGAAGCTAATGAGATCATTCTTTTGTGAGCAGTGATATGGTAGTAGTCATCCTTCAGTAAGCACTTGGCTTGCTGTCAGGCATTATCCTGGACATTCAGGGGACGTTTTCTCACTTAACCCCCCAGCTCACCCTGTGAGATGCTACTGTTATCTCCATTTGTCTATGGATACTTCTCTACACTTCGTTTCCAGCTTCTACTCGTCTGACTTTCTTCTTGTCCTGGGCTGATGCAGCTGAATGGGCTCAGAGATACTCTCGTGTCATCTTTACCTGGTTTGTTTCACTCTTCCCTAACCACTACAAGGTGAATTTGCTTTTCTTTAATTGGCTGTTTCCCAGATCACCACAGTTGATTAACTTATTCATCCATTTGTAGTCATTCATTTCTTCTCCATGAAAGGCACTGCTGAGCTTTAGAATCACAAAGTTCTGGCCCTCAAGGCATTTCTGTTCTTCTGAGGAGAAAGATGTGTAGCCAAGAAAACTGCGGCCCCATCTGTGCCATACCTGGGGCAAGCACAGGATGCTATCAGGGCATAGGGGAGGGTCACCTAACCTCGCTTGAGGGTGGGAAAATCAGGGTGGCCTTCCTAGAGGAGATAGCTCATGGGCCAAGTCATAAAGAAGGGGTAGGCTAAGAGGATAAGGGCTATTTCAGATATTTGACCTTCTCAACATTCTTGACTTTATGGATTTGCCTGCCTGCAACATAGTGAAGAAACAGATCAGAGACACACCACTACCCTCTTCTGAGCTTTAATCCCCAGCCCATGTTCTCTTCCCATCCTACTCCCCATATCTTAAGTTTTAAGGAACATCTTCTTTCTATATTTATGTGCTTCTTGGTTTATGTATTCACTCAACAACATTTATTGACAACCTTCTATGTGCACAGCACTGTACCTATAGGGTGGCCTGTCCCCTACTCCATGAGAGGCCTAACCCTCATCTTGGAGAGACTCCTCCATCAACTGTCTTCCTCATCTCTCTTGCTTTATTGATTTGCCTCTTCCTCTCCCTGTCAGCCTTGGAAGTTCTGTGAGGGCAAGGACTGGATTCTTACCTTGCTCTCACAGACTTTTCTCTAGACTTCTTTATGGTCTAGTGTGACCGAGTGAAAAAAAAATCTTTCTCAACAATCACAAACTTAATATCATTTATTGAGCACCTACCATGAGCCAGTTGCTGCTCTTCATGCTTACATGTGAATAGCTAATCCTCACGTCTTCAAATTGCTGTCCTTCCCACTTAGGTAAGAAAACTTGGGCTCAGGAAAGCAAAATGAATTTCTTAAAGCCAGCAGAGTCTAACATCAAACTTATGTTTTCCTGGTCCCACACCCCTGATCTTTCTGCCACACCACTGTTTAATTTGACTGGAACCACTGGAGGAATTTTATAAGATTCTGATGCCTGTGTCTTAGCCCCAGAGGTTTTGATGAGCTGTTGGGGTCTGGGGTGTGTGTGTATGGCCTGGGATTTGGGATTTTTGGAATGTTCCTTGTGGAAGTCTAATGGGAGCGAAGGTTGAGAAGGAGGGCATGGCACCACACCACTTTTCTGCATCCACACTGGCTGCAGTTATTGGTGGGAGTGTGCGAATCTGTCTACATGTGTGGCATCCATGTGACCAGAATTTGAGTTCTCTGTAGCTAGGGATCTTTGGCCCTCCCAGCTGCTTCCCCACACAGCAACCTCACCACCCTGAGCATGTGTCCTGCCAGGGGTTGTTGCCTTTAGTCAGCCTCTTGGTTCTTATGTATCATCCAGGGGAGTCACTGATAGGTGGTTGGAGTTGATCACATCCAGCTGTTTTCATCCTCAGAGGTTGTTGATGTAATAGAAGAATCTTATAAACACACTGGCCATTCCACTGGTCTCCAGGGTGTAGCTCATGACCTAAATCCATCACAAGTGCAGCCTCCTACGCTTCAGCAGCTCTGCTAGGAGGGAGGAGGCTGCTCCGTAGTAGGACGTCTATGTGCGGCTCCGACTTTTGATACTCAGGAGGAATTTGTGGTCCATCTGGTCAGAAAGGGTCAGTTCATGTGTATATTCTGTCCTGTCCAGGGCTCCCAGAGGTTCTTTTTTACCCCTGTTTCACTGGGAAGGCAGTAGACACGTGCTAGGTGAAATGACCTGGCAAATAAACTGATATAGAGCCCAGGTGAGCACCACACTGAGTGCGGGGTGTGTGGTGTGTGTGTGTGTGTATGTGTGTGCATGTGTATGTATGTATGTGTGTATGTGTGTGTGTGTGTGTTTTATTGTTGTTCTGCAGTGGTCGGTGTCTGGCTTTTCATACCAGGCCTCAGTTGCAGCCACCAACTTTCCTACCTTCATTCATTTACCCTGGGGGTCTCAGAACACCTAGGATGTCACTTTGTGTCCCTGAGATTATAGTACTAGCCACCAAGAGTCCTGTGGGGTGCAGACTGGAGATTGTACTGACAACGTTGAGTACATCTTGGACCTGCTCAACTAAAAGGAAATCTCCAGTGATGCTGCTCAGATACTTTTGGAATCTTCCCAACCCTAATCCTATCTTCTGGTATTTATTTTTTAGTCATCATTCACTGACTAATGATTCTTTGCCAGGCTCTACCCTGGCCACTGGGATACAGAAACAAAACACACTTTGTCTTATATGTACTTATATAAGGCACAGTCTAGAGCAGAGATAATAAGCAAATTAAACAATATTCCTAAAAGTAGGAATCCCAGACCCCCTGCATTAGAAGTATAAAGGATGCTTATTAAAATGCAGATTCTGAGGTCATACTACAGATCCACTATTTGAGAATCTTTGGGCATTAGACCGTAGAAACTGCATTGTAACATGTTCCCCAAGTGAATCTTGGGTGCTCTGAGATTTGAAGACTACAGAAATGAGGCCATTGTCATCGGTATGGGGTCATATAGGATGGGGAGCACCAAGCAGGTGGTGGTGCAGGAGCACCAACTCTGAGGGACACTATCTGGGCTTAGGGAGATCTTGAAGATGTCACGAGGAGTAACAGGAGGGAACCAAATTAGGTGTGGCTAGACAATCATTTCCCTTGATTTGTGAGTCATGCTTAATTTATCCTTTCTATTAGTCTCTATCAATGATTTGCTTAAATGGAATATACCTGGAATGGGCAGCCTTAATGAGCATCTGGTTACGCTTTTAGGCCCATGATATCTACACGTGACCGACCCCCTTACCCCAGTATTTTTTAAAAATATTTTATTTTATACAATTCTTACATCATTTTTCATTTTTGCACAATGTATGCATTTTCATTTTGGTTATATTCCCCATACAATTCCCACCCCCTTTTTCTGACCCTAATCCCTCTTCTCCTCCCCCCCGCCCCCCACTGTAGTGTGTCTCTAGTCTCTAGTTGCTTGTTGATTTTGATTTTTACTTTATTGCAATTAGTCTTTTTCCTGGTCCCTTATTTAGGTTTTCTAGATTCCTGCTATGAGTAAGACCATCCAGTATTTTTCTTTTTCTTTCTGACTTATTTCGCTGAGCAGGATCCTGGAAGGATTAAATTTTTTTTTAATTTTATTTTTTAAAAAGATTTATTTATTTATACAAGCACTGGGTACAGTCAGAAGCACAGGAGGGTGAGAGAATTCACCAGAGCCAGAGCAGGGAACAGAACAAGCAGAGTGATGAAATACACTGCTGAGGGGAGCAGCGGGCGTGGCTGGAGAGGTCTGTCGCGCCATGTGGGATCCTCCCTGGCGGCTGGGAATTGAACCAGCGCTGCAGAGGCTGCGGGCAGCTTCGCAGCCCAGCGCTCAACTGATGCACCACCAGGGGAGGCCCTGGAAGGATTAAATTTAAAAGGATTCCATGTGAATCCTTCATCAATGCAATTATTTAGTAGGGTTGACTTTTAAAAATCTATGCCTGTGTGTTTTCTTAAGACACAGCAGACATGGGTTCTGGAGCTCTGTGTTGCATGCTCCATGCCTGGTTCAAATGAAAGTGGATTTATCTGTGAAAGAGCTTTGATATGCGTACTGTGCTATCTATACCAGTGGTTCTCAAAATGGGGGTGCCAGGCCAGCAGCATCTGCATCACCTGGAAGCTTGTTAGCAATGCACATTCTCCATCCTTATCCCAGGTCCACTGTATCACAAACTCTAGGTGGGATCCAGTGATGTGGCTTATTAACAAGCCCACAGGTGATTCTGGTGCACATGCAAATTTGGGAACTACTGTTCTGTATCAAAAGGAAATCAACTCCTGGAACTTCTGGGAATAAGGCTTTAAATCTCTCTGAGTTTAGCAGGTGAGGTCGTATCAGGGAGGCAGGAGCAGTAGGGTCAGTGTCACAAATTTCGGATGAATGGGGTGAAATCCTTTAATAGATTCAGCCTTTTGCTTGATAATTCCCAAGAGGCTTGTACATGTGTGTATCGTAGTGTTGCACTGTTTGAGTTGAGCAGCCATTCTGAGTGTGGGTCTGTAGGTCTTCAGAGAGCAATTTTGTCTTTTTTTATCATGTCTTTTCTGATACTCCATGAACTTAATTTCTGTGTGTGCTTAAGCCAGAAGCCTGTGGTTATAAATCACTTTAAAATGAGGCAATGAATGTTGTTAGTTTTCTCCGTCTGCCCCATTGTGACTTTTTTGAGTTACTTATTAAATGAAAATATACCATTATTTCTCAACAGACTTGAAGCTTCAGGATTTCCTTGTGGACAATGAAACCTTCTCTGGATTCCTGAATCACAACCTCTCTCTGCCAATGTCCACTGTGGACAAAATGCTGGGTGCTGATGTCAGTCTCCACAAGGTGAGGTGCTACCATTAGCTTCCTCAGTGGGGCTGATGGCAATAACATGGCTTCAGAGTGTCTTGAAAGAAATGAATAAAACCCTGTCTTTGTAATGGCACTGAAAGAGGTTGATGCAGCTCAAATTCACCTTCATCTATTTTTACTTCCCTGCTCAGGTTAGCTTTACCAAGCCATCCAGAGGGTGGAAATGTAACCTGGGCCAACTGGTTAAAATAAAACTTATTTCCTGCCTGTCAACTGGCATTTGTTGATCACCTCCCCCTAAGGAGGGAATGTACTTAAGTTAACGCAAATTAAACATTTAAATTTTTTTTTTCAGTTTTGAGGCAATAACCAGTATTGAGGATTATGTAGTAGTGTTCTTTATAAAATCTAAGTTAAGATTTTTCAAAACCTAATGCTTACTTTAAAGATAGATAATAAACTAGAATGTAATATTAGTATTTATATAGAATTTTTTTTTTTATACAAGCACTGGGTACAGTCAGAAGTGTAGGAGGGTGAGAGAATTCACCAGAGCCAGAGCAGGGAACAGAACAGGCAGAATGACGAAATACACTGCTGAGGGGAGCAGCGGGCATGGCAGGAGAGGTCTGTCACGCCATGTGGGACCCTTGCTGGTGGCCAGGGATTGAACCGGTGCTGCAGAGGCTGCGGGCAGCTTTGCAGCCCAGCGCTCAACTGCTGTGCCACCAGGGGAGGCCCTAGTATTTATACAGAATTTTCATGTTAGATTTTCAGAAACCCTCATCTGGCATCATTAGATATCATACTTCTCCCAGCCTGTGGGTAGCATTCCAGGTTGCATGGTTAAGGATTTTCAGAGAAGCTTTTCAAGTTTCTTCTTTGGAAGGAAAGAGAACTGCTTTCTTACCATTACATATTAGCATATCTTTATAATAAGTAGAAGCGGTAGAAGTGTTTATGCTTGAAAATAAGGTCTTTGCTTTACATTTATCTAGACTTTTTAAAATTAGAAAAATATGCTTATGGCTTTTCCTTATGAAACTAGAAAAATAGGCCTAGTGTCCACCAATTGTGTGGTTGGGAGATGAGCCAAAGGCAGCAGGCGAGTGAAAATAGTTCTATTTAATATAACTTCCATTGCCCCCTGCAATTTCTTATCTGTCACATCCTATCAGTTTAAAATAAGGGCCAGACGAGGCATGGAGGTGGTCCTTGTAGGGTAATTAGTGCCTCTCTGTAGTCAGTGTTCTTAACCAGACACTAGAGGTAGGCTGACAGCTTGGCAGCAAGGACTAATTAGAGAAACGAGTTAAACTGAAGTGTGTTTGAGTATCTGGCAGTAAGTGAAAATTTAATGGAAACCATGGCAGGCCAAATGCTCTGCAGCATTAGGGAGTTGGGGAGCTGTATGGGTTCAAAGAGGCTTTTCGCCCTTTATTCACACCGGTTCTACACAAGCAGGTCAAGCTGCACTAATTTAAACTAACAGGGGAGGTAGTAATGGAGTAATAAAAGTGTGCATCCTGCCTTTATTTCTTCCATAAATATTTACTTTCTATGATCTTTCAGTACTTTGGATAGAAAGTAAGCAAGAAAATCAAGGTCCCACCTCTTACTAAACTTTGCTGTGTAATGGATAGTAAGAGCCATATGTGAAGAAGCACAGTTTATTTATGCCACAAAAGACTAATTACACAAGATGTTAAGAAAGTTTCTCTAGGAGATGGATGGATAAGAATATCTTAGAATTGGCCCATCAAAGAGATGAGAAAAGGCTTGGCTTTTTGGTTATCTGGGGCAAATAAAATGAGTTCCAAATTCTGACATTGCTTGAACATAATTCTGTGCATTAGTTAAATATCTGTATCTACAAATAAATGGTATAAGTGCTTTTCACCCTCATAATTCAGCTCAAACCTAGTCTTCCTATATCATAAGTTCCAAAATAACGAAGAGGTCTTTGCTAATAAGGGTGGTTTCAGACTCTGAATTCCTACTTGCTGAATCATGTGTCCCACTTTTGAGAAAAAGTGTTGGGCTCAGTAATTCCTTTGCAAGAAGGACAAGAGTGTGGCAGTCCACCACAACATTCAGGTTTCAAATGTCCTATCAGGTTGTGCCTTGATCCATTCTCAAGGTCAGTTAAGAGACCAGATACTTGGACTATTGCAGTTGTGTCCATTCTTCAAAGCTGCATTGATTGTGAATTCTTCCTAGAAACTGCAAGGAGCCAGCTTCCCATCTTTGTAATCCAGTTTTGCTGGCCTCTCTTTGCATGAAATGCTTTCAGGTATTTTTGCAAGGCTACCAGTTACATTTGACCGATCTGTGCAATGGATCAAAATTAGAAGAGGTGATTCAGCTCGGTGACCAAGATGTTTCCAAACTTTGTGACCTGCCAAGAGAAAAACTGGATGCAGCAGAGAAAGTACTTCGTTCCAACATGGATATCCTGAAGCCAGTCGTGGTGAGTAGACTTTCTGTGTGGAGAAGCTTCAAGTACTAGTGCTTTTGGAATGTGAAATTATTCCTTGGACAATCTGACTTTGTTTTGTAGAAACAGGGCTGACTGGAAGTTTGAGATTTAATTTAGCTCAGTGGTATTCTAATTGTTCTTTCAAACTTTGGGCCACCTTCCAAAGACTAAATGGGGTAAAAATGAGGTGGGTGTGGTTCTGAGTCCAAGCCTGAATTGAATACAATCCAGCTTGGATTCCAAGGGAATCCAGGGTCCCGGGTACCTAGATTCAGTCAGAGAAAACCTAGTGTTTAATGTTCGTTTATATTATAATTTGAGATTTTAAGAGTTCATTTGGTGAAAGAGTTCCCCAGGTTTTAAAAAAAGCATCTCAAAACCATTAATGGGAAGATGGATGTCTATTCATTTCTAAAAGCCCATCAGAAAGGCGACATGAACTGTCACAGTGGGAAAACCCTGGAATGGGATGGAAGTGCACTCAATAATTAGCTTAATCAATAACAAAATTGCATGAACAGAAAAAGAAATTTGAAAGTCTGATCAGTCAAGGAATCAATACTTCAGAGACACAATCCACGAAAATACACTTTATTCTTAATCAAAGAATACAGATGAGCCTGAGCATATTGGGCACCAGAGTGTTATACATAGTTCCAGAACAGGCATAAATCTTTGGGTTTTCTGAGAGCTCTGGTGAAATTCTCTTCCAACAACATCCCTTAGTATCCAGCTCTCTTTTTTCCCTATTCTGCAGATAGCACTCTGATTTGTCAGTAGATTCTCTTAAACCAGGGAAGGAGTCCTGGAAGATGGTTGTGCCTGGAAATAGATGTTTCTCATGATAATAAAAAAAAATGGACTCTTCTGGGACTTGGTGCAGGAGAGTATTAAAGGGTACTAAGAATGTTCAGGAAATGTGCTCAGATCACACCCTAGAATTGGCAGGCACATCCTGCCATTTACACTCTTCACTTGATCAAGAATTTCTTGTATCCTGTTTGATTCTATAATGCCTGCGGTTTCTGCCTGAGATGAAGGTGGTGGTAAACTTTGCGTTCTTGGGTGTTTCTATGGCAGAGTTGATGGTGAGCCAGTCAATGTGAAGGATTTAGGCCTAATACTAAGATCTGTTCAGCTTTATTCCAGAAGGGGTATAGTCTGTTCAGTGTTGAAAGAATACTGAATTGTTTTGTTCACTGCTCTGTGATTCTGTTGGTTAATGTTCCTAATATAAAATTTTAAGTAAGATATATTTCTGAATGGGGATGTTTGTAACCTACTTACCTGGTTAAAGAGCTACATAAGCTTATTTGTATAGACATTCCCAGCCTGTTGGCTTCTTTCACTTAAGAGAGACATAGAGGGTTGAAGGTTTTTACAAATGGTAGACCCTTTATTGGCCTGTTTTGCTTAACTTCACTACAAGGCATTGAAGCGGTCACTTTTTCTGCCAGGATAATTTAAATTTTGGAAAGGGGGTGCTATTAGAAGACATAATAATTTATTCTGTGGCTAATTGTTTTGTTTGTTTACTAGTTAAATACCTATTGTGTGCACAACCCAGTAAAACCCCTTTGCTCATAAAACATCTGGATTGTTCCCTATGTAAATGACAGTATAGCCTTTGTAATAAGACAATCATAGTTTCAACTGGAAAAATCTGTTTGGGAGGACTAGCATGATACGGTATGTGGAAATGCACTGTCAAAACTGTCAGCTATATCACAGCCCATCCTGTTGTGTTGTGGTTGTGCATTGCACATCAGTTGATTCATGACTAGTTATTGATTAGGATGGCTACCATGTGCTTTCTGTGCATCTCTTCAGGTTCTGTTCTTGTCTGCTGTTGCTGAGAGATCACTCTATAATATCAGAAAATGGGACTCTTCCTTATGGAAAACATTTTTTGGAGATTTCTCAAAATATTAAAAATGGGTCTGCCATGTGCTCCAGAAATTCCACTCCCAGGTATCTACCTGCAGAATGTGAAAACACTAATTCAAAGGGATATATGCACACCTATGTTCATTGCAGTACTACTTATAATAGCTAAGCTATGGAAACAACCTAAGTGCCCAAAGACAGATAGGTAGATTAGAAAGATGGGATAATTATACACAATGGACTACTACTCAGCTGTAATAAAAGAAAATAAACTCTTGCCTTTTGTGACAACATGGAAGGAACTTGAGGGGATTATGCTAAATGAAATAAGGCAGAAAGAGAAAGACAGATACTGGATGGTGACACTTACATGGGGAATACAGAGAAACAAAACAAATGATAAACCTTAGAAATCTGTTGATTTCTACCAGAGAGAAAGGGAGAGGGAGGAGAGCAAAGTGGGGAGAGACTATAGTGGAAGACCATGGGTGCGTTGGTGGTAACTGTGGTGCATTAACATACACTTAAAAGGTGTGATGCCATACCTCTAAGTCATAATCAAACATTGCAAACCAATGTCACCTCAAATAAACAAATAGAGAAATAAATAGAGAAATAAAATAAAATTTTTAAAAAAGAAAACAAGGTTCTTGAAATATAATGAGTAGTCAGAATGGTTCTGTGTAAAGGATACTTTGGGAGATGAAATGACTTCAAAACACTTTGAAATGTGACTCTTATTTATTAAACTAAATGGTCTTAATTGGAGTGCTGGGATTGCTATTTGATTTACATCAAACAGCTTTTTACTCCTGCCTCTTGGTTGAAATTTCAGCATTTGAGATGGTAGCTGGGTATGGCATGCACCATCATTGCACATGGACAATTGATTGTTCCAGGAAACATAACAGGAGCAGCAACCAGTGTTGGACCCAACATCATGCAAATAGAAGCTCATCTGTCAATGTATTTTGCACCAAATGTAGATTTTTTAGGAGCAAGAGAGATTTCGAAATCTCTCTCCATATATATATATATTTTGTTGGTGTGCATATTTTCTCCTTTTCCAGCCAAGCATTTTCTTCCTCTTTCTCCTGGCCTCCTTCAGTCTCCAGATGACCTCTGGGAAGCAGTGTTTTGACAACATGGGGAAATGTGGCAGAGTGGAAAGGGCATGGACTTGGGGTCAGCTGCATCTGGCTTCAATTATTGCTTCGGCATTTTACCAGCTGTGTGACCTTGGATAAATTATTTGGCCTCTGTGAAGCCAAGTTTCCTCCTGTTTTACATGCAGATAATAGAGTTTCCCCATTGTTGTGATTATCACCATGCATATGAAGAACCCAGCATGGGGTCTGGCATAATTAGGTGCTTAATAATAAACATTAATAATTTGATACAAATAATGTAAATTATATGACAAGAACATTGCTGGGAAATTAAATATTTCCCTCTGTAGGTCAGTGATAGGAGTTGGATTAATACCATACAAATGAGTCCTGAAGAATATTTGATGAAAAATTGTGTTCTTTACCTAGTGTCTTGACTGCTTACCCTATAGATTTTTATTTATGTTTATACTTCAGTTATGCCTTGCTTTAGAACTTAATGCTGGATGTCAGAATGCTATTGCATCCTTTAAACTCACTGGAATTAAACAAGTTCCCAGTAAATGTCCTACTTTTTTATTTAAAAACAATCATTGAACAGTAGGAGTTTGTGTCAGATATGTTCCTGAGAGCCTTGCAAAAATGGCTTTCTGATAAGTATAGTAATGGTTTAGCTATATTATCTCTAGTATAAATGCACATATTCATGGAGACTTGTGTTAGTGTTCATAGTATTTGAACTGTTGAGGTAATTATCTCTAGGAGGAAGTCAGGGCCATGTGGCAGTAACTTCTGTGGTCTTATCTCTGGGCAGGTTGGCTGGGTAGGTAAACATTCCTTCCCTTTCCCTTTCCGAAGCAGCACACACATTTCCCTGACAGAGGGGAATATATGGGGACCTTTCTTGGCCATCCCACAATAACCTCCCATCTCCTTTGAACTGTTGGAAGGAGCCATAATATTGATAGTAGAGGGGGACCCTCCCTGGTGGTGCAGGCAGTTGAGCGCCGCACTGTGAAGCTGTCCACAGTCTCTGCACCACGGGTTTGATCCCGGCTGGCTGGTGAGAATCCCACATGGTGCAGCAGACCTCTCCTGTCTCACCTGCTGCTCCCCTCAGCAGTGTATTTTGTCAGTCTGCCTGTTCTGTTCCCCATTCTGTCTCTGGTGAATCCTCTCACCCTCCCATGCATCTCACCTGTACCCCTGTTCTTGTATAAAAATAAATAAATCTTTAAAAAGAAATATTGATAGTAGATTGGCAAATTTGGACCAGCAGGATTCATTTGCTTCTTTCCAAGATCCTTGCTAATTATTGGTTTTCTAATGCTGTATTAACAAATTGCCACAAACTTAGTAGCTTAATACATCATGAATTGATAATCTTACAATTCTGTAGACCAGAAATCTAGGTACAGCATGGCCCAGTGGGACCACTTAAAACCCCGCTTTTGGAAGATGAATCTGATTCTGGCTCATTCAGGTTGGTTGTTGAATTCAGTTCCTTATATTCGTAGAACTGAGGTTCTTGTTTTCCTGCTAGATATCAGTTAGGGGCCCGCCGAGCCTGCCAGCACTCCTTCATGATGCTTTCATATGGCGCCTCTCCAGGCTCCGTAGGAACCTCTCTCCTTCACATCTCTTTCTGCCTCATTTCTCTGCCTCTAGCCAGAGAAGTTTCTCTGCTCTTAAGAAACTCACGTGATTAATTTGGACTCAGCTAGATAATGCAGGACATTCTCCATAACTCTAATTATAATTACATCTGTAAAGTACATTTTATCATGTAATGTTACCTAGTCACAGGTTCCAGGGATTAGGGTTTAGACAGATTTGGGGAGGTCGTATATCCTGCCACAAATATCTATTGACTGATAGGTATTTTCCAATACATCTTTGAAGTGTTTCCTCAGTGTCCTTGGCTTTTCTTAGTCCCTCTTGAGCCCCATGACCTCTAAAGCATAATAAAATATGAGAGGGGCTCTAAAGCATAATAAAATACTACCCATTACAGTGAGAGCAATGACTTTGGGAAGCAGAGCATCTCTGAACAAGGCATGAGGTATCTGTCAACAAAAATCAGCAACTATAAGTCTGTTTTGTACCAGTGCCATTCTAGGCACTGACAGTTCAGCTTTGAGTGAGACTGGCAACAGGTTCATAAAACTTCCACTCCGGTGGGCTTGGAGCACCAACTTCAAGGCCGAGATGGGGAATTAAAGGATTTCTCCACAGTTCTGTAGTGTGAGGGCTGTCTTCCCATCCCACTTGTACTGATGACCTCCCAACAACTCTCTGACAGCAGTTATTGCCAATGTGGGATACTATGAGCCTTGGCAGAAGGAATGTGGGGTTCATTAGGCTTGGGTGCCAGTCCTGGATCACCATTGACTCAGTGATGTGAAGATGATACCTAATCCTTAAATGGGGGAAAACAGAGTCTGATTCTTAAGTTAGGAAGGATAGGATACAGATTAATCTCTACCGCTGTGTAACCATGTGTTGTATTGTCTTGACCTATGATAATACCTTCACCCTAAAAAGGAAAGTGCTATTTCTCTGGAACAAAGCGTTCTGTTTACATGTCTTCTGATGCATGCAGCACATTCTTGCAAAGGCAGAACTCAGTTCATGGGACAAAGGAGGTGAAGTGATAGTGCTCTGAGGCCCCTGGAAAACCAGTGATCTCATAGTGGGTTGTGTATTATAGAAGGAGCAGATGGGTTGAACAAATTCATCTTTGTCTTGGAGGGTCTTTGCTGTCTTCTTACCCTTAAACAAGGACTCAGAATACAGATGAAGCTTGGCTTGTTGTTTTTTGGGACTAGATACTTCAACTTGTCACATTCAGTCCTTACAGCATTTGTGTAGGGGTTCTGTTGGAGGAGAAAACGCTTGCTTTTCCTCTCCTCCTGCCTGAAATTCAGACATTTGTGTGAAGTATCAGATTTTGTTTGGCTTTGTTTGATTTTACTGCCCACCTGCTTACAACATATGCTTTTGCTTGGCAAGCAATTGCAATCCCCATCATTTCATAGTTGGTAAAATGACATGCCTTGCAGATTTACTCTTCAAATTCTATGTTCACCTGATTCCTATGGGAAATTTGGAGTACAGAACTGAGGGATACATTGGTGAATTTAACAGTGTGTTAATGTGTCTATTCAACTCCATCTGTCCATAATTTTTTGCCTCAGTTATACTAATTCTTCCTTTTAAAGTGTTGCCATTTTAAAGTAGAGGTTCATTTTGGTCCTGAATGATGTGATAGCAGGTATGTTTAACTGTGTTTAGAAACAGAAAAAAAATGCAGTACTTGAATACATTAAATAAATCAATTTTAAAATTTAAATTGTTGAACTGTTTCTTGAAAGATCAGTAGTTTTCTCTGATATGAGATTTATAATTCTCTACTTCAACAACAAAAAAATGTTAAAATATTCCCCAAAGTAAAACTTTGTCATGTAGATCATTGGAAAGAAACAGTGATTGCTTCTGGGTGGTGATAAGTCTTTGTACCCAGTGTGTGTCTTACTTATTTTCAATTTGAACAGAAACATGTAAATCTTAGCCTTCCGTTGGATTTTCTGTACACGAGTAAAGTGAAGTAGAGACTTTAAGCTACTTTATGAAAGTGTTTAAATGTGAAATATCCCATTGAACACATTGTAACTTAGATGAAAACAATATTGTGTATTATATTGAATGTTTTTCAAAGGTGCCCATATTTCACTTTATCTAGTAGTCTAGTCTCTGAAAAATCTGTGTGTGGAGCAGATTTTTTTAACTTGAAGAGTTTTCAGTCACATTTTAATTTCACCGATGTTCTGTATGCTACTGTGACTTCAAATTAGTAATATTCACTTCCAGTCTTCATTTTATTTTTTTTAGTTTTTTTTAAAGATTTATTTATTTATGTATACAAGAACTGGGGTAGAAGCCAGAGGTGTGGAGGGTGAGAGGATTCACCAGAGACAGAGTGGGGAACAGCACAGGCAGATTGACTGAAGTACACTGCTGAGGGGAGCAGTGGATGAGTCAGGAGAGGTCTGTGCTGCCATGTGGGTTGTTCCCTGCATGGCCGGGGATCGAACTCATGTTGCAGTGGTTGCGGAGAGCTTCATAGGTTGCTTCTTAACCCCTTGCGCCACCAGGGAGACACCAGTCTTCATTTTATATAGTGATCATCTATAAACACTAAATTTATTCATTCAGCAAATGCTATTGAACCCTGGTGTGTGTCATGCACTGGACAAGGGAGACTATGGCGAGCAAGAATCAGTAGTCTCTGAGTTTCCGTGCTGGTTGGGGGTTTAGTGGCCCTGACGGGACTTTCTGACCCAGTCTTTTGAGGATCGGGAATAAAAACAGAATAGAGGGTAGCCAGATAAAGTACAGGGAAGAAAATGTTCCAGGCAGAGGTCATGGCATGTGCATGGAGCCAGAGGGGAGAGAGAAGGTGGCATTTATAGGATCTGCACATTACTGGTTCAGAGTGAGTGGGTTGGAGTGGAGTAGATATAACCGTGGGGAGTTTCATGGGAGAATGAATGGTAAGATGTGACCATGTAGCTGTTGGGCCTCATCCTCTGACTGAGGGAGTCAGATAAAGGCTCCACGGGATGAGAAACTTGTGAGGTGAATCAAAACAGAAGGGGAAATGTACGTCTTTTAAAGAAATGGAAAAAACCCTCTTTGTAAAGGAGAGGTGTTGTTTTGATAGTGAATTTTTGAGGGGGGAGATGAAAGGCAAGGATGTCATTATTTATAATTGTGAGGACCTACAATATGCCAGGCACTGTTATGGCTCTCTGTGTGTATGCCCTAGTCTGTTACATGAAGTGCTGTGAATATGTGCACATGATATTAACTCTGTTGCATAGTTGAGAAAATAGAAGCACGCGGAATTTGAGCCATTTGCCCAGGGTGTTGTAGCTACTCCCCTCCCTCCATCCTAATAACCAGCGAAGAAGGGCAGAGTGACAGGAATGACAAGAACCTTATTTACATTCGGACCTTATGAAAGAAATGGGTTAACCCCTACCAGTTTTTAAGATTTTTACATTTACATTTTTTACACTAATTAAACATTTTGTTTTGCTATACAATTCTGAACATGTACCATCTTGTGGACCTCATGGTAAGCACAAAAACCCTTTCCCTCCATGTCTTCTAATTACGACCTCCCAGTTTGTTCAAGTTTTTCTTCCAACAAGTTCTCCATTAGGTTTAACTTTTAGTGTAGGTTCAACTTTTGGTTATAATGTAAACCTGAAGAGAATAAGAAAAAAACCAAAAACACCCCACCTATTTGCTCATGAATTCACTTCATGGAGAGAAAAGTCATTAGCACTGTGACCCTCTGAGTATAATGTTTAAGGGGCTCCTTGGCCCAGCAGAGGACTGGGGGTGTGGGAATGCCAGATGCTGGTGAGTAAGCCATTGTGGGAGAGCTCATAAATCAAGCTGAACAAATTATTTCACAGGGTGTTTAGATAGATTTGATCAGAAATGTATATTCAGGATTATGCTTGCATATTATGATGGCATGATGATATTAACTTGACCTTGTTGCATATGGAGTTTTCTTGAAAGGAAAAATTCCATACTACTCTTTCTAAGAAACAGTGATGATGAGCTTCATTCACTTTTAGCCATTTTCTCTGCAGTCTGTTTTCTGATTTTACAGCAGTCTGATACAACACAAATACCAAAGTAACCCAGGTTTCTCTAGATTCAGAGGTGATTGGTACAGAATAAAATGATGCCATTGAAAAGCCAAGGAAAGATGGGTTTCCCCTTAATAACATTTCTCCTAATTGACAAATAATAATGTTGAAACTCATCCTGTATTTTTCCTTTGGGAGTCTGAAAACTCAGAATCAAATTTGAGGCTCTTCAACTGTTGCCATTCTGGTCTCAGAGACTGTGCGTTATTGTTTTTTTTCCTTCTCTAGCTTAGGCTTTCTGCCCTAACTTATTTTCCTTAGGCCCAGTTATTTTCTGTGCAGCATGGTGGCATATAATAGCAATTAAATATATAAGTGAATAAATAAAAAGATTTGGCTAAAACTAGACATAATGATACATGTTCTGTATTAAATTTCCAGTGTTAGAGCCAGTGCTGACTTGAGTAGAATAAAAAGGGAGAACTCTTCTTTCTCATACTATTAGCAGCTCTAAGCTTTATATTTTCTTCCTTTCTTATGAACCTTGTTTCTCAAGGTTATTCTCCTGTTGCCTGTTTTGCAGAAACATAGACAGGGTTGGGAATTTGTGGTTAGAGTTGCGTTGGATGCGCGTGTGCGCACACACACACACACACACTACCCCTCCCCCCATGAGATATTTTTATCTTTTGCCATGTCAAGTAGTTTTAAATATATATTCCTACATCATTTAAGAGCATTCATCAACAAATTAGTAATTCTTATCTGAAATAAATAACATGTCAACATTACATATAGAATAGTTTTAGTATTTTATTTTGCTTAGCAGTGAGTTTCTTATGTTTTAAACTCAAGATTGTGAATGGTTTTAATTAACTTGTTTATTTTCAGTAGAGACTTCCAGTTTACATCTGAGCTTAGAAACAGTGTTTTTTTTTTTTCCTCATTTCAGAGAGAACTAAACTCTACATCTCCCTTCCCGTATAAGGAGCTGACGGAAGCCACAAAAATTTTGCTGGATAGTCTCGGGACTCTGGCCCAAGAGGTAAGTAGTGTCTTTCTAGCATCAGAAGACAGACCATTCACAGTCACCTTTTCTTTGACCTTGAGTTTGGCTGAGAGAGTCCTTTTGATTTAATATTATATGAAATGTAAAATCAGTGTTAGAAGCATCATTGATCTTAAAAATCATCTGGTTTTATCTCTATACTTCAGAAATGAAGAAACAGATGCATAGTTAGTGCTTAACTGTCCAGTGTCTAGTTTGGAATTTCTCCTATTGTTACGCTCTGTCCCAGGTTTCTGACATGTTGGTAAAGAGGATAAATTCCTCCTCAGCCTTCATGTGTTGCTTTCATCTTACCAGCAACTTCTCCATATTTCTTCTTCAAAAATAAGACTAGTCATCTTTTTACCAAAACATACGTTTGCTAACTAAAGGGGAAAACATAGTTACTTTAAATCATATCTTCCCCTTGTGAATATCTGGCCTCTGAAAATATCATCTCTTGATAAATACTAAGTTTGCCTTTCTGGCCTACACGTTGACAGGTACATCAAGATAACTTTTGTCATAGAATCAGAAGGTCTGTGGGTGCATGCAGAAGCAGTTAACCTTTCCTCTGCCTCCTAGGCAGCTGAGTGTCACCTTGCTGACACCCAGCCTTGTTTCAGATTAGACTTGGAAAGGAGGAACTGTCTGGAGCCCAGCATGTAAGGAGCTGAGCCAGAGAGCAATGGGCAGAAACAATGTATGCCTTAATGTATAAGGCACTAAGTATAAATCATTGGTGGGGGAATTTTCTCAGACCTGTTCCAACCTTATTCTGAGTTGCTTCTCTAACTCATTTGTTGTGTTTGTGTCATTTTTTTCAAGTATCAAAATTTACTTTGGCTTTTCTGAGATTAAAAGTGTTGCATATTCACTGGGGAAAAAGAAGAACATTTGGAAAATACAGAAAACACTGTGATCACGTACCATCGCCACTTCAGTGTATTGCTTTCAATTCCATTCTCTTTTCTTTTTTAATTTTGCTCATGTCTGTCTTAACTGTAGCGGTTTGGCATTGGGGTCCTTTTTAGGAGGAGACACCCTCTTTCAGCCTGCTGTTTGTTGCTCTAGCTAGCAGTGCTGCTGACTTTCTGTAGGTGGAGAGTCTGGGTCACCCAGGCTTCTTCCAGGAGGCAGAAAGAAAACAAACTGCCCTGCAAGTTCATGGCTATTTCTCTAGAGCCTTGTTAGCTGACATAGACCTGCCCTGTACAACTCTTAAAGATCCCTCTCCCAGCCTTACAGAAAGCAAAACAGGGCCTGGAACCTGGGAGGCTGCCTCTAAATGCAGGGTCTGGTTACAGCTGTTTCCTCTTACATCACTGGCCTGCCTTTTGTCTGGGGTAAAACAATAATTGAAAGCATGTGATGCTCCCGTTGCTGATGTGGCAGAAACTGACTGAGATTATACATTTTTCTTGGCAGCTTTTTCTTTGCACCCTGCCTGCTCCCTAGCCCAGGGCAAGCAAGGGCCACCCCTTCTCTCAATAGAACATCTTCATCGCCCAACTTGCTGTTCTCTGGGACAAATGGGAGGATGTAATAAATAAATGCACTTGTTTATCTGTTCAGCGTTTAGAAAGACAGTTGTTTGTTTTCACCAAAGCACAACTCTTGGAAGGAAAAGAGAGAGGGAGCAGAATTTTTTGAAGAGCTCTGGTCATGCAATTTCACCCAATTTCCCTGTAAAATCCACATGGCAAAAGTGAGTGGTTTTTAGTGTGCCCATTTTAAAGATGATCCCCAGGATTGGAAAAGTTGCAGGAAAAGACAGCTCACCCACAGTCATCTAGTTAGTTAATTGGCAAAACTGGGATTTGAACCCAGAATGGTTGGATGCCAAGGCCCATGTTCTTGCTGCCAGTGCTTACTTTTTGTCTGACAAACTCTGATGGTAACTGGAATAGAATAGAAGGGAGAGAAAATGTGGATTCACAGAACCTGGCATGTGGGTGGGAATGAGGAGCTTATATGAGCTTCACATCAGGGAGACTAGGGATCTGTGTCTGATGAAACAGGAAAGCAGGACAGGGAGCCATGTCTGTTATCCACCTAGCTCCTTCCTGGTGCCTGACTTTGCTAGATTTCAGAATTCACAGTGAGTGTACTCACTTCCCGTACTCCTGTGCCTACGATGGGACAGATATGAACAGGTCAGTGTGTACTGTGGCAGTGTGAATGTATGCAAAGAGAGAAATAAAACTAGGTAAGGGAGGATGAGGATGGTGAGGTGTTGATTTAAAGAGGCAAGATTAGGGGAGTCCTCTCTGATAAGATGGTATTTGAGGCTGAGAAAATGGACGTGTGTCCTCCATCCAAGCAAGGGGAACTACACACACAGACACTGACAGGAGGCATAATTAAAGGATGTATTTAAAAATTAAGGGGAGACCAGTGTGGCCAGAACAAAGTGAGCAAGTGAGAGTGTGATTGAGATGAGGGCAGAGACGGAGGTGAACACCTGGCAGGTCTGATGAGGGTGGTTGATGCTGAGTGGGTGGAAGCAGTGGGGGTTTTGGAGCAGAGAAGCAGATGACTGACCTAGAGTATAAGACTTTACATTCTGCCTGTTAAATTGAGAAGAGACTGTAGTGGGCACTAGGGAAGAAAGAACTATTATAGTTGATTGAGAAGGCAGTGAGTCAGACAGCCTGTCATTCTCTCCACAAACAATGATCAAACACTGGCTTTAGTTGCCTGGAGGACAAATAGCCATCTTTCCCTGTGAGTAGGAGCGGTTCACAGAGGAAGTGTGGAGCATGGGATGAGGTATGAAAGAATGAGTAGAACTTTGCTCCAGTGTCAGGTGCTGCAGGGAGCCCAGGGTTGGGGATAACTCTGTCCAAAGATGCCCTGGTTTTATATGGGAAAAGGGCTTTTCTTTCGGTCGGGGGATGGTGAGATGGTGGTGTGAAGCAGCAGGGCAAGTAAGTGACTTTTACTCACTACTGTTGAAAAATCTCCAGCGAATTTGGCCCACCACCAAGAAGGAAGGTGGTCTGGCTACTTCACCCCTCCTGTCTATATTGAGGTCGTGAAATATAAAGTCAGGGAAGGCTGGTCACCTCTTGGTGTTCTCATGGCTTGTGCTACATGCTGCTTCTCTGGAGGGAAATCCTCATGACCTCGGGACCTTCCTTGAAGTGCCTCGTTCTCTTCTGGAGGCAAAAGATAAAGGCAGGATGTACCACATCTAGGACCATGTTACTTGTAGGAGTCATCAGGGTCTGTGAGACTGAAAAGTGGGCATGTAGAGTCTGAACGCAGGCCTTCTCCAGGGCATGTGCAGCATCCTCTCCCCTCTACTCTCCATGGCTCAGTCTTCCAGGTGGTGAGAACATGTGACATTCAAGGAATGTAGGGGTTTATTAATGATTTATTGTGAAATGCATGGAAATGCAAAGTGCTCTATAAATATTTAATTAGAAGAGCAATCAGGCCAAGAACCCCGCTAGGTGCCGGAGTACATTTGTATGTGAGACAAAGTGCTTGTGGAGTTTAAGTCACAGACACAGCCTCTGGTTGCCTGGGCATCTGAGTCATTCTGTGCTGTGCAGGGCCCTCTCCCGCAGGCCTTGTGATTTATTCCTTACTGTATTCTGTTTTATGATGTTTAGCTTATGGTCTTTTTTTTTTTTAAAGAGTTATTTATTTATTTATACAAGCACTGGGTACAGTCAGAAGCGCGGGAGGGTGAGAGAATTCACCAGAGCCAGAACAGGGAGCAGAACAGGCAGAAGGACCGAAGTACACTGCTGAGGGGAGCAGCGGGTGGCAGGAGAGGTCTATGCACCATGTGGGACCCTCGCCAGTGGCCGGGGATTGAACTGGCGCTGCAGAGGCTGCGGGCAGCTTCACAACCCAGCGCTCAACCGCTGCGCCACCGGGGAGGCCCTAGCTTATGGTCTTAATGAGAAGTTGGACCCTCTAAGGCTGTAAACTAGTGAGAGACATAGCTGCTTTCAAACTCACGTCAGCCACCTATGCTTTGTCCATTCCTCGACACTTAACCAAGATGAGGATGGGTCTTCACACATAGTGCCTTTTCTCCCAAGGGTTTCTACACTAAAGATTGAGGTGATAATATACACCTGTCAGTGCTTGAGCTCCTGGTGGCTGTGTGTGAACACATAGCTGTTCAGAGAATGCTTTCTCTTTCATAAGCCAGAAGATAACCCAGATGAACTCAAGCCTGTCACCAGGGTCTTCACTGACTTCTAGGCTGTGCTTCTTAATATGTGCATAGAAGCAACCTGAGCATATTGTGAAAATGCAGATTTAAGTGGTGGATAGATAGACCAGAATGTGCATTTCAAACAACCTCTCAGATAACGCTGATGCTGCTCATCTCCGGATCATGAGTAGAGATGAGATGTTGTCAGACCAGGTGCGTCCTGGGGTGTGACAAGAAAATAAGATTTTTTTTTCTTCTCTGCCCCAATCCTTGCTCTGTCGACCCTTTCTCCCCTCTTCCCTCTGTCTCTTGATCCCTGACACCAGCTGTTCAGCATGAGGAGCTGGAGTGATATGCGACAGGAGGTGATGTTTCTGACCAATGTGAACAGCTCCAGCTCCTCCACCCAGATCTACCAGGCTGTGTCTCGCATCGTCTGTGGCCATCCTGAGGGTGGGGGCCTGAAGATCAAGTCCCTCAACTGGTATGAGGACAACAACTACAAAGCCCTCTTTGGAGGCAATGGCACCGAGGAAGATGCTGACACCTTCTATGACAATTCTACAAGTGAGTGACTGGAGCCCTAGCCCCATCCTGCCATAGTTCTAGACTCAGCTCAGAGTTACTTCTTCCCTCATTTTTACCCCTTATCAACTTTGTAGCAGCATTGGGCATTGACAAGTTTGTTTCCCCACATGCTGAGACTGAGCTCCTAGAGAAGTCTTTTCCTCAGCAGCTCACAGTACCTGTATCTGTGAGAGGGCCTCACACATTTCAGGTGCACAGTGTGTTTATTGAATGAATAAATGATTGAAAGTTATCTCCCTACCTTTCTGGGGAATGGTTCCTGGAGTAATCAAGGATCTTTCCCTCCTTTCCACTTCCCCTTTCTCTCCTCACCTTCCTTGAGGTATGCTTTATAACAAGACTTTATAATAAAACCTTGAGAATATAACTAACACTAACTTAAAAATAACAATAAAACAATAAAAGCTGACATTTAGGGAATAGTTTCTATGCACTGTGCATTCTATTTTAGATATCCTTTACCATAGCCTTATAAAGAAGGCTTCATAACCCTGCATTTTATAGGCGTAGAGAGGTAAATGACTTGGTCAAAACCACAGAATAGCTAACCCACAAAAGCTGCAGTTAAGCCCAGATCTGCCTGGCTCCATGCTTTTTTCCCCGTAAACCACACTACCTCTGAATACCTGTTAGGGGTGGTATGTGTACCATCAGACCTGGGCATTTGATCTGCTGTTTGTTTTGGTTCTTAGCTGCAAGGTGGTGTTAAAGAATCTTGTAACTCCATATCTGCTACCCACACTTGGGCAGTTTTGTGGTGATGTGTGTCCTGTGCCTGGTGGCAGCAAGGAGTCAGTGTTACAGTTTCAGACAATGGCATCCCTTTCCTTGAAAACAAGATGCAAGTGAGCCTTTCTCCATTTCTAACCGCAGGTGTGTCTTTCAGACACTGAGTGAGGCAGGTTTTGTCTGTTACTGTAACACAAGAACCTTTTATTCTTCTCTGGAGTAAATGCTGTAGATGTGGCAGATTGCTTTGCTAGCCTGAAGGGATGGCATAATAGGCAGTTTTCTGAAATCCCCTCCCCTACCTTGCAAATCAACCCAGGGGAACTGTCATTTGCACAACAGATATAATTGCAAGCAAATCCTACTTATTTTAAAGATGTAAAGGAAAAATTTATTATGTTTTTGCTTTTAAGGAAAATAATTGGGATTTTTGAATGACATAACACATACAAATCAGCCTTTAAAAAATCTTACTACCTTTGCAGCGTATAGGGAATACCTGGTGTCTAAAAGAACCTGGCATGGACAAACAAACCAAAAAACTTCAGAAATCCTTCTGAATAATCAAACCCTGTTGTCTGTTTTAGTATTGGATTTTTCAGTTTGAGAATTTTATTACATTTATTACATATACTTGTGATGAGACCTATTAATTATTGGGACTTTTTTTTTTGCTTAAAAACCAAAGTCTGAATTCAACCCTCTGTTTTCAAAGAAAAGTGTGGGGAGGGCTGGCATAAGAGAATGAAGCTGAGGTTTCACAGCTTGTATATAGTAGAAACATTTTCCTAGATTGACTCAGTTGTGAGTTATCCATCTTTAACATTATAATAAGCCCTGATTACTTATCAAGCATTGTTCTAAGGGTTCTACAGATAACATCTCATTGATTATTAACTTTACTTTTACAGAAGTGCAAACTGAGGTTCAGACAAATGAAGTTGTTATATGCTATTAAGTGGGAGAGCTGGGAGTTGAATCCAGGATTGTCTGGCTGGATCCAAAGCTGTTGTTAATTCCTACAAATAAGTCATCATGCTTATGAGTATTTGCCTTTCATCATCCTCCTAGCTCCTTATTGCAATGATTTGATGAAGAATTTGGAGTCCAGTCCTCTCTCCCGCATCATATGGAAAGTGCTCAAGCCTCTGCTTGTTGGGAAGATCTTGTATACACCTGACACTCCAGCCACAAGGCAGGTGATGGCTGAGGTAAGTTGCCCACACTCTTCCCAGAATCATCCTGGAATTAAGGGCAAAAAAGTAAAGACAGCTTTGAGTGGAGTATATTGAATATACTCATGCTCTTCTGGGATTTCTAAAGAATGAGAATTTCAAGTCTGAACCAGGCCAGAGCTGATTATTTAGGGCCCTGGGTGTTTGAATCCAGCTTTGGGTATTGAATCATAACGTAGGCAGGTACTCCTTGGGGATGGAAAAGACTGGGAAAAGGCTACTTGATGGAGCATCTTTTCAGGAAATAGCTGACTTTTTTATGCCTCTGCCTCTCCTTTTTCTGCTGTTCTGTATCCCCATATGATTCAGGTGAATAAGACTTTCCAGGAACTGGCTGTTTTTCATGATCTAGAAGGCATGTGGGAAGAGCTCAGCCCTAAGATCTGGACCTTCTTGGAGAGCAGCTCAGAAATGGACCTCATCCGGGTGAGTGTCACTCTGATTACTATGTGCCTTCTTGATGCTACAGAGGTAAATTTCTGATCCCTTTCCTAGCAGTGACTGAGGTGAGAATTCTTCATGTTCACTCACTAAGAGCATAGCTTAAACCCGAGAGCTGTCACCTTGCAGAGAGCTCTAGGGGTGGTGCACAGATAACAGCTTCATGCACATCAGCATCAATGCATCTCGTGGGTAAAAAAATCAGCTTTCTAGGAAACTTAATGTGTTTTGGTATTTAGAGCAAAAGTTCGATAATTACAGGACCTTGACTATTTTCATTTCTGACTCTGGAACCAGCCACAGCATCTTACTTAGTCTTCCTCTGCCTTGGTAAGTCTTAGACAGAGATGTGGGAGCAAATACCTGCTCTGACCTGTACACCCATATGTATACCTGGTAAGACATCATTATTGTGTGAGGGGAACTGCACTTAGTGCTTCTGAACCACTCAAAAGGGATAAGTACTCTGGAGACAATTGGATTCAAAAGCAGAGGAGTCTGAGAAAGAACAGAATGTCTCTTTCGCTTGAGCTTGAGTGGCTTTTAATCACATCATCCCTGCCTTGGTCTGAGTCAGAGTGTCATTAGGCTATTTCCTATCTCCATGGTGAGGGAGGCCTCTTCCGTTTGTTTCTGCTGCCACTAAGATGCAGAAATTTTTTGCCAGATTTCTTGTCCTGTACTTCACTGATCAGAGGAGTTTTAGAGGTGGTACCTACCTAACAGGTACTATTGCAGGCTTAGGACTATCCCCTGACAGCCTGATACCCTGGGAGGGATGATACCCCTTGGGGGCCTTCTAATAATGAGAAAAATGGAGTCATCTTTGTTGTGCTAGTTCTATTACATGTGCAGAATTTTTTAATTGGGGCATTTAAAAGCCAAGGGAATTTTATAAGAAAAATGTGAATAATAATTTGTGTGGATTTATGAATAATTCTTAACCAAATAATAATAACAATAGCAACAGCAGCAGCAGCAGCAATTCACATCCTTCCTGTGTGGGTCCCTGTTGGGCTCCAGTCTTTCCTCTATAAGGGATGCATATGCCCCAGACACAGATAATGCCATAGACCTGAGCATGGTCTCAAGCCTCTTCTTCCTGGCCCTCCTTAGAATCCACATTTTTCTTTTTGGACTTATTTCCTTCTGAGTCACACAGGATGATGAGGGGCCCAATTAAAGGGACTCCCTCAGGCAGATGGATGCCTCCCCTCCTCTTTAATAGAGAGTTTGACTTGGATGCTTCAGTAGCTCATAGGCTTCCATTTCTTATGGTTCAAGGCCCTTGTGAACATCCATTGTGTTCATTAGGAATCCTGCTTGGAGGACCCAGGATATGTGATAGGAAATATAGGAGCTGTGGAGGGGGAGAATGACTCATGATTTGTAGTATCTTTAAGCTCTGGGGAACCATGAAAGGGCTTTATGCTGGGGGGTGGGGGCTGTAGATACATTACTGAGATATGACAGGTGGGTTGAAAAGGGGAAAGCTGGAAGGTAGAGACCAGGAGGTATCCAAGTAGGTAGCCAAGGTTTCAAGCATAAGTGAACGCCCTGGTGAACTGCTTGGTTGTGGAGAGGTGAAAAAAGAGGAGGTATTAGGATGAGTCTTGATTTCTAGCTAGGGATGGTGGGAATGTCCAATAGGTCAACGGATATTGGACCCTGAGGTGCAGGGCAGTGGTTGGGCTGGAGACACTGAATAGGGACTTGTCAGCCTGTGAGGAGGGGAAGTTGAAGAAACTTCCTTTCACTTCTAAGTAAACTTGGGTTTCTTAGTCCTCTGCTTCTCTGTAGCCTCATGTGTAGTACATGAGTCAGTGCTTGAGGCTTTTGATTCTGTTGGGATAGTTTTACCTTCCTTTCTTTCAACTTTATTGATATGTCACTGGCAAATAAAAATCATATGCAACTTGATGTATGCAACTTAAAGTATGCAACTTGATGTTTTCATAGAGGCATACATTGTGAAATGATTACCACAATGGAGCTAAGTAACGTGTGATCATCTCACATAGTTTAGTTACCACGGAGCAAATTTCAGTACAGTATAGCACTTAAATAAAAGTGCAGTATAACACTTTTAACTGTATGGTCAGCATGCTGTACATTAGGTCTCAGAATATATTCATATTGCATGACTGACTTTTTGTACTTTTCAGCCTCCCCTTCCCCTCTGCACCCATGCCTGAAAGCCACTGCTCTATTCTGAAGTGGTATTTACCAGTTTTCTGCTCTCTCTGGCTCTGTCTGCACCAACTGCATCATCCCACAGATCTGGGGTACTTCTCTGTTCAGTCACGAATCCATATGAAACTGTTGTCCTTTCTGAGCTTCTCTTTGCCTCCTCATGTAAAGGCCCTGCTTTATTCCCGCTTCCCACTCCAAGGGGTGATTTGAGGTCTCCTGGCCCCCTCAAGTTCCCCAGAATGGCCATGTGGTTAGTGATCTCATGGACATATCTTTCTGGTATTGCTTCCTTTGGCCATAATGCTCAGAAGCCACATGGGCAGGACAGACTCACCAAATGCACTCGTCTTTTCATTCAGTTCTTATTTGTTCAGTCTAAGTTTCTAAGTAAAATCATTTAAGAATTATTATCCCATACCCCTGTGAACTTTTGTGAGGTATAGTTTTGTGTCCATTATTTTAACAAAAAACATACATCTTACTGATGACAGCATAAATTGTCATTCCCTATTGGCAAGCAATTTGGAATGAAAATTGCAAGTCCCATAAAAATGTGTACCTCCTATTCTGCATACCCTTAAGGCTGTATAGTATAGAAATAATTATAAAAAAAGTTACCATGTGAGAGAAAATGTTATTGCTATAATAATTGTTTTTGTGAGAAATTAGAAGTAGCCTAATTGCTTAGCAGTATGGGAATAGTTAAAGAAATCATATACATTTCACAAAATCTTTATGTTCCCATTAAAATAATAAATACATAGTCACAGTAAGGGTGGGGGAGCTTATATGTTCGTAGAAATAAAACTGATGCAACGAGTAGCAGTGTTTGGCCCCTTGGCAGTTCCATTTTAGTAGAGCCAAGGTCGTGAAGCTGTGATGGGAGTTGCATCTGCTTTTGCTTTTCCATGAGCTGAGTTTGAGGCTGAGCCATTTTTCTGGCAGCACATATGCGCAGGTCTTTGGCCCAGCCATTACAACTTACTGGTTGAGTACCAGATTGTTTGTCCTTCTCTTCCATGTTGACCTCTGTGGGGAACTAGACATGGAAGACAGGTGTCCTTTGCTTATGATCCATGTATCCTACAGTGGGGAAAGCTTATATTTTACTTGATTTAACAGCAGCATTATTTTCTTAAACTTAGTAGCAAAAATGGGTTTGTCTTAATTCAGTTGAGAGATAGGGTCCTTATGAAGAATCTTTTGACTAGATCTCAAAAGTGGTGATATAATGCTGCAGAAAGATACAGTAGAATCTGAGAACCCTTGTTCTATATTCTGGCTCTGCTTCTTATTAGCTGTGTGACCTTATGTTAGAGACAAGACTTTTCTAAACCCTTTTTACCCTATCTGGAAAATGTCAGCTATTAAAGGTACATTCCTTAAGGAGTTATGTGAAGTAACGAATATCAATAATTCATATAGTAATTATAGAGAGTATGATTATTGTTACTAAAGTTAACTGTCAAGCTAGGCAGTTTGGTGTAGTGGGAAACACATGGACTCTGGATTCAGACTGGCCTAACTTTGAATATCAGCTCTATGCCTGTTAGTATATGACTTAGCCTTGGTTGAAATCATATTCTCCCCCTATCCTGAACCTCAGTATTCTGACTTATGAAATGGTAACACAGTTATCTACCTCAGAGTTTTCTTGGAAGGTAAACATAATAACACTTACATATATGAATGGTTTTTGTAAATCATAGCATGCTCATCAAGAATTAGGTTGTTGTTTACTACTTGTACTTTCTCTTTGGCATCACAGACACTATTGGACAGCAGGGTCAATGACCGCTTTTGGGAACAGCGGTTGGATGGTTTAGATTGGACAGCTAAAGATATTATGACATTTCTGGCCAAGTACCCAGAGGATGTCCAGTCCACTAATGGCTCTGTGTACACCTGGAGAGAAGCCTTCAATGAAACCAACCGGGCAATCCAGACCATATCCCGCTTCATGGAGGTGAGGACCTGTTCCATAGATCATTTGGAAAGGTCTTTGGCTTCTTTCTCTGTGATGGTACAGTAAGGTTTGATTGGAGGAAAGTTTAGAAGTAATGTATAGTCTTATTTACAGTAGAATCCCTCAAAAGAGGGATTCTCAGATGGCACTCAATAAAGTCAGTTGAATGAGTGAATGAGTAAATAAACAGACTTAACACTAGCTTTATTTTATTTGCTAAAGAACGTTTCTTTCCATTGTCTTCTAGATTTCCTGTGTTTTGATATACCAATACCTAATGGCAGCAAAGCATCCCCTGAAACATGGGTTGTTTATGTAAATTATCAAAATCTAACAGGACAGGTTCCAGTGTAAGAATTTAGTCCTAAAAATTATGTTTTAATGACAAATGGAAAGTTTTTTCTGGTCTTTTTGTTTAGTTAGTTGTTATGACTCAAAATAGTTAATAAAATAGAAGAAAATGAGGTGTAGTCATTGTTTCAAACTCTTCTCTGACATAAAAATCAATATAAGTAATTTATCTCTAAAATTTAATTAACACATGAAGTGATCTATTTTTGATTGAATGTTGGAAAATCACTTTAGGGACGATTAGAGGGTGAGGATAAAAAAGCCATGTTGTTAGCCCTTTTCTCTTAGGATAGAGTCTGCCTCGGTCACTGCTTTTTTTCCTGACTACCAGAGTTCTCATGAAGACTGTTCTTCCATCAGTGTGTCAACCTGAACAAGCTCGAGCCAATAGCAACAGAAGTCAGACTCATCAACAAATCCATGGAGCTGCTGGATGAGAGGAAGTTCTGGGCTGGTATTGTGTTCACTGGAATTGCCCCTGGCAGCGTTGAGCTGCCCCATCATGTCAAGTACAAGATCCGAATGGACATCGACAATGTGGAGAGGACAAATAAGATCAAGGATGCGTAAGTCGATTCCCACCATACCAGCTAATCTTGGGGACGTTGAGAGCAGCTGCTATGACTGGGGGTACTTTATTTTATGTAATAATTTGGTAGAAATTTCAATAAAAATAACTCAAATTGGTGGCATGAATATGGTACAGCTGGCACTTTCACTGCTGAAGACTTATTTCAAAGATCATAGATTATCATTATCTTTTAATTGAACACTTTTGTTTTAGGGAATTAACTCTAAGGAATTAAGTCAACCAAAAAAATAAAACAAGAGTCTTCCCCATGCTAGCAGTGGTTTTTACAACAACCAACACAAAAAGAGATGGCTAAGTATATTTTGGTGTGCCTATTTGATACAATGTTTGGGAGCTGGTGGAGGGGAAAATACCAGACCAACATGTGATGTGCTTGTTCTTATTATATCTATATAAATATATCTATATCTGCACACATCAGCTGAGCCCAGAAAGCAAAATATAAAAGCAGTAACTTTGTGAAGGTGAAAAGTTTGTGGGAGATTGGATTTTTTTGTTTGTTGTAAGGAATATTTGATTACCTGTGCTTTGATTTTAGGTACTGGGACCCGGGTCCTCGAGCTGATCCCTTTGAGGATATGCGGTATGTCTGGGGAGGCTTCACCTACTTGCAGGATGTGGTGGAGCAGGCGATCATCAGAGTGCTGACGGGCACCGAGAGGAAAACTGGTGTCTATGTGCAGCAGATGCCTTACCCCTGTTATGTCGATGACATGTAAGTTACCAGAAACACACCATCTTTATTTAACTGGTTGATACTATCCCTTAATGGAATGTGTACACACACACACACACATCAACAGGAGTTAGATAGAACACTTTATTTTACATGTGTATGAATACTAGTCAGTACAGATGTTGGCAGTTGACAGTTTCAGCCACATCACAGACAGACACATTTGTACACACTGGTGATCCTTCTTTCAAGTCTGTGTTTACTAGCACATGTATTTGTTACATTCTACCTTTGGCCAAAATTTTCCCAATCTGCGAATTTAAAATGTGTTATGACAAACATATGCAAGTGTATGCACACACATACACATCCCCAAACTACAAAAGCAGCAGTCTAGACCTCTGGAAAAGCTTTATGTAAATATGTCTGCTTCCTCTTTATATGTGGTATAAGCATAATTTTCAACAACCCAAATAGAAGTGAACAAGCCCTTCTTATCCTAGACTTTACAGATAGTGTTTAGTGCCTAGTCACTAAGCTGCCAAGTCCTCTTTGTGGGGACTATGTCTTCGAAGCTCATAATTTCTTGTAAAAGAGAGTGGGCAAAAGTGTAGTTTTTGCAGGCATCAAAATATATAATGACTCTTATAAATTCTGTTCATTCTCTTATTCCCATGTGCATGTGTGTGTGCGTGTACACCAGAGTACAGAAGGAGCAGGCCTTCTTTCTTGGGCACTTGCTCTCTGCTTTGCAATAAACAACCTATTGCCTTTCATGGGTCATATGAACTTTGTCACCTGGAATTATGTTGTTTTTTACCTTCAGAAAGATTAGCCAGAATTCCCAAGGAAGTGTTTTCCAAGCAAGTCAAGATTTACTCTAGAGAGGATGTCTTAAGATAAGGACATGATTGAAGTCAGAGGGACTAAGGACCTTTGCCCTTTGTCACTTAACCAGTGCACAAGGAGTTAAGCTAAGGGCCTTTGCCCTTTGTCACTTAACCAGTACACAAAGAGTTAAGCAGGGACTTGAACTTTGAGTTTGAGGATCCAGATTCTGTGTCTATTTTACTTCATAGTACTGCATTTCCTATTTTAGTTTGGAATCTGAAATATCACTGACATGAACTGCCTGAAATGTATTTCTGCCCTATTTGTGATTATAGTCATGCAAGGCAAGTCAGTAGTGAGATGATCTTGGAGATGTTGAACTTACATTAAGAGAAGGAAATTTTTTTCTTAGTACTTTAAAATAACCTTTGTTAGTTTAATGGCATCTTAGTTACATAGTTAATAAAGCAAACCTCCAAGGAAATTTTACTTAGCAACACTTCGCTAGTCTAATTTTAACACTTCACTGCATTGCTTGTGAAACATTTGATAATCTGTACAGTTCGGAGTCCAGAGGGCCTGCCCATCTTGGGCTCAGTTGTGGTGCTTTCTCTTGCACACAGGGCTGGAGGGCCTGGCCCAGGAACCTGGCTCACACTTGTCTTTTTTTCTCCCTCTGCCCTTACCTGGGCCCTCCAGCTTCCTGCGGGTGATGAGCCGGTCAATGCCCCTCTTCATGACCCTGGCCTGGATTTACTCTGTAGCCGTGATCATCAAGGGTATTGTGTATGAGAAGGAGGCACGGCTGAAGGAGACCATGCGCATCATGGGCCTAGACAACGGCATCCTCTGGTTTAGCTGGTTTATCAGTAGCCTCATCCCTCTGCTCGTGAGCGCCGGCCTGCTGGTGGTTATTCTGAAAGTAAGACTTTCTATCAGGCAACTCCTAAACAGATTAATTCTAGCTACCTGAGAAGAGAAGCAGATTCTTTGGGAGGGTAGAGTTCTTACATGTCATCTCATACAATTCCTTCATCTTATAGTTGGGAAAGTGAGGGCCAGAGAGGGCCAGTGACTTTCTGAGGGTCAGCCTGGCTGGCTAGTAACTAAGCAGAAGGAAAACTCAGGACTCTTGCTTCTCCGGAAAACGCACTTAACAAGGCCATGCTGTCTGCTTGGCAGTGTTTTATGACAGCATCTGAGAGCAGTTCATTTACTTAGATGTATTAGGTGGTGATCCTGTCAGAGTTTCTAAAAACTATAATAGGAAGGATAGTTGCAACTAACTGTTGCCAGTTAGTTTTTTCTGGAGGTAGGAGTTGGGAAAGGATTTGGCAATTTTTCGGGATCAATATCTATAGAAGAGATTTAGGAGTATGTGGTATTGCACAGAAGTGAATTTGAAGTAGAATTGCAAGGCAGGGCCAACCCCACAGGTATATACAACTCCAGGGAGTTCTCACTCATTGAATGGGAATATCCAGCCCGTTAGGTTCCCCAGGCCTCCCTTCTTGACCTCATCAGTAGGGCATGCCCAGAGCCAGGCAGCTCTCTGCAACAGTGGCAAACCCAGAGCAACTGACACCTGGAGGCTGTCTGCTGATAGCTGGGCAGTGGGTTCCCCCTTGAGGAGGACTCTCAGCAGTGCATTTCTGTGTCTACCCCAAGTATAAATAGCTTCATATGCCATTTTCCTTTGTCTACATTTATGGACTCATCATGTAGAAAAAGGGATAGAGCTAACATTTAATTTAATGCTAGCTGCTGTTCATTACAAATGAACATTTAGTGATTGCCAAACACTTTTTTTTTTTTTTGTGGGACCCTTGCCGGTGGCCGGGAACGAACCAGTGCTGCAGAGGCCGCGGGCAGCCTTGCAGCCCAGCGCTCAATTGCTGCGCCACAGGAGAGGCCCCTAAACACTTTTTAAAGCACATCATCTGTGCAGTCTTATGATAGGTTCACTAAATAACCATTTAACATACAAGGACACTTAGACTTCACTGAGGCCATGCAGCAGTATGGCAGAGCTGTTCTTGCTGAAATGAACCTCCTTTCAAGCTCTGACACCTGGCTGTGAGGGCCAAGCTCTGTGGTAGATGTGGTGGTACTGTGACCACTGGGAGCAGGGGGACCCTGCTCTGACATACCAGACAGACTGGCTAGAGAGGAAGTGTGGATGGCTTTGGAAACGCAGAAATCACGGTGGATCATAAGGAATATTAAGCTTTTCCTTGGAGTTGGAGGGAGGAGTTATATAAGATCTTTCTTGGTGCCAAGAGGCATAGTCCTTACTAAAGGAGAAACTGGGTGATATTATTTCTTGGAATTAAGGAACAAAATTGTCCACTGAGATGAACCTTGATGATTATCAACCCTGGACATGCTTCTATTCCTGACCCTACTTTTATTTTGCTGTGTGGTCTTAGCTATTCATTTCCCTTCTCTTGACTTCAGTGTCCTCATCAGGAAAAGTAGACAGCCCTGTTCTATATTATTTGTAAGATGAGTATGAAGAGTATGAATCAGCCCTGGTTTTTCCCCATCATCATGTGAGGATGCACTTGCTTACTGAGGCACACATTGAATGGGTCTTTTCCTTCCCAGTTAGGAAACCTGCTGCCCTACAGTGACCCCAGCGTGGTGTTTGTCTTTCTGTCTGTGTTTGCCGTGGTGACCATCCTACAGTGCTTCCTGATCAGCACACTCTTCTCCAGAGCCAACCTGGCAGCAGCCTGTGGGGGCATCATCTATTTCACACTCTACCTGCCCTACGTCTTGTGCGTGGCATGGCAAGACTATGTGGGCTTCACACTCAAGATCTTTGCAGTGAGTAACTGGTGATTCTGCAGCAGCTGCAAGCACAGACCAACCCTGGGCTTCACCTCCTCTTGGTAGTCCAAGCTAAGAAAGATGAGAGAGTCCCTTTTGAATGGCACTTGAACCTCACTTCTGTATGCCAAGCTCCTTGAAGGCAGGAATTCAGTTTGAATTGCCATCTTTAATCTTCTCAGTGAATGCTAGTTGAATAGATGGGAATTTTTCAGAGAGCTTGCTTACTATGAACATGGCTGGGGACAAAGGGCATTGGGGGATGCCTTTACATAGTAGATAACATTTTTACCATTTATCATCCCACTCTGTTGAGCATCTTTGAAAGCACAAAATTCTTGAAAGTTTTAAACCCCCTCATACATGCATTTCCAAAATGTGTGTATATAATAAGCAGTTATCAATAGAATCATTTTTCATACTTTGAGGAAACCCACTTTCTGCAAGGGACTCTGTAGGTGAATACTTCCTTATCTTATAATTGATCCATTTTTCAGATTCAGATTTCTCCAAGTGGGATTTACATTAGAAGTGGTAGGTAAATGTGAGTAACAAAGAGATGGATAAGTGACTTTGTCTCTTTCTCACAGAGCCTGTTGTCTCCAGTGGCTTTTGGGTTTGGCTGTGAATACTTTGCCCTTTTCGAGGAGCAGGGCATTGGGGTGCAGTGGGACAACCTCTTTGAAAGCCCTGTGGAGGAGGATGGCTTCAACCTCACCACCTCAGTCTCTATGATGCTGTTTGACACCTTCATCTATGGAGTGATGACCTGGTACATCGAGGCTGTCTTCCCAGGTACGCCAAGCTTTCATGCTGCATTAGCCATCTGCTTGGGAAATGTCATGTCCAACTGCCAACCTTTCCTCACTTTGTATTAGAATTTTTACAGGGCCTGGGCCTCCTTGGGAAGTGACTAGATCTTTAGGCCCCTGGCAAACAAATGGTCTCTTACTACTGATACAGCTCTCATTTCTGGAGCACCATGTGCCAGGCACATTGCAAAGTGTTTTGTGTACTTTGGTTCAGTTTTTCCTCATAATACTACACTAAGGGAGTTGTGCTTATCTCCAGATTTTGCAAATGAGAGAACACAAGGAAGTGAAGTAACTTGCCAGTGGCTACATGGCTGTTAAATGTTGGGGCTTGGAGGTGAAACTATTCAGGTTACACTGGGTCAGCTAGCCAGGAGATTCCCTTTTTCCAGTGTTGATCCAGTTTTCTAACTCTGTATCACTAGAATTACCACTAGCTAGAGGTTCTATTTTCTTAGTATAGCTTGTGAATAGTAAGTTATATTGGCTTTAAGCCCTTGTCTGTGGTTTAATCAAATTAGTATTCATCAAAATTCATTTTGATACTTCCGTTAATAAATTTCTTTGACCAAGAGCTTTCTTGCATATATTTTCATATAAATCAAATTCTGAGAGAGCGAGTTTTAACTCTTTCTGGCTCACCTTCTGATTTTCTGTAAGGGAGTGTATATATATATGAAATTACCTGTACTTCTTGCTTTAGTAAAGCAATTTAGTATGATACAGGTTTGGATTCAGATTCTGAGTCACTACTCATTCTTCAGTTTCCCCATCTCTGAAATGAGGAAGATACCTGCATTGAGGGGTAGTTGGGCAGACTCATGGAGGTACAGAACATGGATGATACATACAAAGTCCCAGCAAATGTGAGCTCCCTCTCCCCTACCTCCATTCCAGACTTGACCATCTCCAAAGACGGTCAAGGAGGGAGTGGGTCTGGTGTGGATACCTAGGAATGTTGGGATGTTGCTGAGTGTAGCTCATACTTATGCTTTGCTTTCAGGCCAGTACGGAATTCCCCGGCCCTGGTATTTTCCTTGTACCAAGTCCTACTGGTTTGGTGAGGAAAGTGATGAGAAGAGCCACCCTGGTTCCAGCCAGAAGGGAAAAACAGAAAGTAAGTCCTACCCTGCGCCCAACCCCTGGTGTGGCTGACCCCACTGACTGTGGGGCCAAGGAAGGGCTCTTGCCCTTTAAAAGAGTACAAAGCCATTGTAGGGGCAGAGCAGACACCAGCAATGCCCCTTTCCAAAATCTCCCATGCCATTTGTGTCCGGTGCTGTTGACTGATGGGGGTATCACCCATCAGGGTTGCTGGTGGACATTTCCTTTGTTTTCTTGGCTTCTTGCAAAGTGGCTCTTTGTCTCTATTCCTTCACCTTCCCCAGGTCCCCAACATCTTTATGTTATACTTACACTTAATTTTCCTTTCTCTTGGCCTCTCTCTTCTCCCAGTCTGCATGGAGGAAGAACCCACACACCTGAAGCTGGGTGTGTCCATTCAGAACCTGATGAAGGTTTATCGAGATGGAATGAAGGTTGCTGTTGATGGCCTGGCCCTGAATTTCTACGAGGGCCAGATCACTTCGTTCCTGGGCCACAATGGGGCTGGGAAGACCACCACCATGTAAGAGGAGGGTGTGATTCTCTCAGGATTAGCCAGGAAGCTTCTGTAGTACAGTTAGAATTCATAGCTAAGGATATTGCTTGGGCACTTGGGCTAGGACAGAGCATATGAGGAGATGACAAGTATAAAAACACCTATTCATGAGAGTGCTTTCCAGGTAGTGGTTTTTGCTGAATACTAATTTCTCCTATGTAAAACAGGCAGGGAGCCTTTTGATGACATTTCCCATTTAGTTCTTAGAATTCTGCAGTGTTCCTAGAACTTCAGACTGTGACAGCTCTGAGAGGGTCTCTTTTTGAGCTGACTTGGTCGGAACTGTGAAGCAAGATTGTAGAAAGTTACGTCTTTTGGAGGGAGATAGTAATTTCCAGGAACACTGTCTAAGTAGATGTGAGCAGCAGTTGGACAGCTGGCTATATATATGATTACCTACAAGGACCTTTTATGATGGGCAGCTTTAGAAGGAAGCACAGGCCGTAAAACACCAGTTAGCATCAGTGGTTTTCAATATTGCCCCTTAACCTTTGCAAAGGGTATCTCTTTGGGGATGATAGTCTTTATCGCTTTTTGTCTCTGTTGTTTTTGTTAATGCAAAATCAATATACTATGAATACTGCATAAAATTTTTAAAAGGCACACAAAAATCCTACTGCCTACACAAAAATTATTTTTGTCATTAATCATTTGTTCTGGTCTGTCCATTTTATATGTATATGATTTTAGGAATGTAAAATGTATGTTTTAAAGTGTACTTTCCATTTTGGATTAGAATCTTTATTTAAAAAATGCTTGAACTGAAATTTCCACTTATAACACATAGGCCCACTCCTTGTTTTTCACTGAAGCAAAGACATCTTTGCTTTGTGAGGATGTGTTAGGATCCATTAGGAAGAAATGGTGTTTGGAAGATTGATACCTCTGCTTTATCTGTCCTGACTCCACAACCTGGGATGGGGCATTTTCATGTACTTTTAAATTTTGTCCTCAGGTCAATTCTGACCGGGTTGTTCCCTCCCACCTCCGGCACTGCCTACATTCTGGGGAAAGACATCCGCTCCGAGATGAGCACCATCCGGCAGAACCTGGGGGTCTGTCCCCAGCATAATGTACTATTTGACATGTGAGTATGAGCAGCACCTCAGGAGCAGACCTCCTTGGCTGTGTGTGTCATGAATCATGGGCACAGTGGGACTTGAGCATTTTACTTCCTTTGGGAGCGGCAGGCCTCACCTCCTTTTACCTGTTGAAAGACCTGGTTGTTCTTTGTTTTAGGACAAGTAGGAAGTGAATTGACTTGTCAGGTAGGAGATGTTACATCAGTCCAGCCAGCTGCTGATGGGGTCTGGGGGATGGGTTCTTCCTTAATGTCATCTTGAGTGCCATTAGCGTATCTTCTTTCTTGCCCCACCCTCCCTGGTGCCAGCTGCAGCTCTATGCCAGGCCTGGCAGTACCTCTGGACCTTTCCTATCATGGCTGGCCATTTTCTGTTCAGGTCATTGGCTCCCTTCAGGTTGCCCCATCAGCAAGTAGTGCCCCCAGGGAATGCTTCTGTTGGATCAGAGAAAGATCTGAACTTTCTGACCTTGGGCAAGATTCCCTTCTGGGCTCCAATTTCTTCTTCTCTAAAGTGAGCAGCTTGGGTTCCTGTCCTCCGTGGGGGACTCCTTACTGTCAGGGTCTGAGGTTGTTTGCATTTTGGGAGAGCTGCTTCATACCAGCACTGAACTAGCTTCTTGGTTGATGGGCTATAAGGTGGGCCCTTTGAATACCTGAGATTTCAAGTTGCAACTGCCTGATGCACAGGGCCCAGATCTGATGGGAATAGGTTGGAAGTGACTTGTCGTTTTTCAGCTTTGGCTTCTTGTGCAACTGATGTAGTTGCTAACTATTGTTCTAACTTGAATCCTTCCTGGATGTTCTTTTTCATAAATTGATAAAATTTTCAAAAAATAGGGCTGGGTGGGAAATGTGCATATTCTTTCCTGTTCTGGGTCAGGATCCTGCAGTCCCCAGAGCTGACCTCCCCCTCTGTTCACCAGGCTGACTGTTGAAGAACACATCTGGTTCTATGCCCGCCTTAAAGGACTCTCGGAGAAGCATGTGAAAGCAGAGATGGAGCAGATGGCCTTGGACGTTGGTTTGCCGCCCAGCAAACTGAAAAGCAAAACAAGTCAGCTGTCAGGTGAGGCATAGAACTGCTCTCCCCACTTCTCCTCCAACCCAACACACGCGCGCGCGCGCACACACACGCACACACACACACAAAAAAACTGTCCTGGGGCCCCTGGCAGGGAGTGGATGGGTCAGAAAAGTGTCCCTGACTTGTCCCCAGGTGAGTTCCCCCATTTATCTCTTACCACCTTTGCCCTTGCTCACTGTCTAAAGCTGGTCCTGGAACCTCTCTATATCTTTCTTACAGGTGGAATGCAGAGAAAACTGTCTGTGGCCTTGGCATTTGTTGGGGGATCCAAGGTTGTCATTCTGGATGAGCCCACAGCTGGTGTGGACCCTTACTCCCGCAGGGGAATATGGGAGCTGCTGCTGAAGTACCGACAAGGTAACTGATGAGTGTGTGTTCTGAGTTCTGACTGGGAGGGTGGGATGGAGAAGATCTTGAGAAGCACAGCTGTGTTGCTGGAGCAGCAAAATTGCTTCTCAAGAAAAATATACAACTTCTTTTCTCAAAACTCTGTTTTTCCCATGGCATGGAGGTGGAAGGCCCTGTTTACAAGACATTTAAAGTTTGTGCTTTGTTACCTAAGGACCTGAAAGAAGAAAAGAAATGGGGATAAAAAGCATGGCTTCCCTGTGCCACTTCTAGCATAGATCTTACACCTGTGTATTATAACTTTGTTCCCTATAGCCTAAGGTTCCTGAGATCATCTCTGCCCCAAACATGGTGCATTAAATTTATGTGTGAAAAGAGCAGATGAGTAAATGAATAGGTGGGAGGCACAGAGGTACATGATTTGCAGTCTGCTTAGAGATGTGGAAGGCATATTAGGTTACCACCTTTTGGTTTGAAAGAGCATGGACTTTGGAGCCAGTTCATGCTTACACCTTGGAAAAGTCATCCAAGTTGCCTCAGTTTCTTTATCTGTAATAGTTACAGTGCCCACATCATAGAGAGTTAAGTTAAATGAGAATGCATAGAAGCCACTTACTATACTGCCAGGCATATAGCAAATTCCCCATAAGTGTTCCTGTCTTTATTTCTGAGGATGCAGAAGCTGTACTCATGGCATTGTCATCCTACAGGCCATAGTCACACAAACTTCCAGGTCTTTCTCTTCTGCTTACCCCTGCTAAGATTTCTCTAGCTCTACTGTGATCAGTGAGAACTTACAGGCCCATGTCCTTGTGTTTGTGCTGGACAGGTCGTACCATTATTCTGTCCACACACCACATGGATGAAGCAGACATCCTGGGGGACAGGATTGCCATAATTTCCCATGGGAAATTGTGCTGTGTGGGCTCCTCCCTGTTTCTGAAGAACCAGCTGGGAACAGGCTACTACCTGACTCTGGTCAAGAAGGATGTGGAATCCTCCCTCAGCTCCTGCAGAAATAGTAGTAGCACTGTATCATACCTGAAAAAGGTGAGTTGCTGTCTTGCCAGGCTGGGCCTGGGTCTGGGGCAGGATTTGTTGGGTATGAATGGCTTGTCCTCCTCTGCTACTTGAGGTCACCATCTCCCTGCTCTGTGTGGTCCCATCAGAATCACATCAACTTATGTAGAAAGCTCCGAAGGCCACTGTTCACATCATGTTAGTGTTAAATCTCATTTCCTGTTTACTATGAAGGTACAATGAGAGATGAAGAAGGTTCTTAGAGGACTTTATTCTGTCAAAGAAAAGAGACTTTCCAAGAGTAAGAGCCTTGGCTGCAGAATTACCTGCCATTCCTGTTCATTAGCTTTAAATATTATTGACCCTAACTTTTAAACCACAAAACTGCATATATTATTATCTAGATAAGGGAAGTAAGACTTGTAGGTATTTTATAGTTTGTTCAAAGCTCACCTGGCAGGTAAAATACCAGAAGTTTGCCCAGAACCAAACATCAGGTACGTTTTCTTCTGTACCACAGTACATGCTCAAGATTTATTTTGTGTGTTCAAACCAGTGGTGTCTGAAACATTTATATCCCAATCCTGTTCTCTTATTTACCTTTTAACTAGTCCCTGGTTACTCAAAGAGAGGTCTGTATCATCAGGGTCTCTTGGGAGCCTGTCAGAAATGTATAAACTTGGGCTCACTCAGACTTACTAAGTCAGAATCTGCATTTTAATCAGGTCTCTGGATGACTAAACACACATTAGAGCTTGGGAAGTACTGAACTAGACAACTAGCCAGGTACATCCCATGGCTGAGCTGGTCAGTGAATGCCAGGTCACAGTAGTCATAGGAGTTCCACAGTTCTGTGGCCAGTTCTGCTTTCCAACCAACCATCACATAGCCTGCAGGTCTGCCAGTTCCTCCGAAGCCATGGCTGCCCAGTTGCATACCTCCCAGGAGAAGCATTTTGCTCCAGATCTCAACAGTAGAGCCTTTTGGAAGCCCCCTCTGGCGAAGGTGGTGGTGGCTGTACTTTGCTTGGTCCCTGACCCATTCTCACCTCCTTCTTTGCCATCAGGAGGACAGTGTTTCTCAGAGCAGTTCTGATGCTGGCCTGGGCAGCGACCATGAAAGTGACACACTGACCATCGGTAAGGACTTTGGGGTTTCTTATTCAGGTGGTGCCTGAGTTTCTCCCAGCTGGGCAGAGTGGAGGCAGAGGAGGAGAGGTGCAGAGGCTGGTGGCGCTGACTCAAGGTTTGCTCTGGGCTGGGGCTGGGCGGCTGGGAGAGGGTGCAGCTTGGTGGCAGATTGGCTTAACGCTTGCTGGGGAGCCTGGGGCTTTTTCTGGGAGCTGGCAGGGTAGTGTCACAGGGTAGCTGATTGGGGAGATCCCTTTAGGGATGGATGCTGGAGGCCAGGGATGAGGAACTGAGGGCCAAGCCAATGGGGAGGGATTGGAGCTCGGGACCTAAGGAGAGTGAGAGCCCAGGAGATCAGAAATAGCTGCTGGATTTTCCTCTGGAGGTATGTAGAGGAGATGAAGAAGCCTTTATCCTGGACCACCTCTGCCCAGTCCCACAGCTCGGTTTTTCCAGGTGGACTTCTGCCATGACCTACTTGATTACCCCTCTATTGAGGTAAATAGAAATAGCCTTCTTTAAAAGGGTAGGAAAGTGAAGAATCTTTTAAGTTTCTTTTATTGACATATTCCATTGAAGAGTCCTAGACTTTAGGCAAGAGATACCAGGCTTTCTACCTCAAAAAGTCATCCATCATTCCTTCTATCACCCCACCCAGCTACATGCCCATGTAACTATAGATCTATCCACCCATCCATCTATCCATCCATCCAACCATCCACCTACCGACTTACCCACCTACCCACCCATTCTTCCATCCACTCATCCATCCATTCATCCACCTACCTACCCCCTATTCATTGAGAATCCACAGTGTGCTTGACAAAGGTGAATAAGGTATAGTCCTTGCCCCAGGAACACTCAGGACAGAGATGAACATGTAGAATGTCTTACATATCTGGGGCAGCTGTGGTGTATGGGTAGCAGCTTCTGAAGAGTAAGCAAAGTTAGGGGGCATGGCTGGCCCTTAGATGTGTGTCCTCTGAACAGGCTCAGCCATCTTTGTGCTTTCGTCCCTACAGATGTCTCTGCTATCTCCAACCTCATCAGGAAGCATGTGGCTGAGGCCCGGCTGGTCGAAGACATTGGGCATGAGCTGACCTATGTACTCCCCTATGAAGCTGCCAAAGAGGGGGCCTTTGTGGAACTTTTCCATGAGATTGATGACCGGCTGTCAGACCTGGGCATCTCTAGTTATGGTATCTCAGAGACTACTCTGGAAGAAGTAAGTTAAGTGACTGACTCAGAAGTAATAGGGCCAATAATCTCAATTCTAAATAGGCAGCCAGCAATCCCACTGGGAATAGGATTACCGTGGAACTGGTTGTCTAGTTCTTAGGTTGTTGACATCTACATAATGTTGGCCCTTGTTAATCTTTTGAGATCCTAGTGTTATCCTTCAAGGATAACAGGAAAGAAGTATTATAAGTACTCCCTGGTATGACTGTCACGGCCAGGCAGAAGAAAATGCCAACATGTATGGAAAATCTGTGCCAGAACTGAGCTTGGTATCTTTTGTTGTTATATCATTGTAACTCCCATAGTCCTTGTAACAAGATGAGAAAGTTCACACAAAGGGATGCTGAGCTAGGATTCAGAATCGGGGGTTGGTATTTCAAATCCCTTACTCTCTTGACTGTGCACTAATGCCTTCCTTTAGAGAGACTGTATCTCATATACCTTGAGGGTTAGAAGGGATATAAAAGTTGTCTGGCCCAATGATCCCCAAGCTTGGCTGTGCAGCAGAATCATCTGGGGATATTATTGACAATAAAAATTCTAAAAATTAGCTTCAGGGTCTTTGAATCAGAATTTCTGGAGGGAAGGCCTTGATGTCAGTTCTTTAATTGCATGCTTCCTAGGGAGAGGTCTATAGCTCAGAGTTTGGAAACCCCTGGTCTAGTTCAGATTTTCTTCTGATGTTTGCATCCCTGCCATAAGATTTCTGGTGATCGATTGTCTTCTGTTTGTTCTGTCTTTGATAAGTGATCACCAGGAAGAAGTTATTCCCTGTAGTTTCAGAACACATTTTTTTTTTTCCTGCAGCAGTGTCTTAATGTTGTAACTTTACTTTGAAAATGATTATCTAGATTGATAGCACTCACCACTGAGGAAATGCTCTCTGCTTAAAAATGGTTTCAGTTCCAAGTGACGGCCAGAGTGTTATTATAAATGCCACTTCTAATTTAGGGGCTAACATGCCATCAGTTATGTAATAATCCTGGTAGTAATGGGTGCTTTCATGACAGGTGCTTTTAATATTCCCACTTTTATTTTTCAGATATTTCTCAAAGTGGCTGAAGAGAGTGGGGTGGATGCTGAGACCTCAGGTAACCCCCTGGTTGGGGGGCTACACGCTGTCTGGGCAGGCTGTCTCACCCTTCCCTTTGAATTGCTTCATTGCATTCTTAGTTTTCATGTCTAAGTTTGTTAGAGATGCAGCGGGTTGTGTTTTTTTTAGAAATGAAGTCCAATTTGGGAATCCTTCTCTTTGCCTTCAGATGGCACCTTGCCAGCAAGACGAAACAGACGAGTCTTTGGGGATAAGCAGAGCTGTCTTCGCCCTTTTACTGAAGATGATGCTGTTGACCCCAATGATTCTGACATAGACCCAGGTATGTTTAGATAACATCTGTGTGCCAGTGTTGTTAGTGAATTTCTCTCTGTTTTTCGCTGGTGTTTTCTGTTGATGGCCTAGAGTCACAATTGTAGGGTCCAAAGGGAAGTGGGAAAATGAGAAAAGTCATTTGCCCTTTTCCAGTCAGTTAAACCTGAACAAGCCTATTTTCATCACTTCCTTCATGCAGCTGCGATCTTTCTCAGCTGGTCCCTCAATCCTCTGAATCTATTATCTCTTTTGTAGTGTCCCTGATTCTTACATAAGGTATATCATTATTGAGTAACTATTTTTTGAATGGACAAATGATCCTGAAAGAGTCAGAAAGGTGAGTTTTAGAGTTAATATTGGGTTGTCGGAAAAGTCATGACACACTTTGCAACAAAAAAACCCCAAAAAATAGCTCATGACTTTTCGACAACCCAGTAGTGCTCAGATGTAGCTGTTTTGGATGAGTGTCTTCCTGCGTATTTGATGGGAATATAAAAGAGAATGCAAGAAAAATAGCAAATGCCGGTAAGATGTTATAGCACTTAGGTTACAAATCATGAGTTTAAGATAAGGATTTCTATAAAATTTTTAGGAAAAAAATCCAAGATGAAGCCATGGGGAGGAACATGATGATATCTAAAACCTAAGATAATAGCTGACCGTCAGTGTTGACTTCTTGCAGAATCTAGAGAGACAGACTTGCTCAGTGGGATGGATGGCAAAGGCTCCTACCAGGTGAAGGGCTGGAAACTCACACAGCAACAGTTCATGGCCCTTTTGTGGAAGAGGCTGCTGATTGCCAGACGGAGTCGGAAGGGATTCTTTGCTCAGGTGAGAGGTGCTGTGCAGGCTAAGGACTAGGCTTTATGGTTGAGCTGCAGGCTTGCTGACCAATGAAAGCAGGATAGCATCATAATTAAGATACAAGTATTGATGTCAGGTTATCTATATTTCAATCCCAGTTATGTCTCTTGATACTGGGCAAGTTACTTCTCTGTGCCTCAATCTGCTCATCTGTATAATGGGTATAAAATTAGTATCTGGATATAGGGTTATGAAAGTTAAAGTGAGTCAATGCTTAGAACTGCCCTTACATGAATAATTACTTTTTGTAGGGAGTGGGCCTTAGTTTATTATAGAGGAGGTCATAACGTGGACTGAGTCTAGCAAAACTGGCCAGGCAAATTAAACTTATATAACCTGAGAAGTGATAGATATATGCAGGTGGACTTGATATATGAATTTATTGGAAACTTGATTTTTCTTTAAGTTGGTCAACTGCAAATTGATAGAAGAGATAACAAAATAGAGAATCCTTTGTATTTGATCTTTACACTTAAAGATGACATAGGTAATGCCAAGACTATTTGGGCTTGGAGCATACAGACCTGGATTTGAATTTTGGTTCTGCTAATTATTGTCTCTGTGGCCTTGGGCAAGTTGCTTAGTCTGTCTGAGCCTCAATTACCTTGTTGTTGATTAGTGATAATGCTACCACTACTCTGGGCTGTAATGATAATTAAATGAGATAACTTTCAGTTTGGTACTTTCCACAGAATTAATCACTCAGTGTTAAGATGTTATATGGAAACCCCAGAATATTAGAACTAGGGATAGCATTTGAATCTTCTATTTTTATTTTTTAAGGATAACATCCTCAGCAATAAATGGAAGGAACTTAGGGTTTCCTTATAATGTATGTACGTCATTGTTCTTAGAGAACATGTGGGTATAGTGTTTAAGGAGGTACCAGGAGGATTTAGATAGTATGCCTCTTGAGCCATCACTGGGCCATTGGTGTAGAGTGTGTTTTAGAGTGTGGGACCTGAATGGGTCACCTAGTCTCAGTTCACAGATAACAAACAAGAAGACTGAGGCCAGGGGGGCACTGACTTCCTGTGGACACACTTGTAGTAGAGACAGAACCAAGCTTCTGGTCTTCAGGGTCCTGTTCCAGGGATGTTTTTCTCAGCTTCCCTATAAGTGGAGTTGGACTTAGGCCCAGTGTGGGCTTCCTCAGGTCTTCAGAGTCACCCTGCCTTGTGGCCAGTGTTCACTCTGTGCAGTCTTCAACATGGTGCCTTTTCCTGGTATCCATCTGGCCTCTGTCCTCATGCTGCCAGTTTCCAGAAATGGCCTGGTGGGTAGAGATTTAGTTTCTAGGCTCCACTGCTTCCAGGCCATCCAGAATGTCCTGATAGAGCTCAGCTATAGGCCCTCTACTGCTCATTGGCATGCTTGCTGGTCCAGGAAGCTGGCTGAACTCATAAGTGCTTGCCCCTTGGCCTTTTTTCTAAAAATCCCTCTTCTCCGGCTTCCCTATTCCCCTTCTACCTCGGTTATAGATTGTCCTGCCAGCTGTGTTTGTCTGCATTGCCCTGGTGTTCAGCTTGATTGTGCCACCCTTTGGCAAGTACCCCAGCCTGGAACTTCAGCCCTGGATGTACAGTGAACAGTACACATTTGTCAGGTATGTTTGCCCCCTGTGTTCAGGGAGAAGGGAGTGCTAGGGAGACCAGGGTGTTTACTATGCTGGGGTCCACAGTAGGTGGGCTCAGGAATTACATGGTGAGATGGATTTTATCAGCTCAAGCCCCTACACAATTCAATATTGGCTGTAAAAAATAGCAGTGAACAAAACTTGGAATAACACCCCAGTCTCCTATTTCTGCATTTGAGCTTCTTTTTATACTGCTGTTGTCAGGAACAGTCATATGTGTCTTACATAAATAATCTGCATTGCAAAAAAAAATCTATGATTGAGCTATAATATGTTTGAATTTTCATAGCTATGCTTTAAGTTTGAAATTTAATCATAGGGCTTCCATATACTATCCAAGTATTGTATTTCCAGATTCTTGTTTCTACACTGAACAATTACTGTATTTATTAAGTTCTAGATATTAGCTAATGTTTGTTCTTTAGTCAAAAATGCCAGAAAATCCAGTACTTCAAACAAAAAGACAAAGGGATTTCTCCACCTTGTTACATGGAATTTACTTCAGTCCTATACTATCTGTAGACTTTTACATGAGATAAGTGTGTCATGATGTAAAAGAGAAGCTTAAAAAAATAGAAAGGAACTATGTATACTTGTGAATTGGTCTATTTCTTTCTAACCCCATATTTCCTTCCTGTTTTGTTTAGGCTTACTTTATCTTTCTTTTCTCAGCTCTTGACCCTGTATTACCTTAGTCTGTAGAACAGAAACCTGTTTTGTGTCTCTAACCTGTGCTCATTATTCTTTGTGTCTTCTCGTTGTTTATGCAAACATTTAACCAATCAAATGTTTGCCCTTTCTTAGGAAATTCCAATGGTCTCTGCCTAATGGATAATTGTGAAAGTACTTTTTGGATTGTCAATTGTGAATGGTTTCTTTACAGTAACTATATATATGTAATGTGTATATGTGTGTGAATTCACCCTTGCATACCTCCAAACATATTACTTATTTATACAAGCTCCACCTTCGAGTGCTCAATGTTACCTTGGTACCAAATATGTGGTCAGAATCTGAGGTCCTTTCCAGTAGCTTCTGAGTTTTAGTCATTTTTATTTTCAGCGCACTACAGGAAGTGCCTAATAAAGTGTGTTATGTAGAAAGAAGTCACCCCAACCCCTAATTCCTGGCTTAAATGTTGCTGAGCTGGCTGCCTGTCCTGTGTCCACAGTAATGATGCTCCTGAGGATTTGGCCACCCAGGAACTCTTGAATGCCCTCACCAAAGATCCTGGCTTTGGGACTCGGTGTATGGAAGGAAACCCAATTCCGTGAGTGCCACTTGAACTGTGAAACCTTCATGATTTCTTGTGCTTTTCACCTGTTTTGATCTCTGATGTGCCTCATTTATTAGCTACGATAAATGCTACTGTGTCACTACCATCGTTTGTCCTTTGAATGAGTTTTCATTTAAAAAAAGCTAATGCAGTAATCAAATCAGACCATCTAGGAACAATAGGGCAGAGTAAGGGGATTTTCTCACATCCTGCAAAGAGACATATGAATGTTTACCTCTCTAGAAATTAATATTTAATTTAAAATAACACTTTATTTTCTCTTCCTTCTAACTCCTGTTGCTCAGGGCAGAGCATAGGCTGTCACTATATATAATGTGCAGTTTTCTTATCTTCACATTCTTCACTTTCCCAACCTGAAAAGATGTGTTAATTTGAATAACAATGGACATATTCTTCTTTTAGAGTTGCATATTTTTATCATACTTGCCTCAAAATCTTTTTTTTTAAGAAAGTAGGCAGTGTATAAATAAATCCAGTGACATACCCATATGACTCTAAATGGATATCTATGTGGGGGAGGTATGTTCTGGGATCTTGGTGAGTAAAGACAATGAAGAGAGATGAGGCTTTTCCCCCTAGTCCTAAACTGACAGAGTTCGCGAGCTCAAGTTTCCATTCTCTTGTAGCATTTGCAATCAAGGTTGATAAATCACACCCTCTGAGAAATTATGGAGTGTGGGTTGATATAGGTATATTAGAGAAGGGAGACCTTGACTTCAGGTTCTCCATCCTGCAAGTGACACATGAGTGAGTGTGATAACTATATACAGGATTTTAGAGCAGATTTCTAAATGGACAGCTGCCATTTACTTGCTCCTTTTATTAAGTACATAATAAACTTTTGTTAGTACTTGATTATCAATGGGAAGTAAATCCTAGCAGCCAATTTTGGCTCCTAAATATCACAAGGACCAAGGTGGAGAAGGACATAAAGACATTCTATCTGGATTTCACAAGACTTCTGATGTTATTCCACTTGGAAGTTTTGTAGGAAAGATAGAAGAATGAGATGAAATGATTAGAGTAGAATAGATTCATCTCACACCAACTGAAAGTATAGACTCACAGATAGATAATGCCAACCTAGGAAGGATCTGTAAGATCCAGGTCTGTACTCAGCTGACCTACAGAGACAAAAGAGGCAGTCTGTGCACCTCTAGCTCTCACAATTGCAGATCAATGTCTGACACATAGTAGATGCTCAGTGAATGTTGAGTGAGCACGGGGGTGAATAACTGAATGCTGGTGGATCGAATTGATCTGATGCAATTCAGTATATTCATTTTTAAAGCCTCTATGTCTTCCACCATCCATGTCTGTAAAATGAGCTTACAACATGTTGGGGACTCAAATAACCAAGGGAGATTGTGCTCATACTTTCCAAATGTTGAGGGACAGATGCATATTTGTGGTAGTGGTTGATTGATCCTGTTCCTAAGGCAACAGGAAAGGCCAAGCCCTCTCAGTTGATCCTGCTCTGATGTCATCCCTTTGCAGAAACATGCCTTGCCTAATGGGGGAGGAGGAATGGACCACCGGCCCAGTTCCTCAGACCATTATGGATCTCTTCCAAAATGGGAACTGGACCATGGAGAACCCCTCACCCACCTGCCAGTGTAGCAGCGACAGAATCAAGAAGATGCTGCCTGTATGTCCCCTGGGGGCAGGGGGCCTACCTCCTCCACAGGTGGGTCACTCTCAGGGTGTGACTGAGAAGATGGGAATGTGGGGTGGGCTGGGAGCTTCTGCTTGGGAAGAAGGAATGGCTGATATTACATTAGGAGTGTCTCTTTCAGTCTCTAATTCTTGTTATAGGGAAAAACATGTGAGCTTTGAAGGAAGGGGACTTGGACGTCGGTGTTCTTGTATCTGAGGGTGCTTAGCTGGCTTCTCTATTTTGAAAAGTCAGCCTAGTTTACATCTGAACTAAAACCAGAACACAACATAGATCAGTGGTCTGTGGAAAACACACTGGTCTCTCTCACATTAGTGGTGTCATGGGACAAGCTGTGACAGGCCCAGCTTTATCCCTGGCTGTTCCACAGACATGCTGGTGACCTTGAGACGACCACTCTGTGTCTCTGGGTGTTTCTTCAATTTTTGAATTGGGGAGGCTGGTCCATGAAACTAATGTGGGTCTTAAAGCTCTGATGCTGTCTGAGACTCTAAGTGTGGGAGCAGTTCTGAGCTATTTTTTTCCTGAGAACAATTTTAGGACGAGGCTAACTTGTGCTAAGTATCTCTGCCACTTTATTCACATCCCGATTCAGGGTGAGGACAAACAATTTTAAATGGATGTGAAAACTTTAAGAAGTTTGTTACCTCGTTTTAAAATAACAGCTAATAGAATCAGAAGTATAACTCCAAAGAATAAAATAATTCAATAGGTGTAGTGCTGCTCCCTTAAAACCCTTTGCGTCTATAAAGAGTCACATTTTACTGTCTCTTTTCTAATTGTTCAGGATAATTTCCTGGCAACAGCTTGACTTGGTGTAAGTGAAAGGCCAGGGCTGAGGGCAGGATGCACCTGCTGTGGTGGTGGTTGACTGAAGGCTGTACCTGGACCTGAGGGCAGAGTCCTGTCACCCTGTGGTACATGTTTGAGGGACCTTTGCCACTGTATTCTTTGCCCCTTGTCCAAATGATGGTCCATAAATACACTTGTGCTTGATTTTTCTGTGATAACAGATAAAACAGAACACTGCGGACATCCTTCAGAACCTGACGGGAAGAAATATTTCAGATTATCTGGTGAAGACATATGTGCAGATCATAGCCAAAAGGTCTTTATTTACTACACCTGACTCTTGTTTTTATCAATCCTGATTAGAGAAATTAAAGGCCTAAAAACAGTTAACTAAGGGGTGTGGGAAGGATGCCTTATGTGCCTCATCTTGTCTTCTCCCAAACTAATAAAAATAAGTTTTATGAACATGTGTCTGTGAGCTTCAAGGTTGAGGCTGCCTGCTAATGTCTCAGTGCTGTGCATCTGATAAATACTGTAGATCTAATGTTCAGCTTTATGATGACAGTTAGTGGCGCTGTGTTATATTCTTAAATTTACTAAGCGCCTAGATCTTAAGTGTTCTTACCACAAAAAAAGGCATGCTAATGTGTGGCATGAAGAGGGAGCCCTGGGCCAGCTCAGGAGGCTGCCTTGGCAGTGGAGCCTAGCAAGGCCGTGTGGCTTCCTGGGGCTTCACAGCACAGTGCTGAATTCTTAGTGGATGCTTGGGAAATGTTTGTTCTAATTCCTGCTTGGTGAGTGGGGCCTTTTGGTTCGGAGACTCTTGACTTTAAGTGACAAGGGTATGCTCAAATGATAATTACTGTGAGTTTCCAGGAAAAAGGATAACCTTTCCATGTCATCCATAGTTGAGTATTACTTTGGATGAAAAAAATATTAATTCAGTCACATCTTTGTCTATTAGAAAGGTTTTAAATTGGTTAAGTCCAAAGTATGATTTTCTTATAAATAAAAAGGTTTTAAGATGGAGGGAAGAAATCCATGCTGATTTGGGTTCTTTCCTTTGGTAAAGCTCTGTCACTCTAGCCTGATCACAGGATTATTTCTCCCTGTGTTGTACCCTCAGGTACATACTTAGTCCTTTTGTGTCATCAGGAATAGTAGGAGCAAAGTTTCTTTGAAATGATGTATGGCTTCTTTGTCTTTTCTGCAGCTTAAAGAACAAGATCTGGGTGAATGAGTTTAGGTAAGTAGACCACATTTTCTGCTTTCTTCTGTTTTTCTTATCCTAGTTCAGACAGTGATGTCAATGCAGGTATCTTGAATCCCAGGACGTGGTTGGTTTGGGGATTGTTTTGCCTTTAGTGTTTCTGCTGATGCCCAGCTCCCACTTCATAGGCCTTTGGTATTTGGCACACTGATTAACTTGAGGAGAGCTGGAAGTTTCTTAGAGGGTCTAAGGATTTAATAGGAGGCACAATGTTGTGTTGGAAATAGGCTAGTTACACTTTCCCCCAAAATAGATCCCAAAGGATCAAGTCTTCAGAATGACATTAAATAGGTCTCAGATGAAATTAGAGGCATCAAAGCCATTTATTTTCATGGTTCTTGAAGTCATTTATCCCTATAGGTTTTGAAGGAAAGGTGGGATTTTGGAAAAAAATAAAAAATCCTTGAGGCCAATTTATACCTCATGAAAAATGAGATACTTGGCCACCTTAAAACTTAGCTTCTGTTACTGCTTCCCATATTTCCTCTTTGCCTTTTCACAGTGGGACAACACCCATATAACTGAGCAGAGCAGGAGTGCCCTCTATTGGTACATTTGCTAGGGAAGAGCCTGTCTATAAACTCTGTCTATAAGCTCTTCCTAGCCTATTCTGACCAATGTCCTCACTACTCACCCTGAATCCCTATCTGCTGGCCTTGAGGCTCAAGTTCAGGCCTGAGCTACTTGGGTTAGAGGAGCATGTGTGAGTGGAATGACCATTCTTCCCTCAGTGTCTCAGATCTCTCACTGTATCATCAGGCCCATGTCCCTTCCTTGTGTACAGTAACCATGAGAGTTAAGTGATTGCCAGAGTCCCTTGGAGGAGGGCAAGTGGTAACTTTTTCTAACTTTGGTCCTCCTTTGAATAAGCAATGAAAAGGAAGCATGCACATACTCAAGTGGAACCTGCTGCTGAATGATACTGTGTATGAGTGTTTAATGTTAGGCCATTCATTTAGGTATGGTGGATTTTCCCTGGGTGCCAGTAATTCTCCGTCAGTTCCTCCAAGTCATGAAGTTAATGATGCCATCAAGCAAATGAAGAAGCACTTGAAGCTAGCCAAGGTACATTATCCATCCTAGGACATGTCAGGGAGATGGGTCCAAAGTTGCTGGTATATGGGAGTAGTTGGCAGGTTACCTTGCCACTTGTTTTTAAGATTTTTGAATACAAAGCCATTATTGGTATTTAGTGATCTTATACCAGCCAAGACTGAACTTAGTGTATATTTAGTAACTGAAAGGATAGCTCAAGAACAAATTCAGATTTAAAAGCTCTGAGAATAGCTTGTTTATCAGTTTATCCAGTGGATAAGTAAATTGGGCTTCAACTATAGTTTTCTAAAACAATCGATGGTTAAAAAGGAAATGGGTCATTTTCTTTAAACTCATAGCAGGCTTCAGGACCTGACAGACACTCATTAATTACTGTGTATTTCAGTTTTAAATGAGAATTGGGAAGCTCAGATGACATGGACTCTCAGATCATGGGCATTAGCAATAGTCCTAGCATCTGTATCTGCTCTTTTGAGGCTCAGACCTCTCATGTCTGACTCTTTTCTGCATTGAGTGTAGTTTTGGGGCTTAGGATGACACCAGGGGAACATTTTGAAGAATTCTCAGCACCCAGTTATAGCCAGACATCTGTGTTTTGGGACTTTGAGTTACAGGGTGTTCCTGTGATTCCCTTAAGACTTGTGGCTCATGGTAACATCAGTGAATTAGATTTCTGGTCACTTGTTTCTTGGGAACCAATTATCTAGTGATTTCAAATTTAATTTCAATGAAAAAGGCAGCAATGGTGTTGCTCTTCACGGGGTTGTCCAGTTGTCCTTCCCTGTGAACTGTCCCACCTGAGGCTGGTTTCTCTTGTTCACAGGACAGTTCTGCAGATCGATTTCTCAGCAGCCTGGGAAGGTTTATGACAGGACTGGATACAAAAAATAACGTCAAGGTAAAGCACTTTGTTCTCATAGCTTCCTGATGAACAATAACCTTGTATGCCCTGAAGTGCTTTCAGTTCATGATAACATTGGTAGGGATACTCATAACAGAAACAAGCAGTCTAATTTACTTTGCTTCTAGATACACCAAATGTATATCTGTGACTATTACTTAACCTTGACCAAGTTACTTAACCTATCTCTTCAGTTTCCTAATCTATAAAATGGTGACAGTGATCATGACCATCTTAAAGCTGTGGTGAAAATAGTCATCAGTGTCTGGCCACATGGTCAGTACTCAGGCAACCTCAGCTGCTGTTATTTTGCTTTTTTCTCCAACTGTACTGTTTTTCCTTGGCATTTGACTGGAATTTCTGAAATTTACATACATGTTTTGTGAGTGTACCTACCTTCAGAAGCAGGGTTTGGGAGCATTATCTTCTACCTGGTCTATCTGATTTCAGGTATGGTTCAACAACAAGGGCTGGCATGCCATCAGCTCTTTCTTAAATGTCATCAACAATGCCATCCTCCGGGCCAACCTGCAGAAGGGAGAGAACCCTAGCCAGTATGGGATTACTGCCTTCAATCACCCCCTGAATCTCACCAAGCAACAACTCTCAGAAGTGGCCCTGTAAGTGTGACTGTGTCTAAGTGGGTGTGGTGAGAAGGGGAATAGGTCTCTGAGCAGAAAATGATCAGTAGATGAATTGGCAGGCAGGCATGAAGCTGTGGAAGGTGGAGAGTGACTCAGATGCTAGAACTATAGCATCTAGTGAATTCTCTGAAGTGAAAAATTTTATCAATAAAACCCTAATACATTTTTACTTGCCTTTAACACAGTGTTTAATAAAAAAGTCAGTTTTGTTTGTTTTGTAGCCACTGTTTCTAAATTTGGTAAAAATTTGTGTTTTTAATTTTTGAATTGAGCATATATCTGTGTGAAGTTTAAAGTCAGTAGGAGCTAGTTCAAATTGGAGTCATAGAGGGCTGTGTTTGAGTCTGGTTTCTGAGTTCCTGGAGATAATGATGTTAAATGAGGCAACTCATGTAAATTGCCCATCAGTATCAGCACAGTGTTGATATTCAGCACACGTCAGGTACTTTCCTGTGTGTGGACCATGGCACAGTTACTATTTCTATTAAATTCATATAGGATATCAATATATGTCACTAGGATCTTTAAATCCAATTTATATACTATATATATATTTTTATATACACAGTTATATCCTGTTTAATGGACTTATAAAATCGTTCTTAAAAGAGTCTGATAGAATATTTTTGTATTAGATTGATAAACTCATACTGCTGTTTTCAAATTTACTTACAGCTTTTTGACTTGCTCCACATGAATATTTTTACTTTAGTTTTCAAGCTGCCCTAGTTCTATATGAGAAAAACTAATTGCTCTTATAAAGCCATACACACACACACACACACACACACCCAAGTGAGTGTTAGTAGGCCATTCTTAGATTGCCTTGGAACTTTTTTTTTTATGGCAGTGGACTCTCTGACCTCAGTGAAATCAGTTGTGCATTTTAATTGTCAGGTTGCTTGTTGTTTTATTTGCAAATAATCATCTCTAACCCTGATAAATGTATTTGATGAGTGGATTTTTCTTGCTGGACTGTGCAGCAGATCTCATATTCTCTGTGTGTCCTCCTGGGTTTGTCCTCAGCTGTATCAGTGACCTTGCATATCCTCACTGCCCTCTATTCTTCCTCAGGATGACCACATCAGTGGATGTCCTCGTGTCCATCTGTGTTATCTTTGCAATGTCCTTCGTCCCAGCCAGCTTTGTTGTGTTCCTGATCCAGGAGCGGGTCAGCAAGGCCAAACACCTGCAGTTCATCAGTGGGGTGAAGCCTGTCATCTACTGGCTCTCCAATTTTGTTTGGGATATGGTAAGAAAACTGGGCTGCTGCTACTTTAGAAATCTCCAACAGAGCTAGTGATTGCAGGAAAGAACCCCTGTCTCTCACTGGGGCTTGTTGTAGCCAGTCTGAGGATGAATGAAAAAGGAATAGGTAGATGCAATTCTTCACACCCATGATACCAGACGTGATGTTAAATACAGAGCTGATTTCACACCAGAGAGAAAATCCGTCCATCCTGTGACTGAAGTTAATACCATCACCACTAGCATATCACTAATTTTCTAAGGGAAAACTTTACAAAGAAATACTGAGGTGGAAGACTTTTAGTCAAAACTTCAACCTACTTTGTTTGGTAGGTTTTAACTTTTAGAATCAGGGTATTCTTTGCCTTGCTGGGAAATACATCTTGTCATTTGAAAACTATACATTTTACCAGAAGTTTGCCCATCCATTGTAAACATGATTTTGCAGTAGCTCTAATTGTTTCTGGTTTGGATCAATATGGAGGACTTAAAAACTCTAAAGTTCTAATTTAGTAAAGTTGAGTTGAAATATATCTCCCTCTGAATTCCATGAACTATATAAACCATAGAGAGCAAATTTAATTCTTCTCCTAGTACACAGCCACTTGGATATTTAAAGACAACTTTCATTTAACCTAAGCCATCCCAGATCAGATGACCTGCGAGAGCACACTTTGTAATCTCTAAAGTACTATACAAATGTGAGTGATGATGATGACGATGATGATGATGTCTGTGCTGAGGATAGCAGGCCTCTCAGCTCTGGTCTGATTGCCTTTCTATGGCTATGCTCCATATTGTTAATGTCCCTTTTGAAACACAAAAGCCCCGAATTAACCTTGTGTTCAGGCTGTTCAGGACTGAATAGTCATGACTCTGGAGGAGTTGGTCTTTATTTCATACTTCCATTACCTAGCCCAAGGCTATCGCATTTTGGAAGTATCTCTGTCTTGTTGGCAACTTGCTGGTGAACCAAAATCTCCATTTCACAGGAACGATTGTTGAATGGGTCTCTTTCATTCTATGCTAATGTAATTGCCTTTTTTGGATCCAAGCTTTATATTTATCCCTGTTAAACTGAATCTTATTTAGTATCCATTTTTTTTTAAATTGCTTTAGTAATTACCATTCTCTAAACACATAGTATTCACTATGTGTCTGACTATGCTAAGCATAAGAGATTCAGACATGAACTATAAGATCCTACAGGGATATCACTTATCTGCCTGTAACTTATCTGTCCCTCCCTGATTTAGAGCCTCTGAAATTCACTCTAAGCAAAGTTGTTGATAAAAACATTGAGTAGGATGGGACTGAGGAGAGCCCTGAGGTCTGATGTTGAAAATTCTTCCACCAGCTGACAAACCCACTGTCACCTTCCTGCCTGTGCTTTGCTCTGCCAGCTATGAATTTTCATAATTGTTCCATGGTCAAGTCTTTATTTCTGCATTTTAATGCTTGATACACTGTCAGGACAGACTTTAAGATTATTCTCAATGTGATGAAACAATTCTGACATTCATGTTATAAGCACTTACCTCATAAATAGATTACATGTGAGATTGAACTTGGGCAGACTATAATACAGCATTAATGATGAGACAGACACAATCATCTTTGGGAAGAATAATGGAAGCTTATTTGCTGCCTGTGAAATTGAAATTACTCTGACTGGGAATCCATCGTTCAGTAAGTTTACTGAGCGTGACACCTTGGCTTAGCTGTTGGAAAGACAGAAAGGGCATGTAGTTTATAAAATCAGCCAAGGGTAAAATGCTTGTCAAAATGTATTGTCCAGTATTTTGATTAATAGTTTACGTGGCCTCATTAAATCAAAGTTATTCTTCATTATGTCTGTCTGCCCTTTCTTGTCTGATGATAGTGAAGACTTGGAATGTGCTGTGTCTTTGATGTAGGGGTGAACTTGGTTCCTTTGTTTCACTTTTAGTGCAACTACGTGGTCCCTGCCACACTGGTCGTTATCATCTTCATCTGCTTCCAGCAGAAGTCTTATGTGTCCTCCACCAACTTGCCTGTGTTAGCCCTTCTACTTTTGCTGTATGGGTAAGGCACCTCTGGGTGGGGCATATCGGTGGGTAAGGCATAGGGTGCCTAATGGGAGGGAGATACCTAATGGACATTTGCCTTTGTGCCTCACCAGGTGGTCCATCACACCACTCATGTACCCAGCATCCTTTGTGTTCAAGATCCCCAGTACCGCCTACGTGGTCCTCACCAGTGTGAACCTCTTTATCGGGATCAATGGTAGTGTGGCCACTTTTGTACTGGAGCTGTTCACCAACAATGTGAGTTCTCCATAAAGAGTGCCTCCTGCTGGGATGAGGTCTGTGGGAATCAGAGGCTCTGGTTGCATCGTAATCTTGTTCTACTTGTCTGCAGTGTTGACACCACAAATTTCCCTGCCCTTTTTTCAGATTCTCTCTACCCTGGATTTACATATCACCTCTCTCCTTTTCCTTCTATTTCTCTGTTCAGACTTTGACAAGTTTTTTATACTCCTTTCTTTTTAAATGTTGCTCTTCCCAGTTTTCAGTCCTCTGCCATCTCTGCTTTCCATTTTAGATTTTATCTCTGGGTGATGCTGGAGGCTTTTACTACCATCTCTCTTTGTCTTATGTTGTTCTCTCAGCTCTATGCCTTTAGCCCTGTGTTTCCTTGAACTCTGGCCTCACATTCTCAATTGCCTTCAGAAAATTTACAAATACACTAGACTCATCCTAATTACTTCTTAGAACCTAAATTTTTCTTGCCATCCCTGACACCCTAGAGGGTAACTGGCAACTGTTAATTTTTCTTTAATGCTTTGCTTTTGCTTTCTCAAATTCGACTGGTTGCCTTGTTAGTTCTTCCAATTACTGATCTCTTAAACGAGTATCCCTGTCCTTCTGTTGTCATTGCCTTTCTTCAGATACCTTAACTTAGCACACAAAGACTTTAAGAGGTGGACATACTTTCCTGGCCAGGGGACATACTTCCCCTCACACCCTTTCCCTGAGTCACTGAAAGTTTCAGCTGAGTTTTCCCTTAAACCTGCCATAGTTCTGTAGTCTTAGAATGCACTTTCTCCATCACAGTCAGGTAGTATCTCATTTATCCTTTAAGAAGAATGAGCTGGAACATGAAGGTTTATCCACCTGCCCTATAGGAGGTGCTCTTACTCTTGTGCTCCCAGAGTCCTCAGTTCATGACTCAGAACAACACATATACAGCTAGGTACCAAATTCCTGTTTCTATGGCCCTCTTCCTCAGAGTAGACATTGTTTCCTAATAACTGTGGCCTCTCCCGTGCCTTAGCACAATACATCTAGCATGTGGCAGGTTACTCAGTTGTTGGATATTTGACCACTGATGGCTTGATATATTCAAGAACTTCTAAAATTCCAACAAAATCCTGAAACTGAAATATTGACTCAGACATGAGCAATTTGCTTTTAAAATGCTAAGCAAATACTTTGTCATGGATTTGCTTCTGATTAAACATCACTGTGTTTCTAAACTTTACTCATATTTCCCTATACTCAGTATGATAATTCCAAATTTTCTAAAGCACAGAATTGTATTGTGTTATATATCATTAGCTGTGGCTGCTGCTGTTTATTGCTATCTGAATTCAAAGCTTCAGTTTGATTCAGGGGAATCAATAGTTAGTTTCACTCATATATTTCAGACTTTGATAAATTTTTAGCTTAAATCATGAATAACATTCAGTCTTCCTTTCTCTGTCTTATTTTTTTAGAAGCTGAATAACATCAATGATATCTTGAAGTCTGTGTTCTTGATCTTCCCACACTTTTGCCTGGGACGGGGGCTCATTGACATGGTGAAAAACCAGGCAATGGCTGATGCCTTGGAAAGGTTTGGTGAGTGACAGCAGGGTCAGGGGGATGCTTCCATGAAGATGGCAGTTTGCATGGACCTTGGTACTCTGGACTTTGTTTTACAAAGAGGCTGGTGACTGGGCATAGGACTTCTCTGATAGGACTCATGACAACACAGCTGTTTGTGGCATGATTTTGAGACATATCCATGTGTGCCTCTGAGAGCACTGAGAACATAAAGGGGGCAAGTCTAGAAGTAGGGAAAATACTGTTAACTTGGATACAGTGCATGATGCCAGTGGTTGGATATGTCAGCCATTGGAAAAGTCAAACAACAGCTTTGAGAATTAGATACGGGACAGATAATCAGAAGGAAAGATGCACACTTGTACTCTACGGAGAAAACCATGGTTCTGCAGATCTTACCATATGTTGTTTTTTACACCATCTCTAAAAAGATAATTTACTGTAACACTTTCTACCTTTTAGAGCCTTTAAAAATATCTCTTCTGTGGCTTCTCTATCCATTGGCTTATATTGTTATATGAACCATGTTATTTAGAGGACATAGGAGAGAGACTATTGCCCAGCCCACCCTCCCACACACCCTCAGCTTGGAGATGTATAAGGAATTTAAGATATATTTACATAAAACTAAGTGATTTAATGGAGTTACTCAGTTACATTATGGGCTACTGAAAGGGGCATCTTTTTAAAGTGCTTTCTGAGATTAGTGAAACTTGTAATTTGTTAAAATACCCAGAAAATATCCATGGATTGTCTAACTTTTTATAAAAGATTTTGACATGGCTCATTAAAAAGGAGACGTTAGCTATTTTAGATGATATATCATATCTAATATGTTAACTCTGAAATTCTTAGTGATCCTGGGTAGTACTCTGTTTCCCCAAAACCTTACCTCAAGTCAGACTTGGAGAGTGGTTACTCCCTTATTTTTTCAATCTCATCATGGTTAATAAGCACTGGTGTTACCAGGAAGGGAAGTGAATTTGAACCTGAATTTAAGGAAAGGTCATGGTCTTTGGTGCATCCATTGTGAACTGGATCTCTGCATTGTGTCTGCCAGGGGAGAATCGTTTTGTCTCTCCACTCTCTTGGGACTTAGTGGGCCGAAACCTCTTCGCTATGGCTGTGGAAGGAGTGGTGTTCTTCTTCATCACTGTTCTAATCCAGTACAGATTCTTCATCAGGCCCAGGTGAGCTTTTTCTCAGAACTCATGGAACACCTGCTTGAGGGTCACAGAGAAGTAGTACAGGGAATTCGCCCATCAGTGGTGATTGGACTGAATTGAACTCAAAGCAGATAATCAAACTCTTTCCTAATGTGGAGGCCTCCAGCCTCCAACACTGGCAGTCCTGGAAACTATGGATAGTAGATTTTATAGGACTGCTTTCAAAAGTGGATCTTTGTCTTGAAAAAGAACTTAACAAAATAAGCCTGAAGGAGAAAGACAAATACCAGATAATGTTACTTATATGTCGAATCTAGTGAAACCAAACAGAGTCAGACTAACCCTTGAAAACTGACCATTGAACTGACAAATCGGGAGTGGGGAGGAGGAGAAGAGGGCGGGGTAAGAACAAACACAATGGACTATGGTGGAGGACTATGGGTGCTTGTGTGATGGGTGCACTATGGTGACTGACAGGAGAAATCCTATGTATCCAAAATACTAACAAGGATACAAAACAATGATACTTCAATAAAAAAGAAAGGAAAGAAAAGAAAAATAGCTTAAAAGATTGATTTTTCTTAAATTTTCCCCTTAAGACCATATAAGGCAAAGCTTCCTCCTATGAATGATGAGGATGAAGATGTCAGACGAGAAAGACAGAGAATTCTTGATGGTGGAGGACAGAATGATATCTTGGAAATCAAGGAGCTGACAAAGGTGAGGTAATGAGTACAGGTTGTAAGAACTTGTCTTTATTTTTTTCAACTGTCTATGTTAGAAACTAGTATTTTGTTGACTTTCATTAAAAAAAAAAAAAAAAGAGCATGCTTCTCCAAATGTGTATCTCTACCAAGCTTCTGTCAATTTAATTTTATTTAAAATGAACCATGGGCACTTTTTAATTAAAGAAATCCTATTGAGAACACACTTACATTTATTGTTAGCATTAAAACATACTAATATTATATTCCAGTCAAAGAATATATGGTTGATGTTGAGTTTTCTAGTCTGAAAAGATGTTAAGTCTCCACTGCTCAATAGGAGAGGCTTTCCCAGCCTTCTGTAGTTGCTGGAATCCCAACACTTCACTTTTTTGGTAACATATGCAATATTTTGATTATAAAATTTTACCCAGTAGAACTTCATTTTTAAAATATAATATCTTTCTACATCAAGTAAGTGAAAATTATGTAGATTATTAACCAATATATATATTTTAAGGATTGATCTTAGGTTAAAAAATAAAAAGTTCACTCTTACTTTGTGCTTCAAAGTCATTCAGAAAAGGATTGCCACAGAGACAAAGCAAGATACTTAGCATGTCAAATGTGTGACAATCTTACCAATACATCTTATTTCGTGGTGTGTTTGGGTTTTAATTCCCTCATACACAGTTGCTTGGGGTTGCTGTGAGTCACTGAGGCTCATCAATTTTGGCATTTTGTTTGTTCCAGATATATAGAAGGAAGAGGAAGCCTGCTGTTGACAGGATTTGCGTTGGTATTCCTCCTGGTGAGGTAAAGGCCCTTTGCATTGTATTTGTCCCTAGTAATTCAAACTATCTCTACCCAGTCAGACCACAGTATATATAAGGGGTAAAAAGTGGCTTTTAAACCTTCTCTGTTTATGTCTCTGTGGAGCCATCAGTCACTGAGAGGATAGGGACCTGCATGTCAAAAGAAAATGATTTTGGAAAATCTGACAGCTTAAGAAAAAGATACACATCTAAAATGTGCTTTTCTGATTTGTTCAAGTTAATGAAACTTAAATGGATTCATTCGATCTAAAATTAAAACAGATTTTCTTCTTTCTTGTTCATGTTTGTTTTCTTTTATGCCCTTTAGTCATATTAGATGGTGAAATTTGACTAGTTGGCTTTCATTACTGTTTTTTACACATTAACTTTGGCCTCAACTTGAACACTCAAATAATATTTACAAATACTCCCACACTCAAAATGGTCTTGTTATAAAACATATGTTTAAATATCTGTATAATTTCTTAAGATGGTATTTGAAAATGATATTATAGAATCATGTTATATAAAAACTAAGCTGAGGTAACTATTTTATAATGACCATTCATATTCAAATTTTCAGTAATTTGCTTTTACAATTTATCCAATCTTTTTCAGTGCTTTGGGCTTCTGGGAGTTAATGGTGCTGGTAAATCATCAACTTTCAAGATGTTAACTGGAGATACCACTGTTACCAGAGGAGATGCTTTCCTTAACAAAAATAGGTGAGAAATTCATGTGATTACCAATAGCAGTTAGTGAAGTAACATATGTGAAATACTTAACAGTGGGCTTCACAGCTGAGGTACCTTCAGTAAATGATGGATATTGTCATAAAAAAGATGAGAAAAGAAAGAATCCGTATATTGGCAAAGACTTTTTTACTTGATTTAAATAAAATATTATTTTATAACAGTATACTCCTATCTCTTACCACTTTTTTCAGGAGGCTTAAGAGAACAGAAATTATAGAATAGCAGGCCCGAGGCTGTACACCTACTTCTCCGGCCTCATTTGTAGCACCAGCCTCCTGGTGTGGATAGCAATGAAGGCAGTGGCTGGCCCAAACAAAACTTTGTCATAGTGACTGGTTGTAAGAGCAGGCTTGGGTGGGGTAGCTGTGTAGGCAAGGCACAGGGCCCATGGGCACCTCCATTGTAATTCTGGGAAAGGCTGGACCCTGGAGTACTAAGTACATCTACAGAAGGGAATGGAGAGCACTGAATGGCCAAATTCATGACTGTCCAGATGTGGCTGAAGTGCAGCCATCAGACTGGCTATGGAAACTGGTCTTCCACATCTGAGATTCCTAACATGAGATTGGCTTCAAATGCCTAAAATTAACACCACTGATACATGTAAAATTGTAGATGTAGGTATATTTTTTCCTATTACTAGATTCTCCAAGTCTGAGATTTGAAAAACCTTAAAAACCAGGAGGGTGCAGGGTTGGGTCTTCAGCAGAATGAAAGAAGTCTGTCACGTGCTGTGATTGAACCAGGGATGGGCAGCAGAACACAGAGGGAGGGAGTTACACTCAGAGTTGCTGAGCCTCTTCTGTGTCTGAATGGCCATGAGGAGATTTTGGAGCAACAAGGCATATATTATATATGACTGGGCCAAAGAGTCAAGTCTGGGGTGGCGAATTAATGTTAAAGCCCCTACACTGTATGACTGAGGTTGTTGGTAAAGATGGTGCTGCAGTGACAGTAGACTAGGGAAGCCTCAGATGGGACTGAGCCTCAGATTGAGGTGCAAGGCCCAGGCAGGATAGAGGCAGGAACCCTCACTATTTGGAGGGGTTGGCATCCTGAGGCCAGAAAGGCTACTTCTTCAAGCTATAGCAGGTGTGCTTGCCAGTATTTCTGAATCACACTTTATAGGAACATTAAGCAGGGATTTTTGATCAGAGAATCTGTAAACACTTAAATCTTGACCAGTTATGTTTTTCTTTGTAGTATCTTATCAAACATCCATGAAGTACATCAGAACATGGGGTATTGCCCTCAGTTTGATGCCATCACAGAGCTGCTGACTGGAAGAGAACATGTAGAATTCTTTGCCCTCTTGAGAGGAGTCCCAGAGAAAGAAGTTGGCAAGGTATGGTGGGCACCAGAAGGACAGCAAGCCTCCTTGGCATCCTGACAGTGTGCCTGATGCCTTTGACTTTATATTGATTGTCAGCTTCCAGCTATTTTTTGTCATGCATTTAGCAATATGACATGCTGGCTCTTTGCACTCACTTCCAGGGTGGGGATCTGTGATGATGGGCAGGGATGGGTGGATAGGCCTGTTCTGGAGGGCAGTGAGGAAGTGTTGCCAACACAGCACCCACACGAATCCTTTCCTTCTGCTTTTGGTTCCTTAGCACTTGCCAGGTCATGGTGATAGAATCTGATCTTACTTGGAGCAAAACTTTTCATATGTAAATATAAGACAGCATGATAAAATTACCAAACCAGAAAAAATTCAAGGAGCATTTTATTATTCTAGGTTGGTGAGTGGGCAATTCGGAAACTGGGCCTTGTGAAGTATGGAGAAAAATATGCTGGTAACTATAGTGGAGGCAATAAGCGCAAGCTCTCTACAGCCATGGCTTTGATTGGCGGGCCTCCTGTGGTGTTTCTGGTGAGTGTGACTGTGAATGGGAAGCTCTTGTTCTTCCCTAAATGGAAAGAATTACTTTTCTGATGTCCTGTATGTTCGGGGATGTTGCATAACAGGCTTGACAGTGGTCAGCCACTCGCCCCTGACCAGGAACTGCAGAGCAGCCTCAGAAAGCCAGAGGGGAACTTTCTTGTTTCTCTAATTGACACACACTGGGGTGGCTTTGCCAGCCCCTCGAAGGATCCCAAAGAGAGACACTCCAGCTTCCTTGCTTCTCTGGCATGGAGAACTCTGACAAGTGTAGCTGAAGTTGAATGTGTGATTTGACCTTTTTCAAAGGATGAACATTCTCTCTAATCATTTATGTGTTCATCTTCTGAAAAGGGAGAGTGTGGACAAGGTTTCAAGATCCCTAAGATAGCACCTGGCTCATAGTGTCTCACATACAAATCGATGGAAACCTGAGATGAGACGGATAGTGGCCCTTAACTCCTTTTCTTCTGTAGAGAAGAACATTGAAGAAGAGCAACACCCTTGGGTGGAAGCTTTAATGTAATCCACACCACGTAGATCTGGAATGTATTTCTTTAAGACTAGCAAGGGTTATATAATACACTATGCTGGAGTGAATGAGAATAAAAAAAAAAAAGAACAAACAGAATTTTACCTAAACCTTATATTAACTTAAATAGAGATTTCACACAAAAAGAATTTTTAGTATATGTGTGTCAGTTATGAAAAGATGGTTGATACTAAATGACCTTTCCCTTCCCTTTCTGTTTACTGGGAGAAATGTAATAAAAAAATTAAGTTGTGTTTCCTCCTTTAGTGAGACATTTATAAAAAGCAAGCTGGTATAGAACTTATTTTGGTATATAAGGTCTAGTTCTTTGAAATACTAAAGAAATACTTCAAGAAATACTAAAATGGAAAGTTAAATTTAGGTTATTTCAAAGATACTTCAGCATTTAAACACAAATCTATCCTTGAAGTTTTTTCAACAAATAATAGGACTTGTTTATTCTCTTCACAGGATGAACCCACCACAGGCATGGATCCCAAAGCCCGGAGATTCTTGTGGAATTGTGCTCTCAGTGTTGTCAAGGAGGGGAGATCAGTGGTGCTTACATCTCATAGGTCTGTAGTGAAATCTTGGCTTGTCTACTGCATTGTGCAATTTTTAAATTTCCCAAGTGGTATATCTGATTGCTATGTGAAATTACAAAGTACAGCAAGGCAAGGAGAAAAACAATTCTGAGCACTTGAAACTGCGTCACTTGGAGAAAACCATCACTATCCCTTCACTATCTTCACAGAGTTTGATGGAAATCTATATATGTGTTTGTGTATTTACACAGTTTCAAACTTGGTATATATATTGCTTTTTTTTTTTCACTTAATGTATTATGAATGTTACTCCACATCAGTCATCGTTTCTTACAGCTTGCTAGTTTTCCATTAGGATATACCCTAATTTGTTTAGCTGTTCTGCTCTTTGTGTTTGGATTGTTTCCAAATTTTTTCACGATGGTAAACAATGCAGTGCATTGTCTCACTGCACTGCAATGAACAATGTTAACCCTGCATCTTCATGCACTTTTGTAACAGGATGCAATTGTGCCCTAGGAAACTAGGTTTCTGTTTCTTTCAAATGTTCAATGCAATGGTGATATTGATGTTGTAGGAGCATCTGTCCAAAACTAAAACCCCCTTCTTTTTTCTCACAGTATGGAAGAATGTGAAGCTCTCTGTACTAGGATGGCAATTATGGTCAATGGGAGGTTCAGGTGTCTTGGCAGTGTCCAACATCTGAAAAATAGGTAACAAAGGCAATTTCTTTGGGATCATGCCTACTAAAAAGCTTGTATTTATTCTTCTCTGAGTATATAAACGGTGGCTCTAAAATAAGGAAAGTAAACTGACCAAAATGATACAGTGTATAAAAAAAGGAAGCTTTGAAGTCAGGATAGGCTATAATCAAATACTTTCTTTACCTTTTACTCCTATGCCCTTTGGTTTGTGAATTAACTTCTTGGAGAGTCAGTTTCCTAGGATTATCTGCTTTCTAGTTTTGTTATACAGATGAAATGGAATGACATACCAATGTGGCCAGAGTATAAGCTTTGGAGGTGAACATAAGTGGGGCCACATCCTGGTCTGTGAGCTCTGTAAGTGGGCTTCAGTTTCTCTAACAGGCTTCGTGTGAGGATTAAATGAATTTAAGTATCTAAGGAACATGGTATGGTACCTCACGTGAAATACTCAGTAAATGAAAACTAGCTCCTTTTCTCAGAAACTTCTGGGTCTGTCAGGGATCTATTTTCATGGTACAGTTTGGGTCTTTGGGTTAAATACTGTTGTGAAGTTTCCTGAGGGTCTTTCATGTGGACTTTTTTGGTTTGTTTTCAGGTTTGGAGATGGTTACACGATAGTAGTACGAATAGCAGGGTCCAACCCTGACTTGAAACCTGTACAGGAGTTCTTTGGACACGCCTTTCCAGGAAGTGTCCTAAAAGAGAAGCATCGAAACATGCTGCAGTACCAGCTTCCTTCTTCATTATCGTCCCTGGCCAGGATATTCAGCATCCTGTCCCAGAGCAAAAAGCAACTCCACATAGAAGATTACTCTGTTTCTCAGACAACTCTTGATCAAGTAAGTGCTGTCTTTCAAGAATAGATCTGTATTTCGGGGTGAGGATTCTTGCTCCCTCCCTGAACCCATTATGGGTTCTAGAGCAGCATAGACTATTGGAGTTTGAATTCCTGATCTCCTACTAGCTATACTTTTTACTGAACCTCCCTGAGTCTGAACAATGAAGATAAGGGTTTGTGAGAATAGTTGGTGGCAATAATCATAACTTCCCTTTATGGGCCAGACATTTTGCCAGGTGCTTTATGCTATTTAAGTAAATTAAGATCACTATCAAACAGATCCTGGCACTTAGTAGGCATTAGTTAGTTGCACTTAGCAAATGTTAGTTTTTATTCCCCTTCTCTTTCATCAAGGCTTTATAAGCCAAAGTAAATCATGATCTAACAGAGTTGGGGGGTAGGGAGGAGGGGCAGTATAAAAGTTTTTACATTTTTAAGTGGTTAATGCTTTTTCAAGTAGTCCTCTTTCCTAAACACACAGTTTTCTAGTTAATCTATTCATGTAGTCTTGTATTCTTCTATCCAACCTAATTTCCATGTAGAGAGATGCAACTAGAAGATAGAGCAAGTAGTATTTACTAAAGTCAAGAAGTATTTACTAAAGTCCATCTTTCTTTCTACAGGTATTTGTAAACTTTGCCAAGGACCAAAGTGATGATGATCACTTAAAGGACCTATCATTACACAAAAACCAGACAGTAGTAGATGTTGCCGTTCTCACATCTTTTCTACAGGATGAGAAAGTGAAAGAAAGCTATGTGTGAAGAATCCTATTCATACAGATGGCTGAAAGAAAGGAGGAACTTGACCTTCCTTTGCACCATATGAAGTGTTTCAGAGCAAAGAGCTGGAATTTTTGTGGGAAGAAGTAAACTGGATACTGTACTGATACTGTTCAATGCAATGCAATTCAATGCAACAAAAACAAAATTCCATTACAGGGGCAGTGCCTTTGTAGCCTATGTCTTGTGTGGCTCTCCAGTGAAAAAGACTTGAATTTACTTTATAATCTTATATCTGTGTGAAACTCTAGTATGGAACCCGGTGGACCTATGGGTTTGAAATCATACTTTTTTATTCCTTTGTATTCTCACTGGGGTTGCAACAGTAAGTCATCAAATAATCATGGCCAGTGATTATCAAAATCAGAAGGCAGGCACATCCTCATTCATCAGGCCATGCCATGCCAGGAGACTGGCTTCCCGGCGACACATCCATTGCTGGCAAAGAGTGTGCCAGAATAACTAGTGCCAAGTTGCTTAGAAAGCCTGAAGCACCATGGTGTGTCATGCACACTTTTGTGAAAGATGCTCTGCTCAGAGTCTTGTCGATGTCATCAAATATCGGGTGACAAATAGGTGCCATGTGTGGGGAAGGCCATGATTTGAATCCCTTGCTGATGAACTGTTCTGGTGGCAGTAACATGCAAAATGTGAGAGGCTCTGGACAAGGGAGACTTGGTTCCATTGTTATGCTGTCCTCACTTGGAGCCATGGGTCTTCAGGGTCATCTTCGTCAGACTCTTTAAATGTACTTGGATCCTGGTAAGAAACAAAGAATCTGCAGCCAAATTGTTGGGCTGTAAGTTGCTGAGACCAGGGCATGGGATTAAAGAGGTGGCGTGCTCAAACCTGGGGAGGACTGTGTCTACTTATCCCTGTTGTCTACTAACACGGTACACTGCATCTCAAGATCTTGTTTGACACATCTGTAGTAGTATTTTTGGCTTTTTAAATTAATCTAGGACATGAGAAGATGGACTGTATTCTGACAAAAATCTTTGTACTTTTAAAGTTATTTGGAATTTTATGTTCCAGCAGTGACTTCTGAACCTTAGAATGACCTCTTTGTAGAACCCTGTGGCATAGAGAGGCATGGAGGGCCACACTGCCTCATTAGCTTTATTTTCTCATGTAAGTTTGCAGATGGATCATCTGACTAGTGCCTAGTGCCTGGAAAAGAATGTGAAGGGCAACATCTCATGACAATGTTCTGTTTGAGTTTAAGATTATTTAAAATACTCTTAATCTCAGTTCATTAATCAAGTATTTTGTGTGTGTGTTTTAGCTGAATGAGTATTTATGGATGAGGTGGGGAGAAATTAAGTCTCAGATTTCCTGTGCCATGTTATTCAGATAACTGGTTTACAAATATAGGTCGCTTTGTTGCTGTGGTTGTGGGAGCCCATGGGAAGAATATTGGGCGTTCCACTTTGTGAAAATAACGCAAAACAATGCAAACGCCAAGACAGTTCAAGTGTTATTAGGGTCACAAGACTAAAAAATGAATTCTTTCACAGAGAAGACAGCTAGCTTCAAAACTTCTTAAACAAAACAATTTGTGCTAATGGCATTTAGTATCTTCAAATTGGCTCTGAAGATTTTAGACACACATTCTGACAATTTCAAATAGTTCATCTCTTCAATCACCAACTTATCACGAAAAATATTTAACAGCAAGTACCCTCCTCCCCCACATCAAATGTATTTCAGGCGTTCGAACCCAGTCTTGTTTTTTTTCATCAATAAACACCTTAAAAATGTATTTCACTAATGCTTAATGTTGTGTCTTGAGGCAACAGAAATATGAGAGAACTACTGTTTGATGACATTTATGCAATTTCAATATTACTACTAATTGTCCCTCCTTTTTCTAAAATTTAAATATGTTTAAATATTAACTCTAAAGGTATAAGATTTTAGAACTATCTCATCTATTTGTTCTTTTAAAATTTATAGAATGTTATCACATAATTTGTTGCTTAAAAATTACTTTAGAAATTATCAATATTTTCTAAAATGGTAAACAATAATGAAGGCATATTTCCAATAACTATTAGCATGAGAGAATTATACTTATGCTATCTTTAATGATATGAAATTCAACATCAAACTTCTGTTGGTTTTCCCATTTCACTAGAATCGTGTTTTAGTTATCCATTATATTTAATCTGTGAGAAGCTCCCTGCTTTGGTTTTTCTGACTTCAAGGACATATTTTTAAAAATCAAAGGCACTGTGAACTACTTTGAAAAAACTATGCCATTTCAATACAGATTTAAAAGGATCTCTTTTGAAGCTAGAAAAAATCTACAATTACACATTGACTCCATAATACTGTATTACCTTTTAGACTATCCAATAATAAGCTTTTAAAATTTCCTGTGTAAGCCTAATTGTAATAGAAACTTTTACTAACTTAAGTCAAGTAAAATTTCTATATATTCCCTGTGGAAATGCAGCTATGTGAATTTCAGAAATTCTCAAGTGTTGAAAGAATTCTTTTGCTTCTTTTGGACACCCTAGAAACCTTATTAACAACTGTGAATATGAAAAAAAAAAAAACAGTAATAAAATAGTCCTCTCTACATAAACACCCAGCACAATTCATTGTTAAAGAACAACCAAACCTCAAACTACTGTATTTCAATATCTGTACTGAGAGTGTATCATTGTGACTATTAAGTGTTGCATATCCCTCATTCACTGTATAATAATCATTGACTAAAGGGATTTGTCTGTGTTTTCTCCATGTGGTTGTATATATCAGGTACATTTTTTTCCCAAAGAGCCATGTGTCATAATATTGAACCACTTTGATATTGAGATATTAATTTGTATCCTTGTAACTATTTGCTAATAATAACAGTACTATAGTAATATCGCTCTAATTCTTTTGAAAATTTTTGCATCCCTTTTTATAAAGTGTTTATATTTCCAAAAAGATTAAGTACTCTGTTCTCTCTTCCTGTATCCTAGGCTGAAGCTATGTTTTTGTGCTTTTTCTTTATCATTGGCCCTTCATTCCAAGCACTTTATGCTTTCTGTAATGGAATCTATTTTTGCACTGGAATATCTGAGAATTGCAAAACTAGATAAAAATTTCACAATAGATTTCTAAGTTAAATCATTTTCATTAAAAAGAAAATAAGAAAAATGTACTGTCTATAACTTTATATAAAGTATTAAAAAGGCATATTTCTATGTTGTAATGAGTCACGAAATAAAGCTGTGACAATTGTTAGTCTACACAAATTTATTTTCGTGCATTCATAGCACCGCCTACTGTTAAGACATTATAAAGCTGTTACAGGAGTAATAAAGGGAAAGCTGCTTGAACCTAAAGTGGAAATTTAGAATCCACTCAATTCCCTGTTAATCACAGAAGAGAACTGAGGGGTCTACTTGAAAATAGAAGCCAGGGTGTTTTACTCATATGCTTCAGTTAAGATAATATCTGATATTAAGTAAGTTGAAGAGGTTTTAGATAAACTTACTCTGCCTAATGACTACAGTTCTGCAGAGTTATCTGAAAATATTCTTGTAGCTAAGCCTATTTAATAAAAACTTCATTAGCTTATTTGGTATTGAGCAAACTATCAAGGCAAGCTCCAGAGTTCATTTTTTTTTTTTTTCCAGCCAAAGTACAAGGATAGTGTGACAAATATATTGGTAAGGTGTTGAATTTGATAGTAAGGATCAGCAGACAGGGAAAGTACAAAATTGTGGGGGCAAAATGGATGAGTATTGGAGGCGCCACCCCTATCTTCTGTGGCGTCTATGCCCAAGATTAGAGAGTACTATGATGAGACGTGGATATATTTTTCATAGCTCATCAGCAATCACAGTAAGGAGATGTGCTTATCCTGGAACTTGAAGAACCGTTGTCAAATGCACCCACCAGGCATCCCGGAGAATCCCGGCACTATCTGTGCCCTCTACTGACTGGCCATGAAGGTGGCAGTTCTGTGGAGGCGAGAGTCTCCAACCTTGCTGCCGAAGGCCCCTGCTTGCAAGGAGCTGGGGTGCCACTGGGCTGCAGGCTCAGAACCTTTTCTTTCCCCAATGAAGTGCATGTAGCAGTGATGACGATAAAATGCTAGAAAACTGTTCCTTGGTGAAAAAAGGAAAGTCGAGGGAAAGAAATTGAAAACAAACAGGCAGCTAATTTTGATGAAAAATATGTAAAATCTATATAAACAGAGTCAAAAAATCTTTGGAATGATAATGTGTACATTAAATATGAAAAAACCTAAGAGGAAAAATTAGCTGACTTTTCCAAGTGTTTACTGTGTTGTTAGGCGCTTCATTTAATCCTCAATTCCTGTAGGATGAGGTAAGCCATGCCATTCGACATGAGTAACTGGTGGCTCAGAGGATAAGGAACTTGCTCAAAGTTACATGGTTAGTAAGTGGCGGAAGAATGCTTTTGTTGAAGTTGGGTATCAGTTAAAATTGTTCTGGTAAAAATCAGTTCAGAAGCATATGTGAATTGAACAAAAAAATCACTGAACTTCAGCACGGGTTAGGTATTTTTATAGGTTCTGGGGCTCTGTGTCAAAGAAGACAGTTCTGCTCTAATGAACATGAATCTCAGTGGAGAAATGATGCTCATACTCAAGGGATGTGTGGATAAACAGAATTAATGTAAACAACGTCAGTGTTTAGGGGCTAATGGGATAAGAGGCTAATAAGACCTGCTAATGGGATAATGAGGGAAAAGAGTCAGAGAGGGCCTGAGGAGCTCAGATTTGAATAAAAGCCAACATTTGAAGTTGAGAAAGCAGAGCATTCCTGGAAGAAAGAACACCTGGTGCAAAAGCCCCAAGTGGGAAAAAGCTTGGCAAATTGAAGGGGCTGGTGATGGTGGTAAGAATGCCAATGCGTCTAGAGTGACAGGAGATGAAATCAGAGGCACAGAAACCAAAACTTGAAGGACTAGCAGACTTAATCCTTAAGTTATTTGTTTATATTGTTAATGCAAAAAGGAACCATTGGAGAGTCGTGTCAAAACAAGGCAGTGTTTTACCTAACCGGTTTCAGAAAGAATGCTGGGTAGAAAGGTTAGTAGGGAGGCTAAGAGGTCATGGTAGATTGCATGAGGTTGATAGCAACATCCAGAGGGAGGACTGGAAACATTCAGGGTCTATTTTAGAGATGGAGTCAACAGGACTTCATGGAAGAGATGAGGGAAAGGCAGTAATCAAGGTGACTTCTAGTTCGTGAGCCAAACTAGAGAGATGCTTGTGTTAAAAAGGTAGTCAGCATCTCAATCTGGTACTCAGGAGCAATAGGAAAAAAGGTAAAAATGTGTGAATCATCAGCACCTACATGGTATTTAATCCTTGGGACTGAAGAACTTACCTAGACAGAGTGAAGAATAATCTTGAACCCTGTGACCCTTCCACTTTTACAGAAGCCAGCACAGGAAACTGAGAGTGACTAGTTAGGAAGGAGGAAGAAACCCTGAGTATGACTCCATATATTGAAGCTCAGAATCAAGTGTTTCAGGAAGGCAGAAATGGTCAACTGTGTTCAACACTGGTGAGAAGATGAAGAGGTAAAGACAGAGAAGACCACTGGATTTGGTGAGGCAGGGTCCTTGGTGACCTTCAGAAGGTCATTTCAGTGGAGTGTCAAGAGTGTAAGCCTTACTGATTTGGGTTCAGGGAAGAATAAGACAAGGAACCAAGGAAAGGAAGATCACAACTATACATACACAGCCTTACAGAGAGTTTTGCTTTAAAGGGAAGCAAAAATCACAATAGCTGGTTTATGAAACTTTTATTTGGAATCTTACTGTTAATAGTGGAGGCAGCATGTGAACACCGTGTCACCTTTTTTTCTGATTTTTTTGTTTTTAATCTTTTAGACATTTCTTCTGTCATTAGCCTTAAACACTGTACTTTGTTTTTCAGATTTCCTTTGACAGTGAATTCAATGTTGTTTAGAAATGTGAAGTCATAATAGCTGTAAATACAGACTATGAAGATTTGGAAGTTTTAGAAGGAACAGGCACTCAGCTAAAATGGAAACTGAAGGTGTTTCAAGGAAAGCTCTGCCACATCTGTAGTGGTACCAAAGAAGCTTGCCTTCTGGAATTACTATCATTATTTTCTTGATCTAACTTAATATTTATGATAAAGTTGGTAAGTCATTGCTGTTTCACTACCCTGTAGCAACACAGTAAAAACTCAAGATAATATAAAAATAAAACACAAATAAAAATCCAGAATGGACATTGTGGGCTTTTATTAGGACAAGCATTCCCATAACCACAAAGATCTCTTTAAACAATTAGGTGTCCAAAGTATCTTTGTTAGTAATCCAAAATGAACAGAATTAACCACAAATCAACCATGTCTGCATATAAAATGAGTCTCCAGAAGTTTTTTTTAAACACTGAGATCTAGTTATATTATTTTCCAACTTAGAGTGACTAATAATTAATTTTGAAAAACATAACTAATACAGACAATACTGATGATGGTACTGTCCCATATTAGATATTTGATCTAGTATTTTTATGAATTCAATGTAATATCCAAAAACAACCTTACAGGACAAAATATTTTTAAGTCTTAATTAAAGAGACATGATGAAAAGACAGGTTTTATACATAAATAATTTTAAAAAACTGTCAGGCACAGAACTGTAAAATTTTCATTTGAATATAAGAAAATGCTACAAAGCAAAGAAAAATGCTATATTGTCAAAACAGAGAATAAGAGCTATTCTGAAACAAATGTAAAATCATAATAATGAAATTGTGGCAACTATTCCTAATGTATAATAGATACTTAATGCCCTGAGGAAAATGAACAGAACAATTTCCTGAGGTGGTAGTGGCAAAGGACAGAAGTGGCTTTAAAAATTCCAAGATGCTGCAAATTAACTTATCACCTCCTTCACATAAAAGAGAGACTCTCTTGGGAGATTTTTAACACCATTAGCAGGCACATCTTATGGCAGTTAATGAAATGCTTCAGATTTCAGTGGAAAACTATTTCAATGGTGAAAATGATGTAGGAATCAGAAGCATATTCTGCTGAGACACTAGGTAATTGACACTTTCCCGAACTAAAAAAAAAAAAAAAAAAAAAAAAAAAATTATAAGAGGGCTTATAAAGTGTTTGATTCAAGTCTGTTTGAATCAAATCTTTTCTAAGAATAATTTATTCCTCATGAAAAAAAGCTCACCGGCGGCCACCACTCTGGGATCCTCGTGTGCCCGGTGTCTGCCAGCTGCACGACTATCTGCAGTCTCGTTCCACCAAAGCACATGAACTGCAGGAACAAACCACACACAGATTCCAAAGACTATGGCATACCAGGAGTTCCCCACCACCACCCTTACCCACAGTTTCAGTTACCTCTGGTCAAATATAGTCTGATTATATTATGTACAATAAGCTATTTGAGAAGAGTGAGATCACATTAACATAACCTGTGTTACAGTATATTGCTAAAACAATTCTTTTCATTATTAATTCTTTTCATTATTTCATTATTAATTTGCCTAATTTATAATTAAACTTCATCATAGGTTTGTAGGTATAGGGATAAACACAGGGCATATAAGGTTTTGTACTATGTACAGTTTCAGGCATCCATTGGGAGTCTTGGGATGCATTTCCCTGAAGATAAGGGGGACACTGTATACAAATAAGAAATACAGAAAAACGAACAAGAAACATTGTCTTATTCTTTAAATCAAAATAGTATCAAAATGGTGAAACTAAACATGTCAGTGATAAAGTTAGAGAGGGATTAGAGATTTGGGAGATACATTTATAAATTAATCAAATTGGCTTTATAAAGGCTTAAGAGGGAAAGCCATGTTTAAGACACTGCTAAAGAATCAATACAATTCCCATGTTTGACAACTTTCTAATTTTACACTTTATCTAAAAAAAGCAATATTACAAAAAATTATGCTTGCTATTGAAAATATGGGGTAATATAAAGAAAATAAAAAGCAGCATAATCTTTATTGCTCATAAGAAACCTATTCATATGTAGTATATTTCCTTTAAAAAATATTACTGAAATTGAACAGGATCTTATTGTATATTATATTTAGTGACAGATTTTTTAGAAATCAGCAATGTAAAACTTCTTTTTTAAGCATGGAAATCTATAATCCTTTTGAACTTTATTTTAGCATATAGTATGCAAGAGAAAGATAATAATTTTCATATATTTCTCCTCTTCATTTACTTTCCAATTTGAAAATATCTTTTCTCTGGACTTTCTTTTTTAAAAAAAGATTTATTTTTATTTATTTATGCATACAAGAACTGGGGAGTAGGCCAGAGGTACACGGGAGTGGGGTGAGAGGATTCACCAGAGATACAGTGGGGAGCAGAACAGGCAGAACTACTGAAATGTAGTACTGAGGGGAGAAGCAGGATAGACAGGAAAGGGGCAAACTCATGCCACAGATAGCTCGACAGCGCTGAGACTTTAACTCCTACACCACCAGGGTGGCCCCCCTTTATTTTTCTCCTGGACTTTCTTAGGATACATCACTAGAAGCACAAAGACCAGAATCTCAGCTTTGAATGTGTTAGGTTTGAGATGTCCACTGGACATCAAGTAGGGAAGTTGAGGAGATATTGGATATAGTGAGTCTTCCAAATATTTTATTAACTATTTATAGTCATTTATCCTTCCAGATGATTTTACACATATTGTTTAGAGTTTGCCATAAAAACTCTCTGAAATTCTGACTGCAAGAAATTTCAATGTTAAAAGTTAAATGCAACAAATAGGTGTTGATTGTATAAATTAAAGTATGTATGTTTGTCTGATGTATCTACTCATGCTGGAGTGTTAGAAAGCCATTATTAACAATGCATATGCATTATTTCTAGGATATAATATGCAAATATGCACATATATTGTATTTAGTATATATATATATAATAAAGTAACAATTTGGTCATTTTAAAAAACTGAATCAAGGTATACGTAGATTAAAAGATGAAAGGAATAGATATTTTCCTGAGGCTCCTTGCAGTTTCTTTAGTTTTATCATTTTGATGTATCATGGAAAATAGCAGTTGAGCACTTAAAAGACTTCATAAATAAGAGTTTAAGACAGGTTTTTTCCAACCCTTTTAATTTACAAACCCCACCTCCTCACTCCAGAAGAAAGGTGGCAGTAAAATGAAACAATGAAAAAAAGAGAGACAAAGTGACCCACCAAGGAATGTAGTAGAGCACTAACACATTTTGCAAATTCAAAGAAAAAAAAACTGGTGACTGTACCTCGATTGAGTGCTCCATAGTCTGTGTGGAAAACTCCAACTAGTTTTGAATAGCCTAGACTTACATGAGCATTAACTGCCTTTTGAAATGCTTCACCCCACAGAGCTGGCCCACCTGGTTTCATCTGAAAAATAACCAATTCATAGACTCCTAGAATAAGGAGAAAAATAATTATTTTACAAAAGATATTCAAGTAGTTTCTAATCTGGTTAGTTTGGTTCCAATGGAAGGTAATGTACATATAGATTTAGAGGACCACACTCACATGCATTTTTTAATGTAGACATTTATTAATCATTTGCATTATTTTCCTTGATTTTATGTTTAGAAAATCCTGTTCCTACTATAAGGGTAAGTTGTTAAGCTTACCCACACACAAAGAAAGAAAAAGAACTAGAAGGGGTAGGTAAAAGATTTTCTGAAATACTTTTTTATTTTGAAAATTTGTCAATGAAACAAGCATTAAAAATTCATAATGGGATTAGGATATTTCAGCTGCTTGAGTCTATAATTTTAGGTTAAGTATTTTCCAATATTATGTTTTCTGCTTTCCAATTTAGAGAGGAAATGCTATTTTGTGTAATAGTAGTTGTATAGTTTCCCCCTACAGGACTCCATTTCTAAGGGGAACAGCAAGCAAACAATGGACCTGAAATGATGCCTGAGTTTATGAGGGGAAAACAAAGGAAAACCAAAATGGGAGGAGATGGTCGTATTGTTCCTAAACATGCAGGTAAGTACTTGAAAATCATTTACCTTCTAGTCAGATCTGGGGAAGGTACACTGAAAGAAACTAGAGAACAAGGACAGATATATTTGAGAAGAGAAAGGAGCTGTTTGCTCAAAGAAGAGGCTGTGCATTTAACCTTAATTTCATTTAGGTTAAATTTAATTCAAGGGGTGCCTTCATCTGATGACCTATTACCACTATTACCACCACCAAAAAAAAAAGATCTTCCTCTAAATTGACATGCCTCAATTAAATTAATAGGGACAGCTAAGATATACTGAAACCAATGTGCCAACATTCTAAGTTTCTTATACTAATCATTTAATCTTCTCAACAGCCCTGGAGATATACACTATGTCATTATCCCCATTCCGCAGAGTACAAACTACCAAATTACTAAGAATTATGAACAACAGAGGCCTAGAACCTAGAACTGACATGATGGAGAAGAGACACCAACTACTGTATTCAGAGAGTACAAGAAGGCTGAACAAGACTTTTTGAATCTCTTGTAATCTAAAACACATTATAACACAGTTAAGAATCACAGGGAAACAAGAAAATCGAAATTAGTTTATACTTTTTTAATCTGACCTTTGTTTAAAACTGGATTGAGGTAATCATTTCTTTAAATCAGCAAGAAGACAAATTTTTAGGAATTAAATAATTAAATAATTAAATAATCCAAATGGATTAATAATCCAAGGGGATACAAGAGTTAGACTTGGCAGTTTCAGTTAATAGCCCCCGAGGTCAGTCAGTTGTATAAGCTAAGATATACAAGGATTTAAGATTAGTTTTAATGGACAATTATAAACCAGAGACATCCTGCAGGGGAGAAGGAGGGAGAGGGATAAGCGGGAGGGAGGAAGGAGCACAGGGGACTGTCCTGATGGTGCATGGGTGCCTTGGGGAAGGAAATCCTATGGGGACTCAATCTGAGGGGGTGGGGGGAAGCAAATATTGTTTAAAAAAATAAAGAAAAAAAGATTAGTTTTAATTTATAGAAAAATACTTATTAATTTAAAATAAATTGTAATAAATTTTAAAATTTTGACAAAACATCACACACCCTCCCTCACTTACCCACATGCGTGTTCCCTGCTCCTAAGACCCAAATCCTCAAACTTTACAGACCATGTCAGCTTCTTCTATGATACAGTTAAAGTTTCAGATCAGTAGATCCCAATTTGAAAAATTATGCTTTATTATGTAGTGCTCTTTTTTCAAATTGAGCACTACACATTTTTTACAAAGCTGAAAGCTCTAATTTATTTTTATCTCAACAATCAACATATGTTATACCAAGGTTTAACTTTAGTTTCTATAACTTAAAATCTCTAGTGTTTTCTATCAAAATTCAAACAGATCATGAGGAAAGGGATTTACCTTCTTTTGGAGGTTTTTGCAGTTTGCACCATGGTACCAGATAAGTAATCTCACTCTCTTGTTTATCCATCAAAGGCAAATTTGGAATGAGAAATTGTTCCTGCCATTTCTTATCCTTGGCCAAGGCTTTGCGAACTTCAGTTCGATGTGCAAAATTATCTATGGGAAGAAAGGATAAGAAAAAGAAGAGATGGCAATTTAAGATTAACTTGCAGTTTTTTGGGGTATGCTTGGTTGCATAAGGACACTGTTATGTAGCACAGGAAATACCAACATACACATGTGACAACTGTCTCCAACATGCTCATGGTCTAAAAGGGGAACTGAAATGTAAATAACCAGCTTAATGTCACCTAATAGGTTCAGAAGCACTACCACTTAGTGGTTAATCATGTGATTTATGTAAATTATGGAATCTTTCTGGACAAGCTTTTTATACTGAGTAACCTATAGATCTATATAGATGTAAATATAAGGGTAAGGGGTAATACCTATCCTAGAGCATAAGGAAGGTATAACAGGATCTTTTTAGTAATTTTTTTAATGGGTGGCACATTACAGCATAGATTGTTTTAATGGGGTTTGTTTATTACAAGAGGGAAATGTTCCTCTTGTCATGGTAAGTATAGAATGAGCACTTTTCATATTAAAGTACTTTATTAATAATGGACAATGATGGACAAACACTAAATGAGGTTATTACAAGTACTTTCACTATTAAGTCTTGACTTGGACTTCATAAAGGTTAGATATTAGAGTAACAAACATTCCTGGGATTCCTGTAACCTATTCTCCTCCCTCTTCTAAACCAAGGGAACGTTAGCTTCAATATGAGAATTGCCTGAAATTCCTTTTCCGTGATCTCCCTAGACTAAAATAATGACAGTGAATGCTTTGAAATAGAAGGGCACAGAAATAAAAGGAGTTGCAAAACAATATAGAATTTTTAAATCTTACAGATGGGTAAGACTTCAAAATCAACTGGCATCCCTTTTTGGTATCCATTTCCCTGAAGTCTCACGCTGTTTAACCATTTCTTCTAGAACACTGATATCTGGGTATAGGTTCAATAATAGAAAAAGTAATTCTACTTTCCTTTATGAACATAACTCACTCGGGTTCTTGTAAATTATGCTTTAATTTTTTTTTAATCTGGAAATGAAGTTTTATTGTAGGTTACAGTATACTCTTGAGTAAGGGTGGGAAGATTCAGAGAATTGCTTGCTAAAATTTTTGTAAAACATTTTTTTCCACATACCATCTATGTAATAAGTACTGTAATATTTTTTCTGAGAATTAAAGTCCAGTTCACAATTTTATGATTTGAAATGTCATTTTTTCCCAACATCACATTCCCTTGTGACAAAGGTTCCAGCAGTGGACTGGCAGATATGTACAACTGGGAGGGTTATTTCCAGTTTAACAAGTTTTTCATTAATGGTTAAAAGTTTTATGTAACCTGTGTCTGATTATAGTAATACAGATCAAAGAACTACGTTTCACATAACAACTGACAGAATGAAAATATGTACTGCATGCTTAAGTTGATGACTCGTACCATACTTCCAAATACCGAACACTTTGTTCATTCTGCCTCCAAAGTCTACACTCCAGTATCCAATCAATTCAGAGTGAGCTGTACGAAGATGAATATGTTCTGTAAAATTTTTCAGGAATTCATTCATCTTTGAGGGTTTAAGGCAATAGGTACGAAATTCATAGAATGTTCCATCATACTGCCTGGGGCCTGTAGCAAAAGATGAGCATACCTGAAGGAAGATAAGGCAAAGTTAAACATTTTGGGAGGGTGGGTTTATACTGCCATGTGACAACCAATCTGAGACTGGAAACAAAGGACACTCAGTAGACTCACAATTTGTTTTTACCTCAGCTGTCCTTTCTCCATAGACATCAGTTTACAGTGATGCCAATGATGCCAATACCTTTCAGTATTCTAAAGAGAAAGCTGTGTTTCCTCGCAGAGTGTTCATTTTTATTCACTTTTTCATGAGAAGTTGCTCAGAAGAAGGCACTGCAGCACTTTCTTTCCCAAGAAATAAGATTTCACAAATTTCCCCTTAGTGAGCCAATATTTCATCTTTAGTGAAAGGTATATGTGTTGGAGTTAAACATTTAAAAGAACTTTATAAATTATATAGGTGTTTTTGGTGACACAATAGAAATGTGCTTACTAGCAGAAAATTCCTATTATTAGTTCTTAAAACAATGGAAATTGCTGGTCAGGTTAGAGTATTTCCCAAATCCAGTGAAGCAGACCACTGTTCAAAAATAGGACTGTATGGTAACTAATATGAAGACTCCCTTATCTTCACATAAGCCTCACTGTAGACAGCAGTGACTTCCAATTCACTTTTTTTTTTTTTAAAGATTTATTTATTTATACAAACACTGGGTACAGTCAGCAGCGCGGGAGGGTGAGAGAATTCACCAGAGCGGGGCACAGAACAGGCAGACCGATGAAGTACACTGCTGAGGGGAGCAGCAGATGAGGCAGGAGAGGTCTGCGCGCCATGTTGGACCCTCGCCTGGAGGCTGGGGATCGAACCGGTGCTGCAGAGGCTGCGGGGCAGCTTTGCTGCCCAGGGCTCAACCGCTGCGCCCCCCCAATTCACTTATTAGAGAACAAGTGGTCGACACTTAATGAAGTCAAAGTGCAGAATTAAGAGGTAAGGAAAAATTCTTGGTCCTGTTTCAGCAGTATCAGAAGAATAAAGACTGTATTGCTTAGCCTTGGGCGAATGGGGCATTAATAGATTTTCTTTAGTCTTCATTCACCAGCAAATCATTCTCTAGAATGTTTACCTCCTCCTTATCCTGCCCATTGAGAAAAGAGTAAAAAAAACCTGAATATGAAAAGAAAAAAATCTCACAGAAGATGCCAATTCCCAATGATTTCGACTGACTCACAAACACTTGTTCTGTAGATTTCCAGCTGTAGTTAAATGAATCTCTTATCACCATGCTTATTTACAAGGTTTCTGATACTGCCTGGCTTGGTCACCTACCAAAGACACCAGTGGACAACTGGGCAGGATGTTCCAGCAATTGCACCTTGGACCTCTTTTTCCAGGTTCTCTGCAAAATGCTCAGAAGTTGTGCAATTCCTTTACAAGGGGGAGGCTGGTTCTGTTGCCAGCCGTCGGCTGACCTTTTTCTCCTTTTACCCCAGTTTGGAGGGGGCATTCTCTTATCAAAAGACAAATCGATAGGAAGGGCAGGACCGGCACCCTGCACAGGCCCCTTGGGGCGAGCGCGTTTGGTACTGGCCAGAAGGACGCAGCCGCTGGAGCTTCAGGGATGTCCTCCGGACAGCCTGGCTTCTAGGCCAAAAGCCCGCTGTCTCAGGCTGCTTTTGACCGGGCAGGGTGGGGACCCTGGCTAACGGGTCCTCCCTAGCTGCGCCCAGGCCTGGCTCCCCGCCTACAGGTTCGGGAACGTGCACTTGAATTTCGGCGCCTGCGCCGCGCTCCCCGGGCTGCGAGGGAGCCAGTGTGCGCATGCGCGAGCTCGCGAGCTCGCGAGCCGGGGCCGCGAGCGGACAGTGCGCGTGCGCAGGTCCGCGCGCGCGCCCCACACACGCCCCGTATCTGTCGCCCGTGACCTCCGTGGCGCCCCGTCCCGGCGGCCAGTACCTGAGGCGCGAGTGTCCGCGCGGCCAGGGCCTTAGTCAGACCACTTCGAAGGATGAGCATGGTGCGGCCTTGAATGCTGGGAAAGGCAGCCAGTGGGTATTCTCTCAGAGATTCCAACTCTTACCCGGCTTCCCGACTGAAGCGCACCCCGCCCGAGCTCCGGGCAGGGCGGCCTCGGGGCGGGTCCGCTCCGCCCCCAGTGCCCGCGAGGGGCGGCCGGACAGCCCAGCCCGTGAGCGGCGCCGGGGCCCAGCGCGGGGCACGCTGGTTATCTGCGCTGTCCTTTAGTTCCACCCTCCCACCCCACCCACCCACCCCCCCACCCCACCCCACCCCCCCACCCCCCCCACCCCCCCCCCACCCCCCCCCCTTTCATTGTACTGTGTGAAGTTATTTCTACTTTACAAAAAAAGCAAAACCAAAAAAACAAACATTAAGCTCAAAGAGAATGAGTGATTTTTCAAAGGTAGCAGAGTAAATAGTTTAGAGACAGTGGATTCATTTTAATTACTCTTCAATAACCCAGTACTTGAGTATACCATAACTTTGTTGTTCCTTCCCTATTGATATGTTTCCTTATGTTTAGTTTATATATAATGTTTCAGTGAGTAGCTATGTACATATCTCCATGGGCACTTACAATTCCTGTGAGAGGAAATACTGATTCAATTTCACTAGTTTTCACTTGCTCTTTAAAGTATCTAATTATCCTCCCATTGGCAAAGAGTGTGATTTCCTTTCTCCACATTCTTGCCAATTCTTCTGCAAGACTTTAATACTTGCCTGTTTATGTGTGAGAAATATCATTTTAATTTATACTTTTCTTCTCCCTGATTTGTTGTGAATTGAGTATTTGTCATAATTTTATAGGTCATATCACTGTTATTTTATGACCATTGCCCAATTTTATGTTTCATTGTTCATCTTTAAGCGATTTGAAGGCTTACAGAAAATGCTGGGAAGAGAAGTAAGGTTATGTGGGAAATACTAAGGTAATAGCTGACCTTCCATGTTGACTTCTTGCAGAATCTAGAGACAGGCAGACTTGCTCAACCTGATGGATGGCAAAGGCTCCTTACCAGGTGAAGGGCTGGATATTCACACAGCAACAGTTCGTGGCCCTTTCGTGGAAAAGGTTGCTGATCACTAGATGGAGTTGGAAGGGATTCTTGCCTCAGGTGAGATGTGCCATGCAGGCTAAGGCTTTATGGGTGGGCTGTAGGCCTCCTGACCAATGAAGTCAGGATAGCATCATGGTTATGATACATGTACTGGAGCCAGATTATCTGTATTTCAATCCCAGTTCTGCTTCTTGCCACTGGGCAAGTTACTTCTCTGTGCCTTAATCTGCTCATATGTGTAATGGGGATAATAATATCAGTATCTGACGGAGGATATGTTATAAAGATTAAAGTGAGTGCTTAGGTAGTGCTCTGTGTGTGTGTGTGTGTGTGTGTGTGTGTGTGTGTGTGTGTAAAGGTAATGAAACTAGGGCAAAGTTCAGAAAAACTGGTAAATTCAATTTTCATAAACTTGCAATGATATACTAAGATTCTGTTGACTTAAATATTAATTGGAAATATGATTTTTTGTCTAAATTGATCTTTAACTGCAAATTCATATACAAAGGGAACCAGAGAGGTAAAAAAAAAATGTTGGGAATCAGAAAAGACTCTGTCTTTTGTATTGCTTGCATATCAATGTTGTATACTAACTCACTTGGTTGGGAGGGATAAAATTATTCCACTCTATAAAGATGTATACAGCAGCAGTCTGCAGATATTCATCCCTATACACTGTGTGGGTAATGCAAATATTGTGATTTTAAAGGATACATACCTGGACTTGAATTTTGGTTCTGCTAATTATTGCCTATATGAACTTGGGCAAGTTGCTTAGCCTCTCTGAGTCTCAATTACCTTCCATCTTGATGGTGATAATGCTACTACAACTTAGGACAGTCATGGTAAGTAAATGAGATAATTTTCAGTAAAATACTTTCTCATAGAATCAACCACTCAGTGATTATTTTTGCATTGAAACCCCAGAATATTACAACTAAAGGCAGCATTAGACTCTTCTTTTAGTTTTTTAAGGATAACATCCTCAGCAATAAATGGAAGGAACTTAGGGTTTCCTTATAAAGTATGTACAAGTCGTTGTTCTTAGAGAACATGGGGGTATAGTGTTTGAGGAGGTACCAGGAGGATTTAGATAGTATGCCTCTTGAGCTGTCACTGGGCCATTGGTGTAGAGTGTGTTTTGGAGTGTGGGACCTGAATGGGTCACCTAGTCTCAGTCCACAGATTACAAATGAGAAGACTGAGGCCAGGGGGGACTGACTTCCTGTGGACACACTTGTAGTAGAGACAGAACCAAGCTTCAGGTCTTTAGGGTCCTGCTCCAGGGCTGTTTTTCTCAGCTTCCCTATAAGTGGAGTTGGACTCAGACCCAGTGTGGGCTTCCTCAGGTCTTCAGAGTCACCCTGCCTTGTGGCCAGTGTTCACTCCGTGGAGTCTTCAGCATGGTGCCTCTTCCTGGTATCCATCTGGCCTCTGTCCTCGTGCTGCCAGTTACCAGAAATGGCCTGGTAGATATTTAGTTACTAGGCTCCACTGCTTCCAGGCCACCCAGAATGTCCTAGTAGAGCTCAGCTATGGTCCCTATACTCCACATCTGCATGCTTGCTGGCCCAGGAAGCTGGCTGAACTCATAAGTGCTTGCCCTTTGGTCTTTTTTCTAAAACTCCTTCTTCTAAGTATGAGGATACCCTTAGACAATTATCAGACTCCATGAGAAGAGGAAATGTAAGAGTTATAGGCATTCCAGAAGGTGAGGAGAGAGACAAAGGGACTGAGAAATTATTCAAGGAGATAACTGAAGAAAACTTGCCAAGCATGAAAAAGGAGATGAATATAGACATACAAGAAGTAAGAAGAACTCCCAGTTACCACAATGAAAAGAAAACTACAGCAAGACACATAATAGTAAATCCTGCAAGAGTTCAAGACAAGGAAAAAATAATGAAACTGGCAAGAGGGAAGAAACAGATAACTTACAGGGAAAACCAATCAGGTTAACTTCAGACTTCTCCAAAGAAACATTGCGGGCAAGAACAGAATGGAGTAACATATTCAGCAAACTTCAACACAGCAAATGCTGTCCTTCCTCTACAAAGAAAAAATATGGACCTTCTCAGACAAATCAAAACTCCAGAAATTCATTACAACTAAACCCCCACTCCAAAAAATTCTACAAGAATTCCTAAAACCAAAGCCAACAGAGGAATGAACAAGAAGAACAGAATAAAGCAAAGAATAAAACTCCCTCTTCTCCTGGCTTCCCTATTCCCCCTCTACCTCGGTTATAGATTGTCCTGCCAGCTGTTTGTCTGTGTTGCCCTGGTGTTCAGCTTGATCATGCCACCCTTTGGCAAGTACCCCAGCCTGGAACTTCAGCCCTGGATGTACAGTGAACAGTACACATTTGTCAGGTATGTTTGCTTTTGGTGTCCAGGGAGAAAGTACTAGTGAGACCAGGGTGTTTACTGTGCTGGGGTCCACAGAAGGTGGATTCAGGAATTACATGGTGAGATGGATTTTATCAACTCAGGCTCCTACACAATTCAATATTGGCTGTAAAAAATAGCAGTGAACAAAACCTGATACAACAGCTTTGTCTTTCATTTCTGCATTTGAGCTCCTTTCTTCTTTAGACTGCTGTTGTCAGGAACAGTCATATGTGTCTTACATAAATAATCTGCACTTGGTAAAATCCATGTTTAAATTATGATGTGGTTATTTATAGCTGTTTTAATTTTGTAGATGAATCACAGTATTTCTACATACTTTGAAAGCATTGTACCTCCAGGAAGTTAATGCCTTGTTTTCTATACCATATAATGTATATTTTGGTTATTTTTTAAGATGTGGATATTAGCAATATTTAGTATACTCCCTATACTATAAGCAATCTAGTACTTCAAACAAAGGCTACAAAAATTTCTCAATCCTGTTAGGCAGAATTTTTCTTCATTCTTATAGGATCTGTAGGCATTTAGATGGGGGTGATGGTGTTCTTTTCCTTACTAGGAAACATCTGTCCTTTGACTCTATGTGGATATCATAAATGACATGATAATAAGAGATAATTTTCATTCCTATTTTTCAATTTCCTTCAGATAGCTAATTCATAATTTACTATGTTGTATTTGCAATATATGTTAGAAACATCATATGTCTGTAAATATAGACTATCAGGATATCATGAAAGTACCAAATCTAGTTTAAGAGAACCTTGGAGATCAACTAATATGAAAATTAAAATTGTTTTTAGGAAAATCCTAGCACATCTGTGATGTTACTAAAGAATTTTTCATTATGGATTTACTAGGAGAGTATTTACTTGGGGTAACTTAATATTTACATAATTACTGTCTCATTATCTATAGCAACACAGCAAAAGCTCCAGAGGAGGGAATAAAAATATAAAACACTATTAAAAAATCAGAATGTGGGGCCTCCCCTGGTGGTGCAGCGGTTGAGCGCTGGGCTGTGAAGCTGCCTGCAGCCTCTACAACACTGGTTCCATCCCCGGCTGCCAGCCAGGGTCCCAAAATGGCGCGAGAGACCTCTCCTGCCACGCCTGTTGCTCCCCTCAGCACTGTATTTTGTCAGTCTTCCTGTTCTGTTCCCCACTCTGGCTCTGGTGAATTCTCTCATCCTCCCACGCTTCTGACTGTACCTAGTGCTTGTATAAATAAATAAATTAATTAAAAAAAATCAGAATGTGTATATAGGCTTTTATTAGGGCAAACATTTCCATGACCACAATATCTTTTTAAAACAAATGTTTCAAGTATCTTTGTTAGTGATCCAACATAAAATTAAAATTAGTAAAATTAATTGTAAGAAAATTAGTAAAAATAACTGTATGTGAAGACATTTCATCCTATAAACCAACTGAGTTTTAATACCAGAACCTAATAACATCATTTTGAAAGTGATTAATAATGCGGAAATCTTAATACAGATAATCCAAATGATACCGAACTTTTCCATAGAAAAAATAAAAAAAGTTTAATACTTAATGAACCCCATTGTTATTACAAAATAAACTTTACTGGACAAAAACTTTTAAAATCTTAGAAAAAAAGACAATGCAAAATGTATATAAAAATTTTCAAAATATTATCATTTGGAAATGTAACATCATTATTTGAACAAAAATGCTATAAAAGGAGAGGGTTACCGAATTAGAGAGTAAGATATTCTGAAAGAATTGAAAAATCAAGATCTTGTCATAATGATACTATTTTTTTAATGTATAATAGCTAATGAATGCCCTGAGGAAAATGAACAGAACAATTTCCTGAGGTGATAGTGAAAATGGACAAAAGTGACTTTAAAAATTCCGAGACATAGCAAATTAACTTACCACCTCCTTCAAGTAAAAGGGAGAGTCTCTTGGGAGAATTTAAGCACCATTAGCAGACATATCTTATGGCAATTAATTTCATAGTTAATGAAATGCTTTGGATTTCAATGGAAAGTTATTTCAATGGTGAAAATGATGTAGGGATCAGAAGCATATTCTGCTGAGACACTAGATAATTGACACTTTCCCGAACTGAAAAAAAAAAATCATAATAAAGCTTATAAGTTAATGACTGAATCAAATCTTTCTTTAAGAATAATTTATTCCTCGTGATATAAAAGCTCACCGGCAGCCACCACTCTGGGATCCTCATGTGCCTGGTGTCGGCCAGCTGCGCGACTATCTGCAGTCTCGTTCCACCAAAGAACATGAACTGCAGGAACAAACCACACACATTCAAAAGACTATGCATTATTACAAATAGAAATACAGAAAAAAGTCAATATTTCAATATAACTTGGGAAAAAAAGAAAATAATTAAAGTTGAAGTCAAGTCCCCAAAGAACTCCCTGAAGCCAACATCACATAGTGTTTTATTTGTGTTTTCTCCTATGTACTTCATGGTTTCAGATCTTATACCTAAGTGTTTAGTTCACTGAGAGTTACTTTTGTGTAAGGTATGAGATAGTGGTATAGTTTCTTTTTTTTTTTTTTTCTGCATGTGGCTATTCATTTTTCCCAGCACCATTTGTTGAAGAGTCCTTTCTTTTTCAATTGTATACTTTTTGCTCCTTTTTTTGCAGATTAACTGTTTATGTAAGTATGGGTTTATTTCTGGGTTCTTGATTTATTCCATTGATCTATGGGTCTATCTTTATTCCAATGCCATACTGATATTTATTACTATATAGCTTTGTAGCTAAGCCTGATTTCTGGACGTATGATACCCCTGTTCTTTCAGTCAGATTTGCTTGGGCTATTCAGTTCTTTTATGGTTCCATATAAATTTCAGTAATGTCCACTCTATTTTTGAAAAATGCCATTGAGTCTTTAATAGGAATTGCATTGAATCTATATATTATTTTGGGGAAAATGGCCTTTAAATAATATAATTTTTACAATCCAAGATAAAGGAATTTGTGTCCATCTCTTTGTGTCTTCCATTTCTTTCAACATTTTTGTATAGTTTTCATTGTACAGGTCTTTCAAATAGTAAATGAGATCATTTTCTTGATTTCTTTCTCTTCTAGTTCATTGTTTCATACAGGAATGCATAAAACTTTGTAAGTGATTTTGTACACTTCACTGTACTGATTTATCATTTCTAATAGTTTTATTGTGGAGTCTTTAGGGTTTTCTGTGTATATGACCATGTCATCTGAAAATAGTGAAAAATTTTACTTATTGTTCAATTTAGTTCCCTTTTAAATCTTTCTGTGCCAAATTGCTCTAACAAGGGCTTCCAATACTATGTTAAATAGTAGTGGTAAAAGTGGACATCCTTGTCTTGTACTTGATCTTAGAAGAAAAGGTTTCACTTTTTCACTACTGAGTGTGATGTTAGTTGTGGATTTGTCTTATATAGCTTTTAACATGTTGAGGTATGGTTCTTTTATCCTCATTTTATTGAGTTTTTATCATGAATGAAACAGAAGTGAAATAAAAGCAAAAATAAACTGTTGCACTGTATCAAACTAAAAAGCTTCTGCACAGTGAAAGAAACTATCATTAAAGTGGAGACACCCTACTGAATGGGAACAAATATTACACATCATACATTTGAAAAGGGCTAATATCTAAGATCTACAAAATATTCACACAATTCAACAAAAAGAAAAATAACCCATTGGAAAAATGGGAGAAGTGCTAAATAGTCATGTCTTCAAAGAGAACATACAGATGGCCAACAGGCACATGAAAAAAGTTCATAATTTATATAATCATGGAAATGCAAATTAAAGCCACAGTGAGATACCATGTCACATCAGTGAGAATGGGTCATATGAACTAGACCAGAAACAACAGGTATTGGCAAGGATGTAGAGAAAATGGAACCTTTGCAAACCATTTGTGGGAATGTAGACAGGTTAAGTCCCCAGGGAAAATAGTATGGAGGTGCCTCAAAATATTAAAATAAATCTACTATATGATCCAGCATTTCTACTCCTAGGCTTCTATCCAAAGAACATGAAAACATTAATTAAGAATAGATGAACTCTTATGTCATTGTGGTGCATTAAAATAGCCTAGTTTTGGAAAAGACCTAAATGCCCAATGGTAGAGGAATGGATGAAGAAGATGTAGTGTGTACACACACACACACACACACACACACACACATCTATATACACACAATAGAATTCTACTCAGTTAAAAATATAGATAAAAGTGGGGCCTCCCTGGTGGTGCAAGGGGTTAAGATACAACCTATGAAGCTATCCACAGCCAATGCAGCATGAGTTCGAGCCCCAGCCAGTAAGCTACCCACATGGCGTGGCAGACCTCTCCTGACTCACACGCTGCTTCCCTCAGCAGTGTATTTCAGTAGATCCGCCAGTTCTGTTCCCCATTCTGTCTCTGGTGAATTCTCTCACACACCCCCCCCCCACCTCTGGCCTATACTGCAGTTCTTATATGCATAAATAAATAAATATTTAAAAAAAATAGATAAAAGCTTGCCATTTACAGCAGCATGGATGGAACTGGAGGGAATAATGCTAAGAGAAGTAAGTCAGAAAAAGAAAGACAATGGATGATTTAACTCATATGTGCAATATAGAAAAACAAAGCAACAGATAACCCAAGATTCCTTCCAGTTTTAACATTTCCATCGAGGTTGAGGTTCCCTTCAGTTTTTAAAAAAATTATTATTTTGATGTTTTAGGGGAAAGAATAGTTCAGTATTTTATTTTTTTAAAAGATTTATTTATTTATACAAGACTTGGGGCACAGGCCAGAGGCATGGGAGGGTGAGTGAATTCATCAGAGGAAGAAAGGGTATCAGAACAGGCAGATGGATCGAAAACACTGCTGAGGGGAGCAGCGGGCGAGACAGGAGAGGTCTGCCATGCCATGTGGGTATCTCTCTAGCTGGCCGGGAATCCAACCTGTGCTGCAGAGACTGTGGACAGCTTCACAGTGCTGCGCTCAACCTGCTGCGCCACCAGGGAGTTCCCATTTCAGTATTTTAAAAAAATACTTCATAAGGTATTAATATTCCAAATAAAAAATATAACAGGTTTGCACAACCCTAAAATTACAAAACATTGAAAATTTGGCAATAAAAAGAAAATATGCTCCATAATGAGAACAGAGACAAATTAACAAAAACAACTTAAGATCACCAATTCTTTGCAATTTCATAGAAGAAATGTACCTCTGTTGAGTAGTCCATATTCTCCATGAAATACTCCAACTAATTTTGAGTAGCCTTGAATGACATGAGCATGAACTGCCCTTTGAAATGCATCACCCCACAGAGCTGGTCCACCTGGTTTCATTTGAAAAGTAGCAAGCTCATAGACTCCTAGATAGGATGAAAATTAATTATATTACAGACATATTCAAGTGACTCTTCTAATCATGTTAAGTTTGATTTTAGTGGAAGACTGATGTCAGAAGATTTGGATATACATAAACGTATATGACTATATAGACACATTTTTTAATAATTTGCATTGTTTTTCTTTGCTTTTATATTTAGAAAGTCCTTGTTAATGTTTAAGCATCAATTGTTAAGCTTACAGGAAAAAAGGACTGACAGCTATAGGTAAACTATTTTTATATTAAAAATCTAATAATAATCTGTATAGTAAGTTAAACACTGAGAATTTATGATTGAATAGGATTTTTTTTATCTGCCCGAGGCTACACTTTTAGAAAAGATATGAATAAGGAAGTATTTTGAATCTCCTACAGTTTCATGCTTCATTCTAATTTCCATTTCTGTATCTTTATATAACTTGCCTCTTAACAGAATCCATTTCTAACATGAACAGCAGGCAAACAATAGATCTGATTTTTAAGTGTTTTTAAGGGAAAAAACCTGAGAAGAGATAGTATTATTGTTCCTTTAATCCAGGTAAATACTTGAAAAGCATTCTACTTTCTGGATGGAAGTATAAGGTAGGTGGAGAGAATGAAATTAAGGAATAAATGGACTAGAGAAGTAAAGGTAAGCATGCAAAGTTACTGGAGGAAGAGAACCAAGATTTCATGCAGTGAGAGAAGCCATCTAGTCCATTTAGAGAGTGCTGAAAGCTGAAGGAATCTAAATGTATAAGTTGATAAGACCTTTCAAACCTTGGGGATCACAGGGAAACAAAAAGAAAAGTTAAACCAGTTAATGCTTTTACTAATCTGAACTTTGTTTAAAACTGGGTTGAGATAATAATTTCTTTAAATCAGCAAGAAGACAAATCTTTAGGAATTATTTTCAAGCTGAGAAATAAGAGGAAGACAGAAGAGTTAGACTTGGCAGTTTCAGTTGGTAGTCCCCACAGTCAGTTTTATAAACAAAAATGTACTTAATGGTCTAAGATTAGTTTTAATTTATAGAAAAATATTTAAAAGTTTATTTTAAAATTATGATAGAACATCACACACCCTTCCACACTTACCCACACATGTGTTCCCTGCTCATAAGGCCCAACTCTTCAGCCTTTACTGACCATGTCAGCTTTTTCTATGATGCAATTAAGGTTTCAGATCAGTAAGATCCCAATTTGGAAAATTATGCTTTATTGTGTAGTGCTCATTTTTTAAAAGGAAAAGCTGAAAGCTCCAACTAATTTTTATCTCAACAATGAACACTGTTATCAAAGGTTTGACTTCAGTTTCTGTAATTAAAATCTTTAGTTTTTTTCTATCAAAATTCAAACAGACCATGAGGAAAGAGACTTACCCTCTTTTGGAGGTTTTTGCAATTTGCACCATGGTACCAGATAAGTAATCTCACTCTCTTGTTTATCCATCAGAGGCAAATTTGGAATGAGAAATTGTTCCTGCCATTTCTTATCCTTGGCCAAGGTTTTGCGAACCTCAGTTCGATGTGCAAAATTATCTATGGGAAGAAAAAGTCTAGATTTAGATCACCTACACTTTTCCTGGGTTTCATTCCACTTCAGCTAATGTTCATTAAGGTACATATGGTTACTGTTATATCACCGGGGATACCAACATATATATTATGTGTGTGTGTATATTTGTACATATGGTATATATATGATATGTGTCTCCAAGTTGTCGTGGTCCAAAGGAGAGCGGAAATGTCAATAACTAGGATATTGTCACATAGTGAGATTCAGAGGCTCTACTACTAGTAAGTAGTTGTGTGACGTAGCTAAGTTATTGAATTTTTCTAGGTCTGTTTCTTTATGAAACTGGGTGGGGGGAGACACAGTTTATGTATATATATAACATATATATAACACAGTTTATATATATATATATATATACACACACACACACATACACACACACACACATCCAGTATATGTATCTGTCTATTATATACTTCTATTATACACATCTCTATCTCTATAGATATATAGTATCTACCTCCAGGGTTTTTGTGAAGATTAAATGAGTTAGACATGTGAAGGAGTTTAGAAGACTGCTGGCACAAAGACAGTACTTAATATGTTAACTTTTTATTATTTCAATTGAAGTATTTATATTATAGTACCAATTTAGAGAAGGACTGTTATTCTTTGGTGTGGTGGTGGTAATAGGTGGTCATTTGAAGGTATACCTTGAATTAAGTTTAACATAAACAAAATCGAAGATGCTCTTTATAGCCTCTTCTTTAAAAGGCTTCCAAAGAAATTCTCTTATTATCACACTTTCTTTTTACCTGATACTTATTTCTCTTCTGTTTAAGTTATCAAAACAAAGATAAAATTTACTTATATATGGGCCTAATACTATATTTACTCTTAGGGTCCCATAAGACTAAGAGTAAAAGAGTTTTCTATGGTTTCTGCTGAGGCTAAGGAGTTACACCTATCATAGAGCTTAAGGAAGTTACATTAAGACTTTTAAATATTTTAATGGATCCTGATTAAACTGGTGGCACATTTAAGCATATATATGTGTTTTAATGGATTTTTTATAGAGGCATGTTTGTTTGTTTGTTTGTTTTGTTTATACATGCACTGGGTACAGTCAGAAGCGCGGGAGGGTGAGAGAACTCACCAGAGCTAGAGCAGGGAGCAGAGCAGGCAGAAGGACCGAAGTACACTGCTGAGGGGAGCAGCGGGCGGCAGGAGAGGTCTGCGCGCCATGTGGGACCCTCCTCAGGTGGCCAGGGAGCAGCCGGGGATTGAACCGGCGCTGCGGAGGCTGCGGGCAGCTTCGCAACCCAGCGCTCAACCGCTGCGCCACCGGGGAGGCCCTTAATGGATTTTTTTTATTACAAGAGGGAAGTATCCTAAACTATGTCCTGTTAAGTACAGAATGAGCACTTTTCATATTAAAGTACTTTAAAATAATGGACATTGATGACCAAACATTAAATGAAGTTATTACACATTCTTTGGCTATCATTAAGTCTGGACTTGGACTTCACAAAGGTTAAATAAAGATACAAAGATGAGTAACAAACATTCCTGGGCTTTCTGTAACCTATTCTCCTTCCTCTTCTAAACCAAGGGAAGGTTAGCTTCAATATGAGAATTGTCTGAAATTCCTTTTCCATGACCTCCCTAGACAGTGAATACTGACAGTGAATGCCTTGAAATAACAGGATGCAGAAACAAAAGGGGTTGCAAAACAATACATAATTATTAAGTCTTACAGATGTGTAAGGCTTCAAAGTTAACTAGCATCATCTAGCAGTCTCCATTTCCCTAAAGCCTCATGCTGTTTAACCATTTCTTCTAGAACTCTGATGTCTAACTATAGGTTCAATAATAGAAAAAGTAATTCTACTTTCCTTTATGAACTTTACTCACGGGGTTCTTGCAATTAATGCTTTTTTTTTTTTTTTTTGAGTTGGAAATGAAGTTTTTTGTTTTTTTTTTAAGATTTTATGTTTATTTATACAAACACGGGTACAGGCCAGAGATGTGGGAGGGTGAGAGAATTCACCAGAGACAGCAGGGAGCAGAACAGGCAGAAGGACCGAAGTACACTGCTGAGGGGAGCAGTGGACGTGGCAGGAGAGGTCTGCCCCAGGAATCGAACCGGCACTGCAGAGGCTGCGTGCAGCTTCACAGCGCTGCGCTCAACCTGCTCCGCCACTGGGGAGGCCCTGGAAATGAAGTTTTATTGTAGGTTACAGTATACTCTAGAGTAAGTGTGGGCAGAGTCAGAGAATCACCTGCTTTAAATTTTTGTAAAACAAAACAATTTTTTCCATATACCATTTATATAAATATTGTAATTTTTTTTCTGAGAATTAAAGTCCAGTTCACAATTTTATGATTTGAAATTTGAGATGTCATACTTTCCCAACATCACATTCCCTTGTGACAAAGTTCCAGCAGTGGACTGGCAGACATGTATAACTGGGTGGGTTATTTCCAGTTTAACAAGTTTTTCATTTCTGGTTAAAAGTTTTATGTAACCTGTGTCTATTATAGTTATACAGATCAAAGAACTATGTTTCATGTAACAACTGACAGAAAGAAAATATGTCCTGCATGCTTAAGTTGATGACTGCATCAACTTAATACTGCATGCTTAAGTTGATGATTCATACCATACTTCCAAATCTGGAACACTTTGTTCATTCTGCCTCCAAATTCTACACTCCAGTATCCAATCAATTCAGAGTGAGCTGTCCGAAGATGAACATTTTTTGTAAAATTTTCCAGGAATTCATTCATCTTTGAGGGTTTAAGATAATAGGTACGAAATTCATAGAATGTTCCATCATACTGCCTGGGGCCTGTAGCAAAAGATGAGCATACCTGAAGGAAGATAAGGCAGAGTTAAACATTTTGGGAGGGTGGGGTTTATACTGTTTAAACTAACAGTTTATAGGGTTTATACTAACAAAGGACACTCAGTAAACTCACAATCTAATTTTACCTCAGCTGTCCTTTCTCCATAGACATCAGTTTACATTGATGCCAATAAAGAGCACTACTACCTTTCAGTATTCTAAAGAGACAGCTGTGTTTCCTGGTAGAGGGATCAGTTTTATTCACTTTTTCATGAGCAGTTGCTCAGAAGAAGGCACTGCAGCACTTTCTTTCCCAAGAAATAAGATTAGAATCTGAATAAATTTCACAAATTTCCCCTTAGCTAGCCAATATTCCATCTTTTAGTCAATGGTATATGTGTTGGAGTTAAGCATTTATAAGAACTTTATATAACATATAGGTGTTTTTGGTGACACAATAGAAATGTGTTTACTAGCAGAAAATTCCTATTGTTAGTTCTTAAAACAATGGAAATTGCTGGTCAGGTTAGAGCATTTCCCAAATCCAGTGAAGCAGATCACTGTTCAAAAATAGGAATGGATGGTAACTAATGTAACAGGAATCTATCCTGTCCATTGCATTGTAACATTGTGATAGACTAAATGGTCAAAAGGGGAAAAACCAAGTTACAGCTGTCAGAATAATTATTTTTAATTACAGATACAATCTGAAGGGAATTTATTCTATCCAATTATATCAAGTTTATGGAAATGTCCCTGAACAACCATTTGTTCCTTTTTGGAAGTCATATACTCACTATATTAATTTTGAGTTTGGTTCTCTGAGTGAACTTAATTTTCAGCAGGAAAAGCTTACCAGAAAAGATCATCTGTGAATGTATATCAAACACACACATACATATATGTATATGCACACATTTAAATGGCATTCTAGTTTGAAAATCCATTTTTTTGCTAGCTTGTGTACATTTAATGATGCTGATTACATAGGAGTAATCTATTAAAACAGTTTTGTTACCTACAAAGCTATGGATGAATTTTGGGATCATTTTTCGCTATCTAGGATTTTAAAGGAAAGCAGTAGGCTTCTTGCTCTGACATAGATTGGGTTTACAAAATACAACAGTGTATATTATTTTACTTTACTGTAAATACAGGACTTAGTTGTAATTGTCTATCTTCAGCTCATTCCACTAATATCTATTTTGAGTTAAATCTCACCACCTAAATGACAAAGCTTGCCACTGAAAACAAGAGCTGTTAACCCTGAATTTGGAGACATTATTTTTGTGCCATTATACCAAACTCTAATAAGAGAAATTTATGCAAATAAAAACTGCCTCGTATCTACAGTTTTGAAAATATCATGTACAAAATGTAATCAAAATGACTATGAGGCAATTGTAACAAATGTTAAGTTGATGTTTAGGGAATTTGTGTTTGGATAACAAAATATGTGATCAAATCACACATTTATCTTTTTATCTATTTTTTCAAAATAGAATAGGAAAGTTCAGGGGAAAGTTAATAGCAATGAGAAGGGTGTGTGTGTTTCTGGGAAGGGGTGAGATGATATTTGTTGCAGGTGACAAACTAAAACTCGATTTTGAGAATGAATATTTCTGGCTCCCTTCTCTTTACTTTAGGGCTTATTCTAGGCTGCAGAACTTCCACTTCATTTATAAAAGAACGACAAGTTCAGAATGAAGGTGGAAGGAAGGGAGAATAAACGATAAAGATTGTCTTGCGTGAATAGGTCTTTATTGTTCACCAGAAAGTATGATTCTAGAATATGTCAATCCCTTTCTTATCCTGCTCATTGAGAAAGGACTAAAAGCCTAAACATGACAAGAAATAAATTACTAGCTTAAATTCCATAATAGGTCGATTTCTCACAGTTAAGTATGAATCATAAAAATCTGTTTTGCGCATTTCTCATCAGAGATTATGAGTTTGTAATCAATATATTTGCTTAAGAGGTTTCTGACTCTGCTTGGCTTGGGCACTAACTGCAGGAGATGGGCGGCTAGGCAGGATGCCTCACCACTGGCACTTTGAATTCCCTCTTCAAGGATCCCTGAAAAATATTCAGAAGTTGGGCTTTTCCTTTAAGATGGGATGGCAAGTTCCGTTGCCTAGATCGGTTGGTCTATTTCCTTCTTCCACTTTCAGTCTGCAGGTGGCCTTCGCTTGTAAGAGTCAAATCAACAGCGGCCCGACCAGCCCTGGCACAGGCCCTTCCGGGAGAGGCAGCAGTGCTGGGCAGCAAAAAACCCAGTAGCTGGAGCTTTAGGGGTGTTCTCAGGGCCGCCTGGCACCTAGGCCAGAAAAGCCCTCTGTCCAGGGCAGCTTGTTTGCAGGCTGACAGAGGACAATGGCAAAAGGTTTTTCCCCTACTAGTGCCTCCCGGGTTTTCCCCGCCTCCGCCGAGCTCGCGGGCGAGAGGCTAAGGCTGCAGGCAGGAAAGCCGCCCGCGCCAGGCCAGCTGGCAAGTCGGAGGGGCGCATGCGCGGATCGCACGTTTCCTTTTGACTCCCCGCCCCCCCCCCCCACCCTTTCAGGAGTTGGGTTTGGAAGTTTCCCGGAGGGCGGTACCTGGGGCGCGAGCTTTCGCGCGGCCAGAGCCCTTGTCAGGCCGCTTCGGAGGACGAGCATGGCGCGGCTTGGACGCTGAGAAAGGCAGCCAGTGGGTATTCTCGCTGAGATTCCTACTCTTCCAGCTTCGCGACTAGAAGAGCACCCCTCTTGAGTAACTGGCGGAGGCGGGCTCGGGGCGCGGTCAGCTCCGCCCCCGATGCCCGAGGGGTGCGACCCAGTCGTCTGGACGACGCCCTGCCCAGGCTCCTAGGGTGGCGCTCCTGACCCTTCTGTTTCCTCACACTTCTCGCCCATTACGTCAGAGGTCACAGAATTGTGTGAATGCTCAGGTCGTTCCTGGCCCACCATTCTGAACTCATCCCTCCATCCTTTCTCACACGCAGTTGCACACATTTCCTAAGCGTGTAGAATGCGAGTGAATTTCACTGAGAAATGGGGGCGAGCACATGTCACGCTCTGCTCTTGAACTTGAGGAGGTTGTGACCTGGGCCAGGTTTTGTTTGGTATGATATTCATGTGGTAGAGGGCCGGGGAGCTTTTACTTTTCTGCTCCTAAATGCAGTCGCCTTCCGCATGGCTACCATTACCTTGTAAAGCTCCTAATAATTTAGAATTTATTTACCAGGAGCTCAGAGAAATAGCGGGCACAAGAGTTAGATAGAAAAAGCGAAAGGTAAACATACATAGTTAAAACTAGATATTCTCTTAACTTTTAAAGCAGAAATCAGAATTGTGATTCAGTCTCCCCTTCCTGATTATTGTGTACTAGAATTACCAACTATCTTAAACATTTCGCGTTATTTCTTTAATGTCTGTTTCTGTATTTTTAAATAATAGGTCTATTCTGCTATTTCTTGATTCCCCCCCCCTCCTTGTAGATAGTGTATGTTGACTTCCATCTGTGGAAGGAGAGGATTTAAATGTCTGACATACCACTCCACCCAAATGATTTCCCTTTCTGATCTATCAATACTTACTTTAAAAATAGTGGTATGATTATATTACTTATATATATGTATATTATATTAATGTTTACATTATCCTTGCTAATTACATTGTTGCAAGCATTAGTGTCATTAGTGTAACATTGCTTACATTATTTAAACTAGTGAATTACTGGGCTATCATCTGCAATTGTATTGGATGTCCCTTGTGCAAAGACTTGAATGTGTTCAGAGGAAAGGGGGGTTTTAAAAATTAGTTATGTCAGAGAGCATGGGTCAGTTTTTCCATATGATGGCATCCATTTCTAACTAATCAAGACAACAAAGATTTGTGCTGGGATTGGATCTTTATGTAGAGTTGTTGAACAAAGTCAGGATTCCTATCTTAGAACTTGCAGGTTCGGGAAACAGGTAAACAATAAAGAAAAAATATGTCAGGGATATATAAATATATATAAAGCAGAGATGTATAAATACCTATTAGGGAATAAAAGGTGGCATATGGAGAATAGAAGGTCCTGGAAGGAGGTAGCAGAAACTGATAGTTATTTTCTAATATACTTCTTACAACCTCACCACACCCTGCTCTTTCAATTCATGGTAGAACATACAACTATGAGCCCAGCTGGATGGTCAATATCAGGAGGTTCAAGGCACCTTATGAGTTACTGATTTATCTCTCATAAACTTCCTTCTGGAAAACTCTTTAATTTTTACCTAAGCCTCATCATATAGTTAGAATAACAATATACCTTTATATTGTATTTATATGTGTATATATATTTAACTATATGATTTATATTTCATATACTTTCATGTCTCTGGTTGGATGGCCAGCCACCAGAATCTTGGTCAATATATCTGATCCTGGTGCCAGGATTGGCACACAGGTCTATTATCAGATACACAGATGGTTGTAGCTCTTTCCATGTATCTGAGAGATGGAGACAGTTCTTAACCTGATTCCTCAGTGCGTAAGATTTTTCTCTGATTGCTATTGTGAAGGATTCTAACCAGATTACGAGGCTTCTTCTGTAGTCAGAGTCCGAAGGTCTACTTTTAGGGAATCAGATGAGCATGTCTCTAGTGGGTCCCTGGACAGACAACAGTGTGTCAGCCTAAAGCTAGAATAGAACTACAAGGTCAATTCAAGATTTGAAGTCAGACAGAGGTTGGAAGGTGAGCCTTGGGGCACAGATGGGCATGGCTCTGGTTCAGTTGTCTAGGTAACTGTCTTCCAGGTCACTGGTGGCATTCAGATCCACAACCAAAATTAAGGTTCATAAACCTGTAACCTGGGACATGGGGTGACATGAATCCTGTCAGGACCCTTGATAGATGGTACGGGTGGCAGGATCAAGGCCAAATGAGACTGTAGTTAAGTCCACTAAAAGGGTCAGGACTGTTTCCTGGTCAATAATTTTTGGTTGGAGAGTTTCCTACTTGGGCATGTCCTGTCTTCTCAAAATGTCCTAATCCTCCAGAATTCATATTTTATAGTGAAATGTAACATTTATTGGAAAATTTTAGCCAGAATCTAAGTATTTATATGTATAGAATTTTTTAAAAGATTCATTTTATTTATTTATGCATACAAGAGCTGGGGTGCAGGCCAGAGGTGCAGGGGATGAGAGGATTCATCAGAGACAGAGTGGGGTGCAGAATAGGCGGACAGACTGAAATACACTGCTGAGGGCAGCAGTGGGTGAGACAGGAGATGTCTGCTGCACCATGTGGGTTAGCTTCCTGGCCAGGGATCCACATTGTGCTGCAGTGGCTGCAGATGGCTTCTTCGTGCTGAGACTTACCCCTTGTGCCACCAGGGAGGCCCTACAGATTTTTTTCCAATGGACTTTCTGAAACACTTTAATATAGCAATGTGCTATCTACCTTTCTGAGTTTATGTCCCAAGCATTCTATTCTGAACCCTGTTATTTTTACTTTTTTGGCATTAAATATATAAATTCATGTTTAGCGTATAAATGTATTTATTTTCCTTAATCTGTATTTCTTTTCTACCCAAAAAAAGGTTGTAGATGGCATCTTATAGGAAATTAATTTATCAAAAAGAATGAAGATAACATAAGCAGAATAAGTTAAATTACAATGCACTTAATTTATAGCATTCATTTAATTATATATTTTATGTCAACAATAAGGTCATTTGAATTCAAATTATTTCATTTTGGTAATTACCAAATGAGTAATAATTCCTTGAATTTACTTTGGTAAATATTTTTTAAACTAAAAAGTTCCATATGTCATAAAACTTATTTGTTGAACTTTGCCTGTGTTTCCAAAAGTTACATGGGTCGGATAATATCATTTCATTTTTGAGCTTTAATTCAGCCACAGCTTATTCCCAGTACCACTCTTAATTGGGTGTGTGGGACACTGTCCCTAATGCACCAGGAAGTTTCTCCATCCCACAGATCTCTCATTCCAACTTTAAATTGCTTTGGGAACTGGGGAACAATTACAACAACTGTTGTATAGCAAATATTTACTCTTCCACATTTGTGGGATCTGACACTGTTGAACTTGATCTTAATTCAGAAAGCTGAATTAAATACTAAGAAGAAAGTAACAGGTTCTACTAGGGAGTAGAAATATTTTTTTAGTATAAAGGTGAGTTTGTATACCATGTAACTGTACCTTCTCAATCTATAATTAAAGCTATTATTCAATGTGAATTTATAATGTGAATAACCTAATTGATTCAGGAACCAATTTATTATTACAAAAATAGAGCCATGGATCATTATTATTAGTAGTAATGTACCTTTTAATCCTTAAAGCAATTTCCACATGTTATCTTTTTATTTCCAGCATCTTAACAAGACCCCCAGGAATTTACATGTATGTGAAAGATTTAAAAGACTGAAATAGTTGATTCTTCATTATTTCATTAAGGCCAAAATTTCTGCATAGTGCTTCATAGGAAACAGGAATAATAACTTTTAGTGTTGTATCCCAAAGAACTCTAGACTTTATTGACCAAAATTTGAGCTTCAAGCTCTACTTTGTACTTGTGGCTGAATAGCTTTGACCACACTCTGTGTTTTACATTAAAAAAGTAGAAATATGAGAACTCATCATAGATCTAAGGCATCCAATGAAAGAGGAAGAGCAAAAGGGAGAGGGGGAGGGATGAGAGTAGAGGAAGAGAAGGGAAAGGACCGCAGACTATGGTGGAGGACTTGTGGGTCCTTAGGTGGTGGTAGAGCTTCGATGACCACACTTAAAGGGAGAAATCCTATGTTGTCAAATATTAAGTAAGATGTAAAACAATGGTAATTCATTAATAAAAAATTTTAAAAATAAAAAAAATTGGGGCCTCCGTGGTGGCGCAGGTGGTTCAGCGCAGCTCTATGAAGCTGTCTGCAGCCTCTGCAGTGCCAGTTGGATCCCTGTTGGCGGCAGAGCAACCCACATGGCGCACAGACCTCTCCTGACTCGCCCGTGCTCCCCTCAGCAGTGTATTTCAGTCAGTCTGCCTGTTCTGTTCCCTGCTTTGTCTCTGGTGAATCCTCTCACCCTCCCAGGCATCTGGCCTGTGCCTTGGTTCTTGTATAAATAAAATAAATCTAAAAAAAATTTAAAAAAAATAAATAATTAAACATTTCCATAAAAAGCTGATAAAGTTTTTGTAAACTGTAAAGTATAACGTGCTATACCTACACATATACAAATATGTAAAAGTATTATTAGTGTTTTCTCAGGTTCAACTTAGATAAATTGTGGAAAATAACTATGAAGCCACAGGGAAAAAAAAAATGGAGGGAATATTTTTCTTCAAAGATTCTTAGTCTTATCCTTGCAGAACTGGTCTTCTAATGGAAAAATAACCAAATAGTTAAGAGTGAGCTATGACTATGACATCAATAACTAGCTACATGTGAACAGATGTTAAATTGCAATATAGTTCAATTTACTATGATTGAAGTCTACCCATAAAAAATACACAATTTAACCAGAAAGTGATCCAGAGTGTCAGACATGTAGAAATAAAAATAAAACCTGTTTTAAAATTTGAGCATGTCTGTTAAACACTGAATCAAAATTCCAGTTCAAATTGAGTTGTTTTTGTACCTTTCCTACCACTCTACCGCTGGACATGGCTAAACAACAAAATATGTTCCATTGTCTGAAATATTCTAGGGGCTAGGGTATCTTCAATAGTAGGGAAGTTTGCTTCTGAATTTTTTCCACCCTAGGTAGATCTTTACACTTCAGCCACAATGCATAGAAACTCTCAATATCCTCTGTCATATTCTAGACACAGACATTGTTTTTTTTTTAAATT